TTGATCGGCACTGGGCCAGTTGTTGGCAGTTGGATAGCCGTTTTCGTGCCTCCGTCAGCGTGCCCACGCTGCTCCTGTTCAGTATGTTTTAAGTTACATCTAAAGAATTTCAGTAACGAAAAGCCGACGAACTATGTAATTATCGTCGATTAAATAAAGATTAAATAAGATACTTAATAAGCGGTTTAATTTATCTAATGCCTAATTTAAAAAAAGAAAAATAATACGAAGGATACGGTCCTGTGAAAGATTAATAAAAGTAATGATATCGCTACGTTAAGAGAACGTTAACGATACGACGATATTATAACCCCGCTTAAAAAGAACCTAATAAATTAAGACGGAAATACTTTAAGGTATTATATTTACGATAATGAGGCGTACTAAACTAGTCGATGTTTTAAGAAAAAGTTGATTTATAACGGAAGCCTCGCTAAAGGAAAAGGAAAAGCCTAAGCTCCTTAGGTATACCTTAACCTATAAAGCTATACCTATTAATAAGGATTATAATATAGTTTTACGTTAATGTTATAATAAAAATACTAACGATTATCGGAATATACGTTGATTTCGATTCAAACGTTGAAATAAATAATATCAACGTCGAATTCGTTAAATAAACGAAGCTTTAACGAACTAAACTTATAGCGCCGGTATTACGTATTATCAGCGACCTACGGTACCTAAACTATAAGGTATATATTATATTATTACGACTTGTCGATAGTAAAGGTACGACAAAGATAATAAAACGCGTTTACATAGCAATCGACCGAGACTTTAAACTAAAGAAAAGTTCTATATTATTCTTTATAATGATACTAAAGACCGAACGTATACTATTCGATATGAAAGCGAGTTGGTAGTAATTTAAAATTATAAAACTAATGTACGAATTTATAAAACGTTCTTAATTTATAAAATATATATGAAAAAACAAAGCGAGAGTTTTTGCGGTAGTCTAATTACTAGAACTTATCCTACTATTTAATATAGAGATATCGTTACTAAAGCGTATCGAAGACTTACCGGGGGAGCTATAAAACTTTATCGATATATTCGATAATGAAAAAGTAACCGTATTACTCCCTTATAAATAAACCGACTACGCTATCGTATAATAGGCTATGCCTATAGTAGGGCCCTGGCTAGTGCCAGGGCATAGCACGTAATTAGGCCCTCAGTACCTACGGAGGATAAGGCTAGCTGTCGTAGGTACGGCCTATACGGCGTACCTTTTTCTCCTTTTCCTCCTCGTCTAGCTTTAATTCATTAATATACGGCTTTTACCTAGCGAATAACTCTTAAAACCGTAATAAAAAGCTAGACTAACCTTCTTTTATCGTTTTACGGAAGTAGTATCTTAGCGAGCGGAATTAGCAATAGGAACGGCGATATAGTACTAAAGGAAGCGGTAGCTAGTAAAGTTAGTAGTCGGAAAGGCGGTATTAGTTTTAGATATACGCGCCGGTAATACCTACGAAGAAGACCGACGAGACTAGCATATCTTAGCACGCGGGATTAGCAGTAGGAAAGGCGATGCCGTACGGTAAAGTTAGTAGTCGGAAAGGCGGTATTAGCCTTTGGATATACGCGCCGGCAGTACCTACGGACGAGGACCGACATAAGATAACCCGAAGAAAACGACCGATAGACCCCGAGAAAACGCAGATTCAGACGGTAATTTTAAGATAAGAACTACGAAAAATACGGCTAAAAAACGGCGGAAAATTTTTTTTTCCGGAGAAAGATAATAAAGCGCTAAAGCATAGCGCTCGTCGCGAGTTAAGAACGCCCGAGGCGTAACATAAGGAAGGAACGGCGTTAGAATAGCAAGAAATACGATAAGGTTTCGGCTAGGATAATAATACTTCGACAAAGGTACTAGAGGTACTAGCGGTTTACGGAAAGACCACCGGTTTCTTAGCATCGATAAGGGCGCTAGCGGCGCTAGTAGTAAACGGGAGGGCGCGCCCCCGCGCGTCCTTAGGCGGAGCCCTTAGCTCCGCTAGCGGTATACGATAAACGATGGTCTTTAAACGAATCGGACGGCGTATCCTAATACGTCTTCTAGCGGAAGATAAACGATGGTTTTAAAACGAGTAGGGACGGCGTACCTTAGTACGCCCTCCGGCGGAGCCTCGCGGCTCCGCTAGTAATACGGATAGGCCCCTGGCCTTTAAACGATAGTAAACGAGAAAGCGCGCCTTAATACGCTCTTAGGCGGAGCCCTTAGCTCCGCTAGCGGAAGATAGACGATGGTTTCTAAATAAATCGGACGGCGTACTCTAGTACGTCCTCTAACGGAAGATAAACGAGGGTCTTTAAACGGCGGTAGACGGACCGACGATCCTATAGCTACGGGAGCTAGGCTAAACCTAGTAGGCGCCTTATAATAGCGACTTCGTACGCGAGGCTTTAGAGCTCTACGGTTTAATAGAAGGATCGGAACTAGCAGCCCCCGGGGAATAGTAGTACCCTGGGGAACGAAGATAGTAACCCGGGAAGCGAATAACGTAACCCGGGAAACGGAAACGGAAAAGGAGGAGATCCCGAGGAAGAGTAGGACCCGGGGAAAGAGCGCCGGGGGGCTAGAGGCGCCCGGCGTAGTACCCCGGGAAACGAAAGGCCCCGGGAAGGAAACGGCGGAAGAGGAGACCCCGGGGTATAGTATAACCGCCGGGGAGGAAAGAAAGGAGGCCATACCCGGGGAGCATTAATACCCCGGGAAACGTACGAACGAAAGAAGGCCTAGGAATATACTAACATCTTAGGCGGCGGAGTTAGTAACCCGGGGAGCGAATAGCGCACCCCAGGGGACGGAGGCAGCACCTAAGGATACGGTACGTATCCTAAGGCGCGGAGAAAACGGGTTAGGTTATTAAGGCTAAACGCCGAAGAAAAGGGCGGCAGGGCGTACTCTTTTTTTTTTTTTTTTCCGGGAGGGGACCTTATATAATAGGCTATGCCTATAGTAAGGCCCTAGCTAGTACCAAGGCATAACACGTAATCAGGCCCTCAGTACCCACGGAGGATAAGGCCAGCTATCGTAGGTACGGCCCATACGGCGCACCTTTTTCTCCTTTTCCTCCTCGTCTAGCTTTAGTTCATTAACATACGGCTTTTACCCAGCGAACAGCTCTTAAAACCGTGACATATCGAAACGCCGGAGGACTTCGTACCTCCATATAGTCTTATATATCCTTTAACTTAAAACGAATTCGATACACTACGGAAATATATATAAGAAAAACTAAAACTTAAACGTATACGAGAATCGAAAAGCCTTATAAAAGTCTTTATCCTTTTCGTACTTAAAAAGAATAAAGGATTAAAGCTATGCGTCGATTATAAAAAGTTAAACTAATTAATAACTAAAAACTATTATAACCATACTCTATTCGTTAGTAGTAGACTATATATATATATTATATATAAGCTACTTCGTTAAATGCTTCTCTTTTTTTTTTCTTATAGAATTTAAAGGGGGATAGGATATAATTTAAAGCTTAGTTATATATTAAGTAAGTAGAGGTAGGTATAGCATAGTAGTTTTTTTTTTTAGCTCTTTTAGTTTTATAGGATAAATAAAGTGGCAATAAATATATAGGTAATACAGGGTAAAGGTATTACGTATCGTATCCTTATTTAATAATATTCTGTGACGTAGCTGGTGAGAGCAACGTATAGCGTACTAGGTTGCGTGTATAAAGAGCAATGGAATACGGGTAAGAAGGTGTATATTAACTGACTAGAAAGAAAGAAATCTACTAAAGAGTGTAGAGCAATCTATAGGTACATATTGAACAGGAGCAGCGTGGGCACGCTGTGATGGAGGCACGAAACAAGGACTGCCCAACTGCCAACAACTGGCCCAGTGCCGATCAACCAAGATTACAGCTGTAAACAGCTGTAATCGGTTGATCGGCCAGCTGAAAACGGCAGCTGGGAAAGGAGACTGGAAAGGGTAATGGGGGGGGATGGCTAGAAAGGCATGGCAAGAAACGAGTGAATAGCTGTAGGCTGTGATGTCTACAGGTCTAAGTCTGGCTGATGAAAATATGAGTGCGCGACCCATATAAATACACATCGAAAAGGCTACGTGGCCTAGATCCACCGCACCACTACAATATAGAAGTGCTCAACCAGCTTAGGTAAGCTGGGTAGTTGCTACTAGTGACGCATATCTATGTAACATATTCTAATAGAATTAATAAATAAGTTATTATTCTTACCTACTTAATTTACTTAAGTTAACGGTATCTTTCCTTATTAGCATTAATTTAATATGCGTTACTATATTTAGTAATTCTCCTATATGCTTTTTTAAATAGATATTACTATTTATCTTATCTATATAAGCGCTTTAAAGTACTCGTAATTCCTTTATTAATATACTTATACTAAACTCGAAAAAGAACGAGTTACTATTAAATACCTACATACTAAGGCGTATAATAAATAAAAAAGCATAATAAATATAATATCTTTTATTTCCTTAAAAAAGTACCTTTAAACCTACTTATTGTTTAAGGTCTTCTATTCTATAACCGAGCTCTAGTATACTCTAATTGATACCGTTTAACCTATCGTATCGTCTGTTATTTTAAGCGGGGTTAGATAAAAATATAATTAAGACTACGTATATATGCGTTTAGTTCTTAGGTTGTTTTATTTATTATCTATTTACAAGGTAGCCGTTAATCGAACGCGGAACGAGCGAGTCATTGGCGATAGCGCTAATAAGGAAAGATACCGTCAACCTGGGTGAACTAGGTAGGTAAGAATAGTGGCCTGTTTGTTGGCTCTGTTAGATACGCGGTAGGCTACGCTCCTTGGCTACGTAAAATTACCCTGTTCTGCATCGTTCTCTCGACCTCTATAGTCCCTGTTTGCGGCTATGATGCAAATTTCCAAGCTGTTTTAGCTAATATAAGTCCCTTTCTATAGCGTTAAAATCACACATAGACTATTTAAAAATAAAAAATACATCCTAGTGATGGCGGTACTGGGAATCGAACCCAGGTCTACACGGTATAAGTAGTGAGACCACAACGTGTTGTACTATCCACTATACTATACCACCTTAATGATTTCTCACTAAGTGTCTCGTGTCATCGTTTCTGCTTATCCGATCCTATGTTCCTGTCCTAAATTGCCCAAACTCACCACAGCTAAAGCCGACAGCGCAATTTCCTCAACCCCACGACCGGCTTCTCGTCGGTACATCTCGCCCTCCTCTTCCCCCTGGAAACAACCTACCTCTCATGAGCACAGGCATTTCCGTGTCTGGCTGAATTCGATCTCGCGGTCAAGATGATGACGGTGGGCATCAGGGAGTCTATGAACTTCCACAGCGAGGATATCGCTTCGGGCGACCCGTTTGAGCCCCATACTCAGAGCCACCACGTCCCCCGGGAAGCATGTGTACAAAGGAGGATTTCGATCGACCGGGACGAGGACGAGGACGAAGGCACGGCAACCGTCGAGTTGGCGGCCATCATGACCACCGCGTCGACGCCCGTCACGCCTGGCCCCGCGAGCCCACCTCTGGAACAGCCCAAACCCACCGATTTCGTGCCGCCGACGCGCCCTACCAGCACCCCGTTTCCCAATGCGCAGCAGGGTCAAACTGACATCCGCTGCTTGACCTGTCAGCCCAAATGCCTCGGCGCCGATTACTGGAGCCCCGTTTCCATGCCTATGGTGGTCGAGCAGAACCCCATCCTGACGCTGGCCCGACTGCCCGCCGAGATCCACGAGTGCATTCTCGATCACATTTTCGGGTACCGCGTCTCCACCACCTCTCCGAGCTCCCTTAACATACCGAGCGCCAATGCCCGAAGCTGGAGCACCGCCCTCCGGCACTCGAGGAGGAAAGAGCTGTCCAACCTCGCCCTGGTCTGCCCCCTCTGGAGGGACCTGATCCAGCAGCGGTTGTATCGACATATCAAGTTGAAAGCTACTGTGCACTGCGTGAACGACGTCATGGCCTTCTTCGTGCAACGCCCTCACCTCCGGACGTACGTGAAGCATATCGAGATCTGGTTCCCCGTCTTCCAGCCCAAGTTCCGCACGACCGCTCCCGGCGACACATCCCTCTCGTTACCGACCGTGTCTCCCGAGGGGATCGCCAGCGCCACCTACGCGCTCCCGACCGACAACTCGACACTCGAGGAGGTATTCTACCTCGTGAGCATGCAATTCCCTGAAGCGCAAGTCATGACGCTGGAGGGCGGAGAGAGGAAGAAGGCGCCGCACGTCAAGTTCAACTTGTCCAAGCCTACGTGGGTCGCCCGAGACCTACCCGAGATCTCGTCGATCCGGGCCCTGATAATCAAGGGCCAGTGGAACATTATTCGGCAAGCGAAGGATTGGGAAGTCATATCGCGTGCCTTGCCGAATCTCGAAGAATGGCACGGCACGTATGCGAAGCCCAAGTCCAAGAGCTACCTTAGCATGGCGAGCACGCTCGAGTGTCTCGATCCGAAGATCACGAGGCTGAACCTGTGCCTCGAGTGCGATTATCGAAGGGAGATGACGTGCCCCCCCTACTATCTCAAGGTCTGCGACCAGATCCATTGGTGCGAGAAGATGGCCAAGGCGGCGAGCAACCTAGAACACATCTCCTATACCGGCCGCGTCTGTCACGGGTTCTTTAACATCCTCGCCAAATCCTCGAACCCCCGCACCACTCGGCTCAAGACCATCGATCTCACCGTTAAGAACTGTTGCCGCCAGAATGCCCAGTGGAACGAGTCCGGTTCAGGCATCACCGACATGCATTTCATCGCCGCCTTCGAGCAGCTGGTGCTGGGCGGCATCCGAGCCTTGGAACGTCTCAAGTCCGTCGAGTTGCTGCGGATCCGATATGTCGATCTCGGTAGGCATTTTTCCCGTGTTGACCCCCCAGATCTTAGAGTGTCCGTGCTAACGGTGGCCCGCACGTGTCGCGTCAAGACTCTCCAGTCCCTCCCCTGAACCCCTATTTCATGATCAAGGACGGTTGGTGTTCTGGCGTCTGGAGCGACGAGATCGTGGCAGAGATTAACCACGTACGACCCGATATCCGCTTCGAGGAGATGGTGGAGAGTTTCGGCGAGGTTTGCTATAACAAGGACGGGCGGCTAATCATCAGTCCCGACTTTCCGAAGTCGCGGGTGCTCTCGCTCAAGCTGGCCAACTATGCCATGCTCTCCGGAGCCATTACGATTGTGTGAGCTTGATGTGTCACGATAGGAGGCACATTCCGACGAGGGGTGGCGTGAACCGGACAGGGACAGGACAGCATCCGTTATCTTGGGCCCGAATAGCGGCGGCATGGGATGAAGAAAAGAGAGGCCAATTTTTTTTTATTTCTAACTTTTTGCAAGTTGACGTTTTTGGAGGGAGGGCAAGAACAGGACGGACTCTCGGGAGGCGAACAATACCCATTGCGATGATTTTTTCTCTCTCTCGACAGGCGTTCAGAGCCCCCCGGAGACTGGCGCAGTGCTGCGTACCTACCAACCATAGTAGGAAGGGTGTAATATAATGCGGTGGGCGGGGATTCACAAGAAGGGATAAAAAGGTAGCTGGGGACGCCGTCTTCCTCAACCAGGAGGAGTTTAAGAGCGTACGGTCTCAAAAACATCGCTTTCTAACGTCCTGTGACTACGAGCGTGGGTCTCGCTCCTCCGGCGATGTACTGCCTAATTTTCCTTCTCTATTTTTCCCCTTGCCGTCTCAACGGAGAGGTAGGCAGACTCATTCTTCCATCAACCGTATCGTCCACCCCGTTATACATTTCTCCCATGCACTTGGTAGATATCCCGCGGAATCAACAACTCTCCCAACTCTGTTGATTCTATCCGGAGGGCAATTATAAGCTCATGAGACTTTATCCAATTACGGCTTCCCTTGGCCTTTAAAGAAGAGCCTATTACTCGTAGCTTTACTGTATTACAGTAAAAACACTACGGAGGAAGAGGTACCAAAACCCTCCGAAGCGTACGTAGTGCCGGTTTTCGGCAAATTTGACGAAGCGCAGCGGGGTGATTTGACGTGGTAATAGCAGTAATCGTCTACCACGTCACGTTCGGTGTGAGCGAGCGATATTTGCGGGTAACGTCGCATTCCGCAACGACACGGCAGCCTTAACTAGATTCGTATCTTAACTAGATTCGTATCGTCTCTTCTCGGCGTCGTGGCCGGGCGGGCACCCCCGTATGTCGCCGATGATGATGCCGAGGATCCAGCAGTTGGCGAGGAAGAACGCTAGCGAGGCCGCCCACAGGCCTGGGGCGAAGGTGCTCAGGCCGAGGAACTCCAGGCCGTAGGCTTGCTGCAGCCACAGGGCCTGGGTCGCGACCCAGAGCACGAGGGCTGACAGGCCGACGGTTGGCCTGCGCAGGAGCGACGAGTTGGGCAAGTACAGCGGTAAGAGAACCATGTACCAGAGGAAGTACTGCTTGCCGTTAGGACCTGGCGCGGGCGAGGGCTCCACGATGGACGGAACTGGGGAAGCGAAACTGGACGCTACCGTGAAGAGGAAAAGGGGGGGGGGGGGGGGGGATATTGCGTACCTGGCTTGTGCAGACCTTGTTGAAAGTCACGAAGGCGAAGGTCTGGGCCAGCATTGTGGTCGGCAGATCCTTCTTCGCCCCGACCAGGGGGATGAGGATTGTAGATAGCAACAGCTGCGGTAGGAAGGCCACCGACTCGACTCTCAGCGGAGCGGGACTCGGCCGCGCTGAGGCGAGGTAGAGGAGGATGTTGTAGGGGCTGAAGTTGTGGCGGTGGTCGATACGAGTGACGTGGTGCAGGAACGTATGAGCTACGAAGGGCTCGCCGTAGAGGCCGTACATGACGAGATTCAAGCCGAGGAAGGTGGCCAGACTGACCACCGCCAGCGTAACGCGCGCCGGCGTGACGAACGCCAGCATCTTGCCCAAAGGGCCCACAGCCCGCCCCCCCTCGCCCTGGGCCCCTCTCGCACCCCGATTCGCGTCGGCTCCGGCGTCCATCCGTTCAGCATCCATCCACCACACGATCGCCGGCGCGTAGATGAAAGGGTAGATCTTGAAGTGGACGCCCAGCCCCAGCAGCACGCCGGCGAGCGCGGTCCTCCTCTGGACCACGGCCCACACAAGGGCCATGACCAGTACGCCCAGCAGGCCCTCGGAGCTGCCCCTCGTGCTGATGGTGGCCACCATGGGGTTCAGCAACCAGATGCTCGCGTACCGACAGGCGCGGTCGGTAGGCATGCGCCCCGCCCGGAGCAGAAGCAAGACAAGGTAACCGGCCAGCAGGTCGGCGGCGGCGAAGAGGACCTTGCCGGAGGAGAACCAGACGGGGCCCGGGTGGGCGGTCGGGTACAGGAGCCAGGCCAGCAGCGGGGTATAGCGGTAGGTCTCCCGGGCGTAGGGCGAAGGGGGCCCCGGGTCGAGGCCGGCGGACGGCGCGAAGGCGAAGCGCGCGGCGTCGGTGAAGACGAGGTAGTCGATGTCGGTGTACTTGAGGGGCGAGTGGGCGTCCTGCCACAGCCCGTAGACGAGAAGGGCAGCGCGCAGGACGGCGGCGGCGGCGAATAGGGGGAGGGGCCTCGAGACGAGCGCGGCGAGCTGCGAAGCCATATGGATAGATACCTCGCCGCAGCAGCTGGGGGTTCTACGGCGCCAGGTCTAGGATGCCAGGAGCGTCGCACCGGTAGCCCACAACGGCAGACCTGGTGCGAGAGAGGTGTGACTGCGAGGAGGAGGAGGAGGAGGAAGAGGGTCCGTATCTGTGTAGGCAGGCCGGCATTCTGGGCTCGATGCTCCCAGTCGAGGAAGAAAGGGCCCGGGACATGCCGGTGGAGGAGCTCTACAGCAGCTGTGAGGTCAGGCGGGTATTGCTATACCTGCTTGCATATTGCAATGGACGGCTGTTTGTAAGCACGATGGAGGAATGCCAGTGTGTAGGCCGTAGTATAGGGCGTTCACGAGGTGATGAGAATGGGTGTATGAAGGAGGGTATCCAGAGCAAGGAATGAATTTACCTAGGTACTTCCAAGTAGGGCAGAGGTGAGTGTGTACCCAGGTACCTGAAAGCTCCCCGTGTCTGTCCGGCTGGAGGTGTGTGACAGCTGTTGACGGCTAGGATTTTATAGAGTACCCAGGTACCTAACGCCATCTGCATTATCTTCCACCTACCTCACGTTCCTACACGCCCCCAGAGCACCTCACCCTGCCGTACATATCACAGCCCGCCGTGGTATGCAAACGTCGCCGTCGCTGGAAGAACGCACACTGGCACACGTGTAGGTATAGGTATACGCGGCTTGTAGCCCTCTGGTGTCGTATGTCCGAGATAATCATACCGCAGGGCGGGAAGCGCACCATGGCCAGCGGGGTCAAGAGGGACCACCGGGGCCAGGAGAAGACGGCAGACAGCCGGCCTCCCAAGGAAGCGCCTCGCAACGCCTACACCCCTATGTTCGAGCATTTCCGCAGCGAGCTCGACGAGCACCACGACCGCCGCATGAAAATCGGCAAGGTCTCGAGAGACGTGACCGCCCTCAGCAAGAAAATGTGAGAGGACCGCCCTCAGCAAGAAAATGTGAGAGGATGGGCCCTAGGCCTCATCCGCCCACCGCCAACCGCTAACATGGCGATAGCATCTTCTCGCTTCAACGGTATATATATATATATATACACACCTGCCCAGACCGCTTGCTTTCTTTTTTTTTCTTCTCTCTCTCTCTCTCTCTCTCTCTCTCTCTCTCTCTCTCTCTCTCTCTCCTTGTCTTAGCACGACCAACTACGCAGCGCGCAGCGCACCCCTACCCAGGCTTACGTGGCCGTTCGTAGCGTCCGCAATCTGAACCAGCCGCTCCCGGCGCAGACCCGAGCCGACGTCGAGGATCGCATCAAGGAGATAGCCGGGCTCCTGGCTACCATCGAGGCAGACGTAGCAGGCATGAACCGCTACCGGTACCCGCTCATCTGCCTGGAGGAGTTCGTCGAGGCCGTCTCCTTTTCGCACTACCTGCAGCATCAGAAGCTGGTCACGCCCGCCCAGGCACAGGCGGCCCTGCCGGCCGACATCGTCCTGACACCGCCGGACTACGTGTTCGGCGTGTTCGACCTCACCGGCGAGATGATGCGTTTCGCGACTGCCGTCACCGCGCTGACGGGGAGCATGCCGGGGTCGCGTCCGCACGGCGAGGAGGCAGGCTACGGCCGGACAATCCTAAAAGACATCCAGGACGTGGACTCCATGCTGCAGATCTCTCCGCAGGTAGGAGGGAAGTCGGCAGTCTACTCCAAGAAGTTAGATATCATGACCGAGCAGGTGCGCAAGGTCGAGAGGCTGGGATATAGCATGAAAATTCGAGGCGGCGAGCGGCCGAAAGGCTGGGTGCCGGATATCGAAGACCCTGGTCGCCGCGGCGGCGGCGGCGGCCGAGGAGGAGGAGAAGACCAAGAAGATGCCGCTATGGATTAAGAGCCACAGCCTGTGGTGCGTGAGATCATAAGGCTCGCCTCTGTCGAGCTGCCTACCTATCATGTAGGGATCCTCTCTACATAGTTACCTACAATAAACCTTTAGCCCAAGAACAAGCAGCCTGATACAAGGGCCTCTTGAGATTCACGACAGGCATTCAGCCGGATCAATTCTCAGGGTTGCAGCCAACCCTGCTGCCATGTGCTCTCATCAACGGGGACCCGTTGCGAAGCCGAGGGGCGGACGGTTACCTACCAGGCTGCCACTTAGTCTCGTCATCCCACATGTATGAGGCGGCACGACGGGCCTGCATCGTGTTACCTGGCCCATCTGCTGTGTCTAGGGGCGTGAGCAGCGCACTGATAGTAGCACTGCATACGCTCATCCTGTGTTGCCGTTGTGTGCCTTGCCTACCAGACACCTCGGGAGGGATCAGCTCGGTGCGTCTGTAGGCAGGTCACACGCAGACACACACGTCCACGTCTAGGCCGAGATGCTCCCGGAGGCGCTCGCACGCCTCGACCACACGGATACTTACCCGCCTGCGTATCGCACGCAGGTATATATATATGAGTATGTAGGTATAGGTACGGGTATAGATATGCCTAACACCCATACAACCCGTACAAACGTACGCCTCCTCTTACACACCCGTGTCCCCATACCCTCCACACGCACCCGTGCGGCCGTCGGCGCTCGCTCGCGCGTAGCTACCGAGAGGGTGGTAGGAGGAGAGCGGCATGGGTTGGTTGGCTGGGGGCGACCCGACGCGGAGGTTTCGCCGTCCCCCTATTTTGGGTTCTGATCTCGTACCCGCCGTCGGTGTCGGCGTTACGCTGCATGTGCGCGCGCCGTCATGTCCCTCCCCTCTTCCGCAGCTTCGGTGGCTTGAGGCTCAAACGAGGTGATATCTGTACGATGCCACCCGAAAATGAAAAGGGGACCGACCTGTCGATGCTGTCGCGCCACGCGAACCGGCAGCCCTGGTCCGGCCACGCGTTAGGATTTCGAGCCTAGCCCACCCGTCTACCCAACAACAAACACAAAGCCTAACGCCCAGCGTCTCAGGCGGAGCTTACGCAGACGGACAGATGTCACCTCGCAATACCCCGACAGCGCGTTAGGCGAGGTGCTGTCGCATATACCTACGTATAGGTTAGGGGGGGGGGTAGGGGGGATCGAATCCCTCCGAGGTCGAGATCTCGAACGAGAGAAGGGAGGGAAGAGAGCGCGCTAGCTTTTGTCTGTAGACGACGAAGCCTGGCTGTCTTGGGAATGTCTTAGCTGCTACGTAGACAAGGTAGGACTGGGATGGGGATGGGTGGTAGCGGGCTCGATGCGGACACCTCGGCAGGCTGGCGTAAATCACAAGAGTATGAGAGTATGAGTAAACGACGACGCACCGTCATGACGTGGTTTTTCCTCAGCGCCGCGGCTGTGGGGTAGGATATGGGGTAAGACGAGAGCGGCCAGGGCCAAGCCGCCAACGAGAAAGTGGAATGTTGGGGGATGTCTTGGACAGGGCTTGGAGGCCGTACGGCGTGCCTATCACGGCGCTGGATGGGGAGGTGGGAGGGCTGGGAGGACGGGGAGGACCAAGAAGACGAGGAATGAGGGGAACCAACCGCTTTCGCAATGTTCCTTTTGCCCCTTTCCCCGTTCCCCGTCCCCGTTCCCCCGTGTCCGCCCCCCGGCACCCCGCCGTTTCCCCGCTGCTGTGGGGGACGAGGGAAGAAGCAGAGAGAGGGTGTCGCGGGCTACTGGACCCTGTCCGCCGTCACAGGCCTAGCTAATGAGTAGCAGGTGGACAAAGTCGTCTCTTCACGTGTTCTGGATAGCGCCCGACGGCTCTGACGATCCGGGCTCCACGCCCACGCCCACGCCCACGCCCGGCCCACGGCTTTGTGACTGACTGGGGTGGTGTGACGATTCTTTTCTTTCTCTCCCACCCGAGACAACCATTACTCCGGGATCACACGCCTACGTATGCGGCATATGCACGTATGCAGCATATACTCATACACGTACGCGCCCGCGGTTCTGACGTGTAGGCACCCAAGGTAGAGGCAAGACGAGGAGAAGGATGTACGTAGGCGTAGGCGTAGTATTCTCGTCAGGGTGGGAGAGGAACAAACGGTGAGCTCCCGCCGCCTCGCGACAACGTTGGCGGCGGCGGCGGCGGCAGCAATGGCAGAGCTGACCGCTAAACAGCGACCCATCGTCGGTTTCCGCCTGGGCGGAAGCCAATATACCGGTGAGAAATCGGTAGCGTGCATGACGAACCCGTATATCCGGTGCCACAGCCAATTTGCCATCTACGCGTAGGTAACTCGATAATATACGTGTATGTATGCGTATGCTATACTTGCGTATGTTATACATGCATATGTATGGTATACCTGCATATGCTATAGGTTATACCTATCCGAGGCGAGGCCCCGGTAGCCAATCGTGGAAGGGTGATGGGTGTGCATACCGCGTGCATATCGCGTGCATAGTGCCTATGCGTTAGGTATATCCCTATATTAGTACACGTAGGTACGTTATGGCTGGTCTGCACGAGTAAGCAAGTTGGGAGGCGGAAGGCGGGGAGCGGGGGGGATGGGCTGATTTCGTCGGCGACAGAATCCCCACGGGAAAGAAAAAAAAAAAAAGAGCACATTATCGGAGGTACCGAACTTGGCACCATTATACGTGCATTTATCGTACATGCATCTATTTATGTGTACTTGAGGTATGAGTATTATTACCTGATTATGCGGCGTTGGCAGGTCGGAAAGGAGAAGAGACCTGAACGTGTGCTTCTTCTCTTCATCTCCGCCAACTCATCTCCGTCTTCGTCTCCTGCTAACGCATTACCTCACAGAAACCAAGGGTCTAGGCTAAAATATCACCACGAGCTGGGGACCTTCGTCCCTTTCCTCCGGCGCGGCACGCGAAGGCAGCTAAGCTAGACGGGTGCATGGCTAAGCAACTCCGTCGCTATCCAGGCTGGCGCCAGCTGTCCCATGCTGCGTCAGGGCACGCGTGTGTATGTGTGTGTGTGTGTGTGTGTCTACGTGCTGCTGAGCGTGTCATATAATACCTCCGCATCTGCTAGCAAGTTACCATTATAGATCCTGTACATGCCTGTACGGTCGGTACCTGCTAGCCAGGGATGGGAAAGGATGGGAAAGGAGACGTATGTAAGCAACAGACCAGGGCCAGGTTTGGTGTTGCTAGGCAAACCATTCGTCCGAGCCCGCCGGTTCCTCTCTTGCCTTTGTTGGTTTTTTTTTTTTTTAACTCATATAGCCCCCGACCTACTCAGGCGTGGACACGCTTCACCATGCTAAGAACGAAACGGACGCGAAGTTGGCTTGGGCCGTGGGACGGCCAAGCCTCTTAGCCGTGGGTTACTATCGCCACTACGTTTAGAGTGCCGAATCCTGTGCCCTTGCGAAAGCCCTGCTAGCGTCGAGTGCACTGATTCAAAGGAATCCAATGAGTCCCCCGGGATGGGCGGGCCTGGTTGGTTCTTTCGGCGAAACGGAAATAACAGGTAGGTCAGCTCTAAGCGGTCCGCATGATTTCGACGCGGCGTCGGGTACGTACATGGCGTTCGTGATAATCTGGCTTCGACAAAGGCTGGTTGGCTAGCTAGGAGGAGGAGGAGGAGGTCGAGGAGGGTGTGGATCTCTCTCTTCTCTGTCTGCTCTCTCTGGTGCCATGCCAATTCGAGGGAAGAGGAGAAGGCGAAGAGCAACAGGGGAGGGGGGGAGGAGAAGAACAATGAGAAGAAGAGGCACGAGTCGGCGACCTCTTCCTGGTCCGTGGCTTTTTTTTTATGAATAAAATAAGATTGCCGCCTGTCGAGATAGATGAAGACAAGAGATGATGAATGATAATAATAATGATTAGATATATCTATCAGGTGCATATATTGGATTTTACGTACGGAGCGAGAGAGGGAGAGGGAGAGGGAGAGGGAGAGGGAGAGGAGGAAGAGGAGGGTGTAAGCAAGGTACGTGGGTACCTACTTGTGCAATCGATCAATCAATCAATCAATCTAGCAAGTCAGGTGCCTGCCTCTTAATTTGCCTGCGTACATGCTTCCCCACCGTAGCTACCTCCCAAGGGACCTCCCAACATCGCCAGGTATCCCCGTACCCGTACGAGTACGCACCCTCCAATTGGCCGCAGAGGAATTGGGAAGCTGCAAGCTGGCTGGGGTAGCTTTTACCCCGGAGAGCGGAGACCAATCGGCGAGGGCACCTTCTAGGAAACCACCGAGCCAGCCAAGCCCGTGGGAAGGGACAAGATTACTACGTATGAACCTTTTGCTCATAGGTAGGCACGTAGGCACCTAGGTACCTACTAACCTACTCATACTCATACGTCGCCCATCGTCGGTTAGGTAGTTATACCAGTTACCTAGGTTAGATGCCTGACTTAGGTACCTCACCTAGGTGGGCAACACATACAATATAAGGCATGTTGGCTACATATACACGTATTCACGCACCCAAGGTATAGATGGGTTGTGAATGCATACCTAGGTACCTAGGTACCTACTACCTTAGGTACCTACCTGGGTACCTACGTAGGTTAGCTAAGAGATCGAGGGTAGCTACGAAGCATGTTGCGGGCCACCGCAGGTACCTCCTACCCCCTAAGCTAGCCTAACCGTCGAGATTCAAGTAGCGGGGTTCCCAGCCCAGGTACCTGACCTTAACGTACTCAGGTACCAAGGTATCGACCCAAAGGTAGGGGACCCGATGGCGAAACCCCAGAATCTCTCTCCTCCCTCCTCTCCCTCTCCCCTCTATCTCTCTCTCTCTCCCTTCTGCCTCTCTTCCCCCGTCCCCCCGGGTCTCTCTCTCCCTTCCCCCCGGTCTCTTTCCCCTCCCCCCCCCGTCTCTCTCCATTCTCCCCCAGGCGGGTCTCCCGGGGTCTCTCCATCTTCCTCCTCGTCCTCTCCCCCCCTCGCGCCTCTCCCTACCCCATCACCCCCAGAATTTTACCCCATCACCTTGCTGCCATGTTCCCCCGGTCCGCTCGCCGTATACGTATATATAAAGCCAGGGTTCCTCCCCCCCCCCTTCCCTTCCAGTCCCTCCGAGTGCTTCGTCCGAGAGAGTCTTGTTCTGCTCCCTTCTTAAGACGTCAGGGATTCCCACCCCCAACTCTGGAATCGTCAAACCTTCGCACTCCCGCTGCCAGCCGCATTGCAGAAGCTGCTCGGTCCGGTCCGTCGCCAATTTGCGCCATCGAGAGACAGGATAGATAGAGAACGACACTAGAAAAGCAAGAACCGCCAACGTCCAACGTCTCTTCTCATATATACCTTACCACCATGGCTTCCGAACCCAACCAGACGTCCCTAGCCGACAAGGAGATCAACGCCGGCAACCCTGGCGCCAACGTCAACGGCGCCTCCCCCCCCCATCACTACGACTATGGCGGCAACCCGCTCCTCAACGCCCACGCCGGCACCGACGCCCGGCTCCCTGCCTTCGGCGGTGAGTTCCAGCCTGGTTTGTACAAGCCCATCGAGCACCGCAAGTTCGCCAACCCGGCCCCCCTCGGCCTGTCCGCCTTCGCCCTGACCACCTTCGTGCTGTCCCTCATCAACTGCGGCGCCCGCGGCATCAGCGTCCCTAGCGTCGCACTGTCTCTCGCCTACGGCTACGGTGGTCTCGTCCAGCTCCTGGCCGGCATGTGGTAAGTGCAACGGCATCAACTCGTTCGAGCAGCAGGCGGGCACAAAAACGAGAGAGGAACGCCTCCGAGTGACTAGGCGGATGACTCGGGGGAGACAAGCGGACTTCCTCGTGTCGCCCGCCGCCACGGTCTGGTTTTTCTCGGTGACTGGCTCCTATTGCCCTTGCTGACACGTAATCGCTACCGACAGGGAGATGGCCGTAGGAAACACATTCGGTGCCACTGCTCTGTCCTCGTACGGAGGCTTCTGGATCGCCTGGGCCATCCTGCAGACGCCCGGCTTCAACGCGCTCGGCGCGTACAGCGATTCCGACGAGTACTCGGTCGTAGCCTTCTTCCTGCTAGGCTGGTTCCTCTTCACCACCATACTGCTCCTGTGCACGCTGCGCTCGACCGTCATGTTCTTCCTCCTGTTCCTGACCCTCGACCTCGCCTTCCTCATGCTGGCCTGCGCCGACTTTGCCAAGTCCAGCTCCAACTTCGAGAGGGGCCGGCGACTCCAGCAGGCCGGCGGCGTCTTTGGTCTCATAGCCGCCTTCCTAGCATGGTACAACGCCTTCGCCGGTATTGCCGATTCTAGGTACGTAGCCGACTACGAGACGAGGCTTCCACTCGCGCCTCTTCCCGCGCCCCGTCGAATTACGGCTAACCTCGATCTAGCAACTCCTTCTTCGTCGTCCCCGTCTTCCACTTCCCCTGGTCTGAGAAAGGTCGTGAGGCTCGCGCCAAGACTGAGCGTGAGCTCGCCTAAACTGGCCGTCGAAGGGCTTGGTAGGGCGTGGCCGCTGGTTACACGCCGTTCTTAAATCGCGAGCACGGTGGGAGGCCCATTTCCGTCGTTTACAAAAAAAAGGGGCGGGGGGGAACGTGTTCGGCAAAGGTCCCTAGTATCTTGGAAAGGGAGGGGACGGGGAGGATTGGATTATCATGATACCTGTCGACACTTAATAGGGAACACGGAGATGTTCGGGAAATGTACATGGGATGAGGATGAGGTGAACCGGATGCGTCTAGGGGCAGCCGAAACGAGAGGAATGCCATAATATTCTTACCCAGTCGCCCTGTGGCTGGCGATCTTGACAAACTCTACCTATCTTAATAACCTACCTACCTAGCAATGGCAATACTGACGACGGCGTCGCCTTTACGATGACGCTGAAGCATACCGTGGATGTGGTTCTACGATGTCTCCCGTCCACACTATATTGTCACCCCCGATACCTGCCCCCCTCTCTCTGTCTTCGTGGCCGACCCTCCGAAGCATGTTCTGGCGGTCGACTTCCGTACTCTACTTAGTTGGGGTTGGCACCCAAGCGATTTCGTACACAGAGCTAGTAGTCCCTATGCCGTCTTGGCCAGAGCGGTGACAGGACCGGCGCCAACTTAGCGCTGTGGCTCTCGGAGGAAGGGCTCCCTTGCACTTCTAGAAGGGTTCGTCGCGTGCGCGCGCTCGGACGAGTCGCCCCCGGCTAGCTAGGGCTGGGCACGCGCCGCAATAAGCGGTCTCTCCTGCAAGGAGGGGAGGGGGGGGGGATTCGACACCGCGCCGTCGAGGATCTGGGCAAACTAGGCCTTTCCCGCTACCAACTTCCGAGTCAGAAAAAAAAAGGGCGCAGAATGGTCAGGTTGACTCGTGTCCGTCGTCCCATCCGAAATTACTAGGACGGGGTTTCGCATCCCGCACCCCGGCAGCGCGCGCTAGGTAGGCACCGAGCAAGTTCTTCCGAGGGCGGCGCGGGGCAAAGACGCCAGTCGACAGTTGCCTACTTGCTTGCTTGGCTACCTATGTATGTATGAGGATGTATTAGTCTCGCGCTCGGGCACGATAATACCGGGTTGGTTTTGAAGCAAAACGAGGCACCGCGCCTGGCGACACAGTCGTCGCGTCCTCTCTCTCTCTCTCTCTCTCTCTCTCTCTCTCTTGCGCATACCGCCTGCTTTCGTAGATCATCTCACTACTCGACCTACTAGATTACACCTCCTAAATCGTAATCGTAGCGATGCGTGTGTGTGCCCCCGTAGGCATTAGGAGATACGAACTCCGTCAGGGCGGGCGGCGGGGACCGTACTCACAAGAAATCCACCGCCTCGCCACTAGGCAGCCTCGGTGCTGCGGCGACGAAGTTGCTTATTCATACAGCGTTCGCGAGAAGACTGCCGGATTGGTCGGGAAGTCCGCGGACACCGACTCTTCTCGGAGCCTCGAGACCGCAGCAGCGTTCTGCGCTCTCGTCTTCTGTTTCTCCTCATCCTCCTGCCCTCCCTACTAGCAGGACGAACCTCTCGGGCGAAAAGAAAAATACCACGCTGAAGGGGGGGGGGGGGTCGGCTGTCTCGTGCATACTGACCGCGTCGGGCCCCCGCGATATAGGGAGGGAAGAGGGCGTGGAGGGTAATATTGCCATGCATACCCGACGTAATCGACGGTGCCGCGCCGCTCGTAGGTGTACCGCAACACGGGCACCGTTCGTCGACATGAATGTATTTTCCGTACTTGACACCTTCACCTCTCGCCCACCGCCCTGCCAAAGGCGTTGTGAGCCATGTCGCGGGCTAGAAACGTGCACCATCGGGAGCGAGCGCCGCCCAGAAGCCCCTCGCATGAGGGAGGGGGTGGAGATCAACGCTGTAATTGCTGGCCCGAAGGACGTGGGCGGTAGCAGACGTCGGGGGCCTTGGCCGCGACGCCCGGCTTGGCAACGGGATATTCGCGCCTCCCGGCTCACGTCTACACACATACACATACACAGACACGCTTACACATGCGCGGTCGGGTATCGCCAACGTCGGTTGTGATCACGCTACTCATCGGGCGATTTCGTCGGGGAAAACAAACTTTCGGCGGGTGGCTTGGAAGTGCAATGTAGAACAAGAATACTATCCGCCAGCCCTGTACGGAGGAGAGGGGGTGGACGTGACTTGGGGCAAAGGTGCGAAGTGTGTTGTATGTCCTAAACGTATCGAACGAGACTCAATACTGGGGGATTCGAGAACCAAGGCACATCATTCTTCTTTTCTTCAATCTGGAGACGAACAGATACCGAGTACGTACATACATACAGACATTAATTAGGTAGTTCGGCCAAAGTTGCGAGGAGTCAGCACCTGACGTACTCAGGGAAGCTCCCGGCCGCCGGCACCCAAAGACTGTTCTATGATTCCTCGGGGCTCAATATAAAACTCATCTTGGCTTGGATATATGGTTACACCTACATCGTCGGCATTCCAAGTTAGGCGTGGCCGGCGAGGCAACAGACGCAGCATCACTCGATGGTCTCGGCGGCTGCCGTAACGCGGCCGTCAATGATCTCGGCCCACTTGATAGCATTCAGGTAATCCCCGTTGTCGATGCTCTCCGCTAGCCCGGGGAACACAGCTCCGGAGTAGCCGGTCCAGATTCCCGGGGCGAACACGACGTGCTTGAACCAGGTCCGGCCGTCCAGGCCAGGTTCATACAGGAAAGCACGCTCGATCGTCTTGTACTTGTTGTTGGTGAGTCGGATCTCGTGAATGAGTTTCAGCCTGCTGATCAAATCCCACCAAGGGATGGGATGGTTCGCTCTCTTGGCTAACGATTCGGCCTTGGCGTCTAGTTTCACCGCGGCTGACCTCAGCCTGTCGAAAGATTGGTATATGCGTTTCGAATAGTCCGCGAAGGCCTCCGGGTCGCCTTGGATCTTGGTGTTGACCGGACGGGCCCTGAGCTCAAAGGCGTCACGCTCTCCGCTTAAGGTTTCTGACCGAGAGCGTTCGTGCTTCGGGACAAGCTGGTCGAAGTACTGTCGGAGCGCATCGGCGTAGTTGGTTGCGTTCAGGAAGATGACTGGCGTCTCAGCTAGCTTCGCGGTGATGAGGCCGAGAATCTGCGCTATCGTCTTGTGATAGGCGAAGCCCGGGTCGCCGAACTCGGACATCCAGTGGAAGCTGTCGTAATTGCTGTGGTACTGGTAGATGGGGGAATCGTCGGCTTGCCCGCCGAAACCTATGTCGAGACTAGGGATGCCAGCGAAATCTTGGAATGCCGTAAAGTCGCTGCCGCTGCCCATAATACCGATATGACCGTTCCAGAGATCCCGCACGGTCTGTCCTTCGACGGTACGGTTCGGTGACGGGACCAACGACGTCACCTCGTACAGGACCTTGTGCAGCAAGGGAGCGGCGGAGGCGGTAAAAGTCGGGCCGCGGACACCGACGTCGATGTTGACATAGGCCACAGTGGTGGCCGAGAGCCACTTGAGGTTCTCTTCTACCCACTCGGTGCTCCCGACCAAGCCATATTCCTCGCCGTCCCAGCTGGCGAATACGATAGTCCTCAGGGGTCTCCAGCCCTGGTCCAGAGCCTGGCCGAAGCTGCGGACCACCTCGTTGAGCGCGGCCGATCCGCTGTTGGGATCGCCCGCTCCGCCAGAGATCCACGCATCGCGGTGATTGCCCACCACTATGACCTCGTTGGAGATGGTGCCGTTGATGACACCGATCACATCCCACATAGGGGTGATGGTGTATTCTTGCTCGTTGTAGAGGTTGAGCACGACGTCGTCGGGCGAAGGGCCAATGTTGTACTCTACGCCTTTGTATCCGAGGCCGTTGTTTCGGGTCCAGTACTCGCCCAAATCCTTGGCTTGAGGCCCATGCCCGTTCAGGGCCTTCAGGATTGGCAAGGCGTCTAGGTAGGAGATGGGCAGAGAGGGGATGCTCGGGATCGAGCCATCGACGGGCGCTCGCGGCGCGCCCGGCTTCGACGGATAGCCGGGAGTGGTTGGGTCGCCTGGCGCGACGCTGAGGAATTGCACGCTCCCCCGCTGGACGCTGCTAGGGTTCCGGGCCGGTCCGTCGGGGTACGTGCCGTATCCGTTCGCTTCCGTGACCGTGCCGTCGTCGCCCGGGTCGGTGAAGGTGACGCAGCCGATCATGCCCAGTTCCTGTGCGCGTTTGACCTTCAAGCCTCGGAAGATGCCGCCGTACTTAGCAACAGCAATCTTCCCCTCGAGGGTGACATTGGCGGCAAGGAGGTCCTCGAAATCCCGGTACGTACCGTAGTTGACGTAGACGAAGGAGCCGGTGACGTTGCCGCTCGCGGAGTAGCCGTGGAAGGTCGGGATGCTATCCTCGAGCTGGGTGGTCGGGTCCTGCTCGAGCACGTCCTCCTTGAGCGAAGCCTCGAAGACCACGTTCCAGGCCTCGGCGCCGACAGAACCCGGCCGGGCCTTCTCTAGGAGGGCGAGGCGGTGGTCGACGGGGTAGTTGAGATAGGTGTCGTAGGCTATGATCTCGGACTGGACGCCCCATTCCGCCCAGCGGTCCCGCGTCCATTCGGCCTGCAGCACCGGAATGTTAGGAAGGGTGGGCTCGGGCCAGTCTCAATCGTGACGCCCTTACCTGAGACAAGTTCTTGCCGGCCAGATGGGGACCCGAGGTGTAATACCAGCTCCACTCGGCAGCCTTGGCGGCGCTGGGGGTGTCGAGGAGAAGGTCCCGAAGCTGTTCGAAGGTGAAGTGCGGCTTGTCGTGGCCGGGCCAGCTGTAGGGCGGCGTGCCGTAGGGCGGTTCGAGCACGACGGTGACGACGACGGTGACGAGGAGCGCGACGAGGGAGGAGCCCAGGGCGATGGTGCAGAATCGGCGGAGGGTTTGATGGGGATAGCGGCGACGTACGGGGGCGACGGCAACGGTGGAGAGCAACGGGGTGGATTCATTCGCCATCTTGTCGTCACGGCCAAGGCCAAGCGGTTGACGGTCGGTCGATCTCATGATGGCGCTGGCGCCGTCGGGAATCGAGGGATGGGGAGTTGGGTTGTTGAGGGCATGGCTCAGAGTGGTCTCGGAGGCGGGAAGGGAGAAGGGCACCGCATTGCCGCCTGGGCGGATGGTCGTAATGGGCGGGGGGCTGGGGGGCTGTCGCCATTCGGCTCTGCTCTGGATGAGGCCCGTCCTGTTGTGTCGCCGGTACGGGAACGGGGGAGGGAGATACAAAAGGTACCTACAGGCATTCTTACGGGGCAATCTCGCAGGGCTAGGAGATACCTATGAGTACAGCTACCTTCTAGGGTTAGTGCCATAGATACCTACCTACCTAGGTAGGTAGGTAGGTACCTACCTCGGGTACCTAGAGGTAGGTACTCATATATTAGGTAGGTACCTCCTACCTGTACTGCCCCGTCGTCTACCTACAGATCGGTTTGGTGTAGGTACCTGAGGCAAGGTACCTAGGTACCTAGACACCTACCTGACCTCATCTACCTACCGTAAGAGGTACCATGTACCTGACCTACAAGAGAGATACCTGTCTGAATCGATAAACGCCTACGATTACATACACCTGCTCCCATCCGGGTCCTCCGTGTTCTCTCCCTTCCCGAAGACCCCCCCCCCAAAAAAGTCCGCCGTCGCCCGCCGCCCGCCGCGCAGATACAGATTGGCAATGCCTCCTCCTGCGCCGCCCGCACGCGAGGCAGCGCATTGCATATGCGGTTATGTATCTGCCTCTGTCCCTGTCTAACGTCTCTGCGGACATGCGGTCGCCCCCCGCCTGACCTGCTCGGAATCCTATTGAAGCGCTTACGCAGACCGTCCTGTGGAATGGAGAAGACTGGGGGAGGGGGGCAGCGTGACCTTCCCCATCTCGGCCAAAGGACTGTGCATCCCATCCCCCTCTGCCTCCGGATCGTTACTACTACGTGCTGTTGTTGTTGTTGTTGTTGGATGGCTAGTCTGTTCGATGCCTACCCGTCTTAGACACCCGCCCAAGGTCAGCAACCCGCCCGATGGCCCGCCGAAAGACCTCCCAACTTCCCGCGCCGAGAGGCACCCGATGCTGTTCCGAGTCGAAATACCAGAGCCGCGTTGGCAACGGGCGGGTAGTTGGTGGGTGTTAACCGCGGTTGGCATCGAGCGCGTCGCGAACCTCCTCTTGTCGGTTCCCACGTAAGCCGCCGCCGGGACGGGCCCAGCAAGAGAGGGCAACACATAGACAACAAGTACACACGTAGGGAGCATACATACGTGCACACGGACGCGAGAGCTGGTGCGCCCTAGATTTGAAATAACTCATGCGTTCCTCTTGCTCCGGGCAGAAAGGCCGTCGCTCCGCTTTGCGCTTTTCCTTATTGACCGTTCGTAAATATATATCCCTCCGACATGAACGCCCGTGGTATCATGTGTATACTAAAGCAGAACCGCCGCCATGCAGGTCGTAGTGTACAGAACGGAACGCCAGAAGTCGAAACATGCCGATATCTTTTTGTCTCGTGGCCCGCATCCCAGATGCCACCTCGAAACGCCTTGCCAAGTCCCAAGCACTGTGGCTTTTCCTCCACCGGCGCAAACCACTGATCGCCCGGCCCGTCGACACATACCATCTCTAGCCAAGCATCTAATCATTTCTCATCTCGCCGTCCGCTTAGATAAACCCGTCCCTGGGAGCCCCCGACCTCTTTGGGGCCTCGCCAAAGAGTATATCCTAGGTCGTGCATGTGACAGTGATGATATATGTGAAACCCTCCCCCCCCCTCCTCCCCCGCCGCGAGATCGGATAGGGGGCGAAGTCTCAGCTCAACCGGCCCAAATTATCAGTACGCAAGGTGAGTCGATCCGTCTGGGCAAGTGCTCATTAGCGCACACGGTACGGTCGATATTCAGCGGCGCTTGTTCATGGGCTCTATTATGGAAGTGGCGGTGTCGTAATCCCAATGTCGTTTGAGGCCCCCTTCGTAGACGCTGGCAACCGACTCTTGCCACATGGCCGGCGTGACAAAGGCTTGCACAGGAGGAGCCGAGTACTGCTGATGCGGCAGAGGCTGCGCCGCGCCCGGTAGAGATGCGCTGGCGATCTGAATGTCTTGCGGAGTCGGGACTTCGGGGGCACCTGAAGATGAGGGAACACTTAGAGAACTGGACTGTGGGGCCACCGAAACTGGCTGAGACTGGAGCTGCTGCGTACCAAACGTCGTGTTCCATTGGCTGCGGGAGGGTCGCGAGGTTAGCGAGAGGCCGGCCGTTAACGTCTACAGAGATGTCTATGTATGCATGCACTTACTCAAACAGGCGGGACGGATTCCATGCCGAGCTATCTCCCAGGGTCATCCCGCCGGGAAGCGCGGGAGCGTGCGCGTTCTGGGCGGGATTCATCAGGGAGAGTGACTGTGCAGAAGGAGAGTCACTTTTACTATCCGCGGAGCCAGTAGAGATTGGTGTGATAGGATGGTTGGCATAACTAACATGCGAATGTTGACCGGCCTGGGGGTCCATGTTCGGGTCCAGTCCGCTGGTCTGGAGCATGGGCGGCTTGAAAGTGTTGCTGATGGGCGGGCTCGAGTGGTTGCTGGGATGCGGGCTCCCGTACGGGAAGCTCGGTTTGAGCACAAACGGTTTCCTGATGTCAGCCGAGAACGCCTCCCGCACTGCATCGATCTGCTTCAGCATCTCCGGCAGCGGCCAGGAATGCATCGTCTTCTCCAGTATCCTCATGTGCCTGGTGAAGTAGTCCCGCGCGTCCGAGTTGAGGTCCGGGTCCGGCGACGTCAGCGCGACCTACGCAAGCGAGCAGCGTTAGTCCCGTATGTCTTTTCTCCTATACTGAACGCGTCCAAGGCCGCAGAAAGGAGGGGGACGGGGAGTGGGGGTCATAACAACGCACAAGATGAAGAACAATGCAAGAGAGGATGGCGTATATGGTGAAGCTGATGCCTCGCTGCATGCATTGGAGCCCGCTGAGACCGAAGGATTGCAGCATCGACTCCTGGAGCCGGCAGAGGGCTTTAGCCGACGAGTAGCAGAGGAGCATGTGCGACTTCCACTTGCCGTCGGCGCTCGTCGGCTCGAGGAAAGTCAACTGCGGTCGATGGAGGATGATGATGCTCAAGTGGTAGTACGAGTGCGCGTTCCCGATGAAGTGCGACGGGAGCCACGGGGGCGATCCATCTGGCGGAAAGGTGATGCGCAAATCGGCCGGGAGATCGTTCGCCCAGCCCGTTATCGTCGGGTTGAGCTGCACAAATTCGGGGTCGAGGCCCCAATCCTTCTTCCTCTTGACCTTGGCGTAGACCGCATTGACCCAGTTAAGGTTGCGGGCGATACGGGACAGATACGTGAAGTTTCGAGAGACGTGATACTCGGCCTCGTCGGTGCCGGCCGTCAATCTCGGGACGCTGAAGTCGACGGTTTCGAGGTCTACCGAGAGGTCCTGCCGTCCTACGCCACACAGTCAGAACCACGGGGAGCAGCCGGCCGGCGAGGGGCGGAGTAACTGTACCTTGGGGTGCGGCAATCATAGTCTCGCACAGGGCTATCGTCTGCCATATGCGGCTCTTGGTCAAGCACTCGGCCGAAGACGAACCACACGACTTGCCGGCTTTGTGTGTGTCGAAATGCTCATCCAGCCCCAGATCCTTAGCCATAGCGACGCAATGCACGATCGACATCCAAGACCGGTAGTAGTAGCCGCGCTTCGGCGATGCCTCTCTAGCCTTGAGGATGATCAACAGGGCCTGCAGGGTGCTCAATCGCGGTACGTCCATGAAGGAATCGGCGTGCTCTACACCTCGTCAGTTCACCAGTACAGTCCAATTCTCGGGTTTCCCGCTCCTTACTCGAAGCCAGAGCGATCCATTGCTGCCCCAGCGCCGGTTCGTCGGCAAGTCGGCCGGCCACGGCGAAGATCGCTTCCAATAACAGAGGGGATATCGACTCCCGATTCGTGTGCCACTGGTGATAAAACTGGGGCTTGTATAAGACCGGAACGTAAGGGTGCACATTGGCGAAGTAGAGATCGAAATAATGCAGAATCGTCCCTTCATCCGGCATCAGCTCCGGGGGTATTCGGATCTTGAGGCCAGGCCCTGACGACATCGGCGGCAACACGCTCTTGTAGTCGTCTGCGTCCTCGACGGCAGGCTCCTCTTCCTGGTTATACAGGGCCATTTTGTTGTTCAGATACGGAGCTTCCGGTCATTAGCGTCAGCGAGCACGAAACAGAGCGTCTGAAAAGCCAAACACCAACCTGTACCCGCTTCGTCAACCTTGAGAGCGCCCAGGATGTCTGCGAGGTCCTGCTGCCCGTACTGGTCCTGATGGTAAGACTCGGGGGAAGATTCCGAATGGGCAGAGTGCTGCATCGGAGGTGTCGGGAAGACGTTGGCGGGGGCGTACGGCTGTTCCAGGACGCCAACTTGAGGGGGCATCGTCGTGTATTGGAGCTGGTGCGGGGCCGGCGGCGGAGGTTCACCGTACGGTATGGGAGAATAGACGCCCTGGTGCTCGGAATAGGAAGCGGAGGTCGCATACATGCCGGGCTTCGGCTGGCCAGCCATCATCGGCGGCGGCGGCGGCTGCATGGGCATATGTCTGAAGCTGTCCTGGGCGGGCGAAACGTCGAAGTCGGATCGCGAAGGCTCGTAGGATTGCGGTTCGGCTTGCGCTCCCTCGTATTGGCCATTGGGACGCACGCAGTGCAGCTTCAACCGGATACAGGCCGAGCAGGGCCAAGTGTTGGTCGTCGCAGCATCGCACTTGATCTTCCGTCTTCTGCACCCCTCGCAAGCTCTCATCACTAGCGGTTGGGCAATCCCCGTTAGCTAGGCCAGTTCTCTCTTTTTATTTATTAATATAGTTTCTTTTCCGACGGTGATCATACCCTTCAACCGCTTGTGACGGTTATGCTCATCCACGAACACATAATCTGCAGGCCAGAGAGGTGTTAGAACGAATTAGGCCAGCGGAATGTAGGGTGCGCGTGTGTATGTGTGGTGTGTGCACATCATGGGAGGGACCGCACTCTTCTGAGTCTCCCTTGGAGGCTGATAGGTCGGCGCCGCGAAGGAGAACGAGTTCAGCTGGGAGTTGGAGCTCTGCGGCAGCAGCCTGCGAACAGTCTGGTCGTTGCTCGACATGGCTGGTTCGTGTCTCGGCCGGCACGGAACCCTCGACGGATGGGGCCCAGCTGGAAAGCTCCTGATATCAATAGGCGACCATTGGCTCGCGGCAACGGACAGGCGGAGGGACGTCGCGGACGGTCTTCGGTCGGTGTCGTCTATGCGGTGCTATGGGACGTGAGCCGGGAGGGGGAAGGCCACGGGGTACGTATAGGTTGTCGGGAGAGAGCGGTGCGGAAGACGAGGCTAAGGCTGGTGAGGGCGAGAGAGCGAGAGGGAGTGGGAGTCCGGGAGAAGGAGTGAGAAAGAGAGAGAGTGAGCGAGAGAGAGTGAGCGAGAGAGAGTGAGCGAGAGAGAGTGAGAGAGAGAGAGGGTGCGCGCCACAGTCGAACGAGTTCATCAGAGGTATTATCCGCAGCGATCTCCCACCTCACTTTGCTACACGGACGACCGTATGTGTAGGTAGGCAGGTAAGTAGGTAGAAGTTGGGGTTTGTTTAAGAGGTAGGTTAGCTGAACGAAGGCTTGGTGGCTTGCAGTTCTGCAGGTCGGCGATGTACATAGCATGGATATAGTAGGAGGGACGTTAAGCATCGGCTCCTGAAGGTGGGCTGGAGAACGGCCCTTATTTTCTTCTCTGGTTTTTCTAGGGGGGGGGGGCCCGGTATTCAGGTCGATGGAGGGGATCTAGGTAGCCATGTCCTGGTACGGGTAGAAAGAAGAAAAAAAAAGATACGTGCACCTCGGCAGGGGGGGGGGGGGGGGGGGGAAGGGTGTACGGCAGGGTACCTCGCAGATTCCACCAATGCATGTAGGCAATACCGGCTATCGACCTACAGCCACGCTGCTTCGTGCCCCCAACACAAGTTGTACGCATGTACAGCTTACCGGCACGCCACTCTGCCCGTAGGTATATACCCAAGTTAGCTTGGTAGGAGGGTACTTACTTAGAGATAGGTAGAAGAGGTACCTAAGGTAGGTGCATACGTACCTACCTAGGTAGGTAGAGAAGAGACACCTAGAGGTACCTAAGGTTAGGTAACTACCGTAGGTACTTTTACCTCACCACAAGGTTAGGAGGTAGGTAGGTACTCTGGGTAACTCTAGGGAGATACCTCCTACTCTGAACGGCTTCCGTGGAGCTTCAGCACGCCCGGTGATTAGGTGCATGGAATGTACACAGAAACCTATGTACATGTATATTGTATCATACTGTACGACGTATGCATGGCGTAGGGAGGTCGAATGCTACCTACCGTACCTTAGGTACCTCTAGCATTGATGTACATGCCGCCCAGGCCAACGCCGAATCCGTCTCTGTACGTACCTACCCAAGGCAACTCAGGCGCGAGGAAGGAGGCGGGAGGGTACGTCGGTACATGCTCCAAGGAGGGTGTGGAATTGGATTGATGTCGGTGCTACGGCAGGATGGGATGGTAGGCTAATGGCGAAAGGCAATTGCCCTACTATACATGTGCATATACTATATGTATACTTCGGTAGGTAGGTCGGTACCTAGATACCTCCTGCCTTACCTTAGTACCTACCTAGGTACCCACCTCCTAGGGGTAACCCGGCCATATATGCCTAGGCTGCGACGACGGATCTGAATAATAATTCTTCCATTCGAGGCGGGTGGCTTCATCGCCCTGGGTGTTCTCGGCGTCGTTGACGGGGTCGACGCGGGAAGGGGGAGGAAGACGGCGAGGACGGACTACCTACCATACACAGCCGGGAGGAGGAGGACTGGGGGAATTCTGGCCAGTTGATTCGTGGGATTCGACGATGATAAACAACAGTCTGCCAGGCACCTTTTTACCTACCGTCCGCAATGCCGCCTTCTACTACCCAAGTTATATTACGGGCACCTATATAGGAATACGTGCGGCCAGTTGTATACGAATACTAGGTAGGTAGGTAGGTAGGTAGGTCGCATTACATGAATACGGGTAGCCAGTATACCTACCATATGTGAATATATGCAGGTAAAGTAGTGCCTCTCTGGGTTAGCGGGTGCAAAAGGCAAGGCCCAGCCAGCATCCAAGCTCCAGCACGGACGTGGTACGGTATCATCCGCTAAGCACATAACCTGCCTTAGCGGAACTCGATTTCAGTTAGAGGTAGGTAGAGGTACTTGCGACGATATATCGCCAACGCTGAGCGGCGAGCGGCGAGCGAGTTTGGGGCTTATGCAGTGCGAAGAGAACAAATTAAGCCGTTCGGCCGCGAGTCGACTCTCGATCCCACGACGAAACGCCCCTCGCCGCCCCCCCGCCGCCCCCCCCTTCGGTACCTAAGGGAGTTAGAGGGAGTCGGGCGGCACCCCCCAGCTCCTAGTAAGTGCGCAAGTCAGTCAGTAAGTACTCATAATACATCGTCACCATCGTCGCCGTCATCGTGTAGAAGCGGCGCGACTTTGGGAGAGGGAAGCGGGAGGGAGACAGAGGGGGGGAGACAGAGAGAGAATGGCGCCGGCCAGAGAGAGATACGTGCCACAGGTATCCGATACGGGGGACGAGGAGGGATGCGATACCTACTGTTACAAAGAGGGCGACAACAATAAGGGACATTTGCCAGGTTCTGTGGGCACGGGATGAAACGTCTGAGGAGAGCGGCGGGCGCATCAGATGTCAGATGCCAGCGTCTTCTCCTTCGCTGCAGAAGGGGCTTGCCGAGGTGGAACGCAAAATGCAGTGGCAAGGCAATAGCCGCCGAGAGTTGTGACTGCAGCAGCTTCCCTACATAGGTAGGTACCATACATTTGCTCGCCCACGTATACTCATATGACAACGTGTGTACACTCGGCGACGCGACCAGGTACCTCGGCGGACGCAGCGCGGCGGGCGCGCACGCACGTACCGCCCACGTAGCTAGGATGTACATGCACGCAAGCATATGCGAAGGGATTATGTAGGTTAGGTACCTACCTAGGTAGGTAGTTACCTGCACTACATGAGACCGATACCTAAGGCAGGCAGCTACCTACCACCTACCTAGCTACCTACCAAGGTAGCTACCTAATGAAGCGCCTAATGTACCCAAAGCAGTACCTAACCTACCTACCTAGGTACCTACCTTGGGTGGGTAGCCTGATGATGTATGCCCGGGTACGGAGTGGCCCTGCAAGGTACCTCTACCTATCTACCCTTCTTCTTTCTTCTCCTTCTCGGTCTCTTCTGTAATGACGGTGTTGACCAGGTGGGAAGTAGGTAGGTACCTACCGAAGGTAGGACGTACACGTACTAATGCCACGTAACTGAACCTTGCATTACGTATCTAGGTACATACCTACCTACCTAGGTACCTACTATAGGTACCTCCTCTGGCACACCTCCTCCTGCTCACAACCCCTCAACCGCGCCAAGAAGGGGAGGGGAGAGAGATGAGAAGAGCGAAGCATTACCAACACCTGCATTGGCTCGTTCGGCAAGCATCTCGGGACCTTTCGCGAACGAACGGACGAACGAACGAACCCCTTCTACTCGATACGACAAGGCCGAGAGGCCAAACCCAGTTCGCCAGCGCCCATCTCAGATCTACCCTACTTGCTACCCGTATATGATATTATCCACCTCGTCTTAGCTGTCCTCCAGCACCCAATTGGGCCCTGGGAGCTCGCCCCGCTGGCGTAGGAACCGGCTTGGTGTTATTTCCCTCGAGCCCGTGGTCAGATGTGTCTGCATGCAGCAGCCTCTTCTCGTTGCTCGCTCCCCCAACAGCCAGGCTTTTCCCGCCCTTCCCCTTCACCGGTCGGCGAGGCGTGCCGTCGAAGTTGGTCAGAATGAGCTGCAGCGTTGGATGTGAGTGGGTTGCATGTGCATTTGCCTACTGGGGAGGGGGGTGGGGAGAGAGAGTAGAGAGAGACAGAGAGAGAGAGAGAGAGAGAATGCTGAGGAGAAACAGAGATAGCGACAATACACAGAGAGAGAATAGACAGGCCGTGGTCGTCTTCCCCCACTCTCGTTCTCCCGCTAATTTCTACACCTCCCATAGATACGATACTACGCGCTCGAACACACCTACGCACGCAAGCACGCGCACACACGCACGCACACACACACACACACACACACACGCACACCACATAACATACATAGACGCACATGCAGCCCGACATGTACACACGCATACATATGCATGTATGTGCGAATGCATGCATGCCCATGTATGTATGCGCCTCTCGTTCTAGGTAAACAGGTAGGTTTAGCAGTCGTGTGAGTGCGAGTGAGTGTGGGTGGGTGGGTATGGGCGGCAGACGCGAGCACGCGCAACGCGTTGCGAGGGGGAGAGAGAGACAGCGACAGACAGACAGACAGACAGAGAGGGAGGCGAGGGAGAGGGTGGGTGAGAGAGAGCCAGCGGCGGGGAGCGCGGACAGAAGAGGAGAGGAGAGGCAAAGGTGGGAGAGTAGGAGGAGTAGGAGTAGGAGTGGGAGGAGGGGAGAGAATGACAGCATGTCGAGGCTACCGTGCTCACGACAGCAATTGGTGGTCACGGCTGAATAGTCACCTTCGCCTACGCGCCATTCACCCATCCTACCTCCTCCAGACCTCATATCGACGGCACATACATGGTCTCTCAATGACTTACCTAACGTAGGCGAGAGGTAGGTTGCCTACCTGAGCCCACCCCTACCGAATATGGCCAGATCTAAAATATACCTACGTGAACGGGCCACAGGCAGTAAAGGAGGCCGTTATATCATAATAGTATTTATAGAACAGAGGGCTATAAGGTAGTTATACAACGCGCAGGCAGTGTTGACGTTGCTACACACCTACCCTCTCGGGGTTTCCCACCCTGCTGGGAGCGACTTGGCCGGATTGAACGCCAGAGCGGGAGCACAGAGCCAACTGGCAATATATGCAAGCCGACGAGGATCATGTTGTGTGGTTCGCAACCTTGTCTCCGTCGGGCGTAGGTTACTCTCGACTCTCTCGACCCCCCAAAGGTAAGTGGCCCTCTCTCTCAGCCAGCTTGGAAAGGCGCCGACCTTGCCTAGATAGGTAGTTAGGTAGACGATGGGTGACGGGCTTAAATCCGATCGCCTAGCGCCTACGAGGCATGCCCGTACGCATAGTATAGAACGTCAGAAGGCGTATTCGGGCGTACGTGATGATGTCTGCACGGCCACGGCAACGATCTAGATTCTGGGGTAGCATACGGAGGCAGTCCCCGGCCTCGAGTTTGTCGGGATAGCTTCCCCTTGTCTGAAGAAGAGAGCGAGCTCCTATATCCCTAGACAGATATAGATAGGTATATAGATAGATATATAGGTATATGTAAGGTATATATATCACGCATAGATTACTAGGCCCAGGTGATTATACCACGAGATCGGCTGGCCAACTATGAGTAGAGAGGCCTTCCTGTCACACTATACTCAGTAGGTATAATGCGCGCCCTCACCTGGGGGACCTGAGAGAGCAACGCTTGCATATACACAGTAAGGTAGACGATGTGTATGGAGCGAGGATGGCTACGATTCAACGCCACAACCTCCCCGGAGCAAGGTAGAAACTATGTAGGAAGAATACGGTCACTAACGGGTGCCGCACCAACACACAACAAACACACAACACGCGAGGTAGGTGTTATATGAGTAGATAGAAGGGGGGGGAAGGGGACCCAGCCTTCCGAAATCCCGATGCTCCTAGCCCGCACCCGGGTCTGGTCTCTCCCCCCCACGGGAGCTTACCGGATCCATCGGTGGATGGAGGTTGGCGATCCCTCGAATTGCCCGAGAGGGCCTAGGACAGAGCAAGGCTCGTTGATTTGTGAGACTTTGTCATCAATAAGAGGGAGGGGGGGGGGGGTAGGGGTGGGCGAAGCCGGCGCACACATAGTATGTAGGTACAGAGAGCATGCTCACACATCTCTCTACACCCACACACTTACCTGTCATATACAAGGGTGGATGGAAGGGTGGATGGATGGGTGGATGGATGGATAGATGTGCACATCAGCAAATGAGAGCACCACGGGCCGAACTGCTCCTACGCTACCTGATGACGGGCTTTGCCGGTAGCCTTATATTTTATCCTCAGGTGGCCCCTAGGCTCTTCCTGGCGAGGCCCAGCTGCCGGCGGGTATCAGGTTAGGCGGCGGCGGCAGCAGAAGAAGAGAGCAGAGAGCGCAAGCTGGCTTCTCGTACCAGAGTTTCAGGTGAGGAGGGCGCTGGTATGAGACAGAGGACCCAAGACGGCGGAGGCATGGGATCGCGTGGCAGGGCTGAAGGCGAAGAAGAAGAAGAAGAAGAAGAAGGCGAAGAAGAAGAGGAAGAATGGATACCTAGGTACATACCTAGGTATGTACCAAACGTGCATGACCCCGGAGCCGTCCGTCTCATCTATGCAATACCCACCACCTCCTACCTCAAGTACCCTGAGGTATCTGGGCAGACGATGTGCCGTGCCGTTCATGGCCTCCATAGGAGGTTCTCTCGTCATAAATTAATAACAATAATGAATGGCGACCTGCACATATGCATTACTAAGCACTCGTAATCCAGAGAGATTATGAGTATGACCAGGTGCCCTTCTTCACCTCAGATACCTACATGTCCACACTACGCGGCGGTTGCGCGCGTCGCTGGCGTGCCTGCCAAGTACTGTGTACATACCACGCAGTCCCCTTGGCCAGTGGCACGTGCCAATCGCGCTTGGGGAGGGGGGTCGACGGCTAATTCCGTCCAACGCCAGAAACCAGCTGCCTATCTCGGCTGGGGCGTCTGCAATACCGCCGTTCTGGTCTGTCCTCTTTGCTCTATAAAACCACCAACCCTTGGCCGAGAAGCCGTGGCGACAGGCTCGAACTGTGCCGTCGATCGCCAGGCGCGTGGACTGGACCTGAGAGCGGGAATGGTGCCGGTGGTGGGTGGTTGTCGTGTTTAGCTCCCCCAAGCCAAGATCACCTCGACCATGTCAGAAGGCTATACTCACACGTATAGGATCCGCCGGCTACCTATATTATCGCGCACAGCTCCCCTGCCTACGCCCATCCCCGCCCGGGTGCTGCAATATGTCTGTTGGGGGCGAGAAGGTGGAAGCTGAATCGATGTCGAACGGATGCGGCGAGGTAAGCCGTCGTCCAGTCCGCGTCGTCCCCCCTCCCAGCTCTAGGCCAGCTCCCACCTCTACTCATACAGTATGTACGTACATACAGAGAGAGACCTACGTACGTCTGCATGGACGTGCGCCGCGCGCAGCTTCGACGGCATCTGCTGCGCAGCGCATAATTTCTGTGGCAGTGAAACAGCCGTCGCTCGTTGTAACCGTTGTATTACATATCCGGCACTGGACGCGCGGACGCGCGCAGACACGCCTCTGCCCCTGCATATGGCCCCGAGCGCGGCGCCCACACGTCGAGCGCATCGAGGGACGGCCTCGCCATCGGGCCTCGAAAAGCTGCGAAGGGGGAGGGAGGGTAACGATCGACCGGATATCTGGGGATGCTCGGAGCGGGTTAGCGGGCGACCCCAGGCGAGACTTATCCCAGGAAAGGGAGGGTCGATCAGGCACGCAACCCAGATTCTGCTCTGCTCTGCTCTGCTCTGCCTCCCCTCCATCCCCCCTCTCCTCTCTTCCTCTCCCTCTTCCTCTCCCTCTCCCTACCTCCTCCTTCTGGTCGAGGGGTCACGACGTAGTAGATTATAGATTATATGCATACCAAGGTGCCTACTTAGGCAGGGAGGCGTGTAGCCGATCGCAGGTGGTTATATGAACGTGCCACCTCCGTAGCATGTGGCCCATTCGCCCGAATCCACCCGTCCGCGCCGTCGACAGCGTAAAGGTCGCGACGTGGGCACGAATTGAAGAGGGCAAAGGCGCCTATATGGAAATGCCATAGATGCATGTGAAAGCGGTGAAACCCTCGAAATCTAGACAGACTCGAGACTTACTTGGAGCCCGCCGCCACCATGGAATGTTGGTGTTCTACTCGTACAGAACATTCTTGAATGCACCCAGTACGTTGTTTCGAGGTAGGTACATGTTGGAGGTACCGCAATATGCATACCCACATTAGGCGAGGTACTTAGATTGATAGCACGTTTCTAGGCCGACATGGAGGTATCTGGCATGTGCATAATGTGTATAATGTGTCTCTCAGGTTTCCGTGTAGAAGTCATCATTATCAAAGTCTGGTCCCCCGATAAGATGGATAAGATAAGTCCATGCCTTTAGGTACCTACCTACCTGCCTACAGTACCTGGTAGGAAGGATTGACGATGAGAGGTACCTAGATTAGGTACCTACCTGAAGCACATGCAGGTTGCGAGATGTATCTGGCCTGTCTAGGGCACATAGCGGGCCATCCAAATCAGGGAGTTCCTAATGAGAGGTATACACTGAGCCGAGTATCTCTCCCCTGCCTAGATTAGGTACTTTCCTCTAGTCACTTAAGGTAGCTGCTTAACCCGCTGAGTACCTCATACCTAAAAGGTACCTCAAAAGATACCTACCTTGGGTACCACCTAGAGGTAGCCCTACCCCGATGACTACACAACACACAGGCAAAAGAACTGCCTTAGGTAAGGCACCCCTCCATCCCATCGTCAACCTGGAAAACCTCGGCTTCAAACCACTTCTCATCCCACCATCAATCCGCTGTGAGCTGTTCGCCACATCCTAGTGACGAAACCAAGTAGGCTTCTTTCTTTCTATACCAAAACCGCCGAGATTATTCTGTCCTTTCGCCCCGCCGCATCCCACTAACCCTTCTCTTGCGTCCCCTGCGATCCGCCCAGCAGCCAGCCCGACAGAGAGAGAAAGGGAGGAAGGGAGAGAGAAGGAGAGAAAGAAGGCAGCCAGCCAGCCAGAGAGAGGGCGGCGTACCGAAGTCCTCTCGGTACACCATCGTAGACCGCGGCGATGGATAAGGACAATGCAAACCCCACCGTCCTGAACACTTCCCAGCTTCCCACGAGACAGCTCAAGAAGCATAGAGCCCCCAAACCCTCCAATTCCCAGTTCCGCAGCGTCATACGCAAGCCACGCTACCTGTGTGATCCCTTTTACGACATTTCTTGGTCTGACGATACCGAGAGTGACGACGAATTCACGGCCGAGCCGATCGACGAACAGGAGATATACGGTACTTATCCCCCCTTCTCTTCTTTTCCCTCCTGCCTACCCCCCCCCCCCCCCCCCCAGGCCCCTGCTAGGTGCAAATATATCGAACGATGGGATCGGAATATCGTCAGTCCCACGACCGCTGCCAGCTCTCTAACCTCTTTTTCTTCTTTCGCGACGCAGATCTAATCTCGACCATTTCCGATCCCGAGCATCCGCTATCCCTTGGCCAGCTAGCCGTGGTCAACCTCCCCGACATCCACATAGCTCCGTCTTCCTTGGACGGGGCAGATCCCAACAGGCTCACCCGAGTGCTCGTCGAGATCACGCCCACGATTACTCACTGCTCTCTCGCCACTGTCATCGGCCTCGGCGTGCGAGTGCGTCTCGAGCAGGCCCTCCCGCCGAACTACCGAGTGGATGTCATGATCAAGGAGGGCTCGCACAGCCAAGACGACCAAGTCAACAAGCAGCTGGCCGACAAGGAACGAGTCGCCGCGGCCTTGGAAAATGACACGCTGAAGGGAGTCCTAGACAAGATGCTGGAGACTTGTACGTGAGCTTAAATCTCGCCGTGCCGGCCCAAAATACCCGAGGGCCCGTAGGCTCCACGTACATACAATAATCAAAAGACACCGGGCGGATCCCAGAAACCCCGGCCGCTATTTACACCACTGTAGAGTTCATTGCCAATCTCCACGAGTCCAGACTGCTTCGCCGGGATCCTCAAAGGCGTTGCTCAACGCCTAGTAAGGCCGAGTGGCATGGGCCAGGCGACGCCCTGCCCGGGTATTCCGCTCCCCCCTCCCCTCCCCTAAGCAGCAAACATGCTGGAGCCCGGTCGCGTTAAGACAGGATTGGGAACGGCATCGACAGAGAGCAAGGGCCACACCGACTCGCACAAGCCACGCCCGGCCGGGTACTGACGTGCTACCCAGAAATATAATTGCGTGTTATGCTGTCAGGGCTTTTCGTCAATAGCCCGAAACCCCGGAGAGCAGGGCAGCAGCAGTGTCCTCTGTAATGATGCGTAGCATTCGAGGCCGCTAGGGTGGGTTGGAGCCGCTGGTTGGGGGGGGGAGGGTTGCTGATTTGGATCATGCGTTTCCTTCCTGGAGCTCGCCAAAAGGGGGCAGGGTGGGATTCGGATCAGTATATAGGGCTGTTTCGTTAGAGGACTAAGCTATGCGACCCCGTACACGTGCCTGGCAAATCTCAACAAGACTAGGCCGGTCGAACAGCAGGCGGCAGATGATCTGCACAGCTATAGCCAGTACTGCGTGTGCGTGTGCGTGTGCGTGTGTGTGTGTACGTGTGTGTGTGTGTGTGTGCATGCGCGGCCGTCGTCGAGGCACGTCTTAAGGCTTAGTTGGCGATGTCTTATAGCAACAGGACCCTGGGGAACGGCAGCGGGTATTATGAGGAGTAGATGATACCTCACACGCCTGTGTATACTCATACATATGTATGTGTCGGCGCACACGTGTAGCCTCCCCTCCCCTTGCCATCCGAGGGGTTATAGGAACCATGTCAATACGACCAGATCGGTATCTGACCGAGGCCGTCCCATGGTTGTAGCGATTTCGGGGCAACGTGACGGACATGGGAGGGGGGGGAGGGATATGGGTGCGGTTAACCCCTGACTAAACTCCCTCCTCGCCCTCAAAAGAGGAAATATTGGATACGAACCACGGGCCACGAGAGCACGAGCAGGACAGAAGAGAAAGGGGAGGAGAAGCCATACCTCGGCTGTCCCTAACATTGGCCTAATTTTCCCTGTAAGTTGGGGTCCCGTCTGTGAATGGCGGCAAACTCTTCCTGCCGCTGCTCCCTGACTCCTCCCTGTCGAGGGTTAGCGGGAGAACCCCCCCCCCCCCTTTCCCCCCCTGCTTCATCACCTACCTACCTCGCCCCCCCCTCTCCTCTCCCCTGGCCTCGCCAATGTTCGAGTTGATCTGCTTCAGGTGCGTAACAAGACAAGCTCGGCGCCCTACGTCCAGCGCCAGTCTATACGACGGGCAGGGCATCCCCGCGTCGTTGTTCCTCTCGTTTGCGGCCTTATCCTGTTTTGTCTTTGGAGATCGTTTCGTTTACTACGACTGCTCCCCTCCCCTCGCATCTCCTGCTTCTCCTTCTCCTTCTCCTTCTCCTTCTCCTTCTACTCGGCTTCTATCGCTGATAATAGCATTCCCATCTCTGTCTTTACCTCGTCGCCCGCGTTTCCTCACCCCTCTTCCCCCCCTCCTCTCCTCTCTCTCGCGCGCGCGCGGCTTCTTCCGCGTGGAGGAACAGGGTTACGTATACCTACGTATGCGTTTTGGCCGATACCACGCTCAGCTACGTCGGAGGCGTCTACGTACATTGCCTATACGTATACTACCTATATCTACGTATATGCCGTCAGACCCGGTGGAGCGCCGTCTTCTAATAATAGGCGAGTTCGTAGGGGCGACGTGGAGAACCAAGGTGTTCCCTACCTTCTCTGCCTCTCTCCCCTACCCCGATCGCTTCGGTACATGTGTATATGCCGGTAGATGGGCAAAGTAAGGCCGTGGAGGCGTGCGTATAGGTAGGTAGGTATACGTAGTAAGTACCTACCAGGCAAGACTCGGGCGACCTGGTAGTAAGCCTGTCTCTGCATACCGATACCGATATGCTAGGGCTTACTTACTTGCCAGGTTCAGGCCAGGCTCTTCGCCGGGAGGACCTCCCGCCCGCCCCCTTCTCTCTCTCCTCGCCTGCTACGCGTGTACCTACATGACATACCTATTTACGTAGTATGCTGAGAAAGGGGGGAGGGTGAGGGGGGCCTAGTTTTGATGCCGTATGTCGAGCATAGAAGTATGTACGTGAATACAAGGAATATACCACACCGCAGTCCATGGCGCATTATCGAAGCTCCGAGTCGGTATTACGTGTGTGTGTATGTGTGTGTGTGGGGTGTGTGTGTGTGGTGTGCGAGGACGACAGAAACGCAACCCATGGCCGTCGATTCAATGCCCGTCTATTTTTAACCTATCCGAGACTCCTTGGGCGCGGTAGGGCGTGTTGGCCCAGACCTACGGTCTGTCAGAGGGCGTCGTCGTCGTCGGCGATCAAGTCGTCGTTATCCCCCTTTTCCCCCTCCCTCCTCCTCCTCCTTACTACGTACATACCGACCTTCATACATACATAATTTATGCTGTCTAGTAAGGTAGCCTATATCGAAGCCAATAAGTGGGTGCCGTCTTCGCCCTCCGCTGCCGGGATAGCGGGATAAGGGGAGGAGAGACTGGGAGGAGGCCCGTCGCGTTGCCCCTTGAACCACCAAGAGAGATGTTTAGGCCCGATTCCCTTTCTCCAAGACGCCCTCTTCCTTGCTGAGTCCGAACCTCACCCCCTTCCCCTTACCTCCCTTCTCGCCCAGTCCATTGCGAACCCCATTCTTCATTTGTACGCATGGTACGTCTGCGGCGACTTCGTTCGCCCGCTCGTGCCCCGAATACAACTTTGCTCTGCTCTGCTCCGCTCCTCGAACCCTCCCCTTCCCTCGCTATCTGTCCTTGCTGTCAGCCCTGGCTGGCTCTCGGTGGCACTCGCCTTCCCCCCTCCCCTCCCCCCCCTCCTCTTCCTCCAGCTGACGGCGCCGAGCTGCCTATTTCTCTGCCTGTCGTTGGCAGGACGGGACGCGTCTATGCGTCTATGTGGTTGCACAATAACGTAAGAAGACGCCGCAGGGTGCCCGGGTAGCCGTACGAAGGCAATCTCTGCACCCACTTCGCCATCCGCGTCCTGACCGAGTCCTCCCGTCCCTCCCCAAGGCTCGTGTCCTTTTGCTCCCCGTCCCTCCTTCGTCGGGCACCGTTACGTAGCACCCTGCTCTCAACGCGGCATGCCGGGTAGGGAAGGAGGGGGGAGGGGGGCAACAGCTCGACCGCTCACGCTCTGGACCCAACCTACATCCATCCGTCCATCCATCTATCCACACACACACACACACACACACACGTATGTACGTGCCGTGTCCGTACGCAGACGTCGTCTCCCATATCCTGTGCTCACCTATATCGTCACGGGAGCGAGCCTCCGATGACACGAGAGGGCGTGGGGAAAGGGAAAAGGGGTCTCAGACGGACGCGCCAGAAACCTCAGAGGTTTGGTACGGTTGCTGTTACTAGCCGCTGTCGCTACCTCGCTTCGTCGAGCATGCTAGCGAGATATACATATGCGTGTGTGTGCGTGCGCGTCTGTAGGTATGTGTGTACGTGCACGCTTTACCACCGACATGGCACGCTGGGGTATCTTCGGGCGACTGGCTAGCGAAAGCACCATGAGCCGTACGGCCAGAACGAGCCTAGGTTGTGTGTAGGTATGTGTGTGCGCTGTACCCGTGCGTGGGTTGCGTGCCTTTTCTCCTCCTCGGATCTGCCTATCCTACCCTACGCCAACGGGCCTCGGTGCTTCTCCCGCATCATGCGTTCTCCGGTAACGTACACGCTACGTAGTAGGCCATGCATATGTCGCCCTTTTATAGGTCTAGCCTTGGAATGAAAATCCTTCTAGATGAGCCGGCCACGTCTTCTAGGCTAACCCACCCCCGTGCCCTGAGCGCCCTCTCCAAACAGGGGTAGATGACGGCCCACCGGTACATGATAACCATGCGCTCGCTTGCCCTTATAGTACAGTTCGGTAGCTAAGTTGCTGTGAGATGGGCAGTGGTCATTCACCTGCCCCATCTGTGAGAAACTATTACGGGAGAAGAATAAAAAAGGAAGAGCAACTTAGGGCCCCGGGGGAGAGGAGATAGATAGTTGCCTTTCATGGACTACCAAGCGTGCCGCTTTCCATGAGGCTCTGATAAAATTCGGGTTCGAGGAACTTGGCCACGCTAACATCCTCGCTAAGGCCCTTGCGCCTCCGGGTCTTCAACACGAAGTCCCTGGCGGTAGCTTGGGCGTCGGCGGGCTGTAGCGGTCGTAAAGTGACCTCTTTGTCCAGCGGGTCGCCTGGAACCTTCTGCCACTTGTCGAAGACGAGACTTACCATAGCCTGACCCTGCGTCTGGATACGAACGTCGGTCTCGAAACCGAACGAGTCGATCACCGGGATCAGGCCGTTAACGCGGTACAACGGGGTTCCGGCAATGGGGCCATCTGCTAGTACGTGACCACGCCGGCGGGCTAGGACGTTATATAGGACGGGGACGGCATCCTGGGGGCCGGTCATCGAGCACGCGTACAACGGCTCCATGAGGCGCGGCGAAGCCATCAGGAACGAGCTGTAGCATGTGCGGCGGGCGGTTGGGATGATCTGCCCACCACCCCTGAGGATCGCCTCTTGCGCGAGCGAGACGTCCATGATACGAAACTTGGTGTTCCGGATCGCTGCGGTCAGGGCTACGGGTTAGCGGGCCATACCGTAAGGAAGAGCTCTGGGATTGTCCACCGTCTGTGCCTCCCAGCGCGTGCGCGCGAAGCCGCTACATTGTAGGGTTGCTGTGCACAAATACACACCAACCGCGATTCTCCCGACAGGCACTAGCCCCTGACATGGAATGGTAATGTAGAGAAAGAAAAGAAGGAAAAAACGACGAGCCACTAGGAACGAAGCGTGGGTGGCCGACCTAGCCTCTGTCATGCTGGTGTCGCGTACCGTTGTGTGGGAGATTACGGCACGAGTGGCCCTGGAACCGGTTTTCGCCCTACCTTGTGGACGGTGTAGGTGATGGAAGCAGGTTTCTTCGTCGAAAGAACAAATCTGCACGGATGCTAAGGGTAGGGGAGGGGCCCTCCCTGGTCCCAAGCTTGCTTTCCTGGCAAGATATTCGACCAGGATTACGACCATGTTGCTGAGCTTGGCGGAAAGACCCCATATCCACGATGGCATGGCCTTTTACATGGTCTATTGACACCTAGCGCCTTGGCGGTCTCGATTGAGCAACGTGGGCACGCTGGTTGTGGAGCAAGCTTGGGGGATGAGGCTTTAGGAACGGGCGGTCTTGGCGGCGAGCCCTCAGAGGGGTAGAAGAGCGGTACAGGGGCAGAGAGGCAGAGAGCGGGATGGCGAGAGAGGGAGAGCGGGAGGTGGAGGGACCCGGAGACGGATAGGGATATAGAGAGAGGAATAGAGAGAGAAGGGGATAGGCAGAGAGAAGGGGGGGACAGAAGGAGAGAGAGATGGAGCGAGAAAGGGGAGGGGGGGGGCTAGGGGGGGCTAGAGGTGCCGGAAGCCGTGGGGTTGGTGGACAACGGGATTGGACACGCAGAGCGAGTGAGCGATATCGAAATGTAACGAGATATAAGCACTCACGTTCTTCGCATAGGGGCCCTTCTCGGGCTGCCCAGCTAAACCCTTGGCGAATGGTTTCTCGCACGCTTCTCAGAAGCGTCTTATCCACCTGCCGAAAGCGTTAGACCCGGTCTCAGGAGGCCAAACGTGCTGGCACAGCGCAATATTCTAGAAGTCTGAGGCTGAAGAGGCGGGGAGGATGTTGCCGTGTGCAGAAACGGCAAAGCGACGACCCGACAGTCACCGCGAGTCCCGGCCTGCGTAGTAAGACGCCGAGCCTTTCGAAGTCGCAACGAGTGGGGGAGGAGAAGAAAAGCGTAGCCGACACATACCTCGAGAGTATCATCCTGCAAGATGTTGGGTCCTTTTTCATCCGGGCCGAATGCCCAAATGCTCCTCGCAGCCAGCAGATCCCATCCGTACTTCTCCTGGAAGAACTTTCCCACCTTCCGAGCTCCGTCTTGCATCTTCACTCGGCCGCTCTCGATGTCCTCCGCGATCCCGTCGTCGAGGGGCTCGGCCACCATGGTGATCTTGTTCTTTTTATTAGGTGTGATAGCGTAGCACTTGGTCGCCGACATCTCGTCCACCGTCTCGCAGAAACGGGTCACAGGATCGGAAACCTTGATCTCCATATCTGCGTATAGCCGTCGGAGGTCATAGAGGACGCAGTCCATGTACAGCTCCCCGGTGCCCAGGATGATGTGCTCACCTGACTCTTCCACCTTCGTAGTGATCAGAGGGTAGCTCTTGTTGATCTTCCGCAGGCCGTCGAGCATCTTGGGCAGCTCGGACGGGTTGATAGGCTCGACTGCTACCTTCAGGACTGACTCGGTGAAATGAGTGACTGGTCTGAAGATGAACGCGTCCTCGTCGTCCTCGAGCTTCGGCGGTACTATTGTCGCCGACTTGACGATCGAGTTGTCGACCCCGCTGAGCAGCACCCAGTTTCCGGCGGGGACGCCGTCCGTCTCGACATTGTACCGCGTCTCGGCGATGTAGACCTTCGAGATCGTTCCCATCGCCATGTCCTCCTCGTCGTCGATGGAATAACCCTCCCCGAGAACGCGGACCTGCATGCCCGGCCGAGCGATGCCGCTCATGACCCGACCGAACGAGTAGAAGCTTTTGGCATCGGAGGAGTTGAAGAGTTTCGTGATATGGACGACCAGGGGGCCGTCCTGGTCGCATTTCTTCATCGACGCGGCCACCTTAGTATCCAGAGGCCCGGTGTAATACTGCTCTAATTTGGCCTCGGCCGCTTCTAGCGGAGACGGGACGTGCTTGACGATCATGTCGACGAAGCCGGACGACGGTCCGAAGAACCGCTCGCAGACCAGCTTGAGGAGCACCTTGGCGTCCGCCTTGTATTGAGACGGCTTCAGGGTTATGCCCAACGTTGCCAGGACAACCTTGAGCTCTGACGGACTCTGGCTGATGGTGTGGGAGAAGACCTTGTAGATGGGCTCGAGCACGAAGTTGATGAACGACCTCTTCGCGTGCTCTTCGCCGGGTAGGGGCTTCCGGCTAAACGTCCGCTTCCCGGGGTTGAAATAAATATCACCCCAGAGGCGCCTCGCGAATTCCTCCGTGTTCACGCTGGGGAAGCTGTCGGCGTACATCTTGGCGAACGACTGCAGCGTAAAGCACCAGCCCATCTCGCTGCAGGCGAACAGCACGTTCCCCTTTTCCGGGCTTATCCGCTTGCTCTCGCCAGACCCGGGCCGGGTGTTTTCGATGACCGTGTTCACCTCCTCGACGACGTGCTTTAGCTTGAAGTAGGCGTCGCTCGGCGGCAGTCTCAGTTCCAGTATCAGCCTGTCTACCTTGTTGATGATCAGGGTCATCGGGATATCTTGGAGGACGGCGTGCTTGATGATCTGCTCTGTGTTGACCTGCACGCCCTCGACCACATCCACAACGAGCGCCACGCCATCCACCAGCCGCAGTGCGGCAGCGACCTCGTCGACGAAATTAACGTGCCCCGGGGTATCGATAATGTTGAACAGGTGGGACTTGCCCTTCGTACTTTGTAGCACCAGGCTCATCGGCGCCGCCTTCACGGAGAGGCCGCGTTCCCTCTCGACGATGTGGGTATCGGTATAGCGTAGCTGCTCGTCCCTCTTCCTCCCCGTCCGCTGCTCCAGCCTGTCGGCGATGTCGTGCGTCTCGAGCACCAGCATGTCCATGAAGGCGGTCTTGCCGTGATGGAGGTCGCCGGCCAGGGCGACGTTGCGTATCTGGTCAGGGAAGTTCATGAGATCGGTCATGAAGCTGCGGTCGAAGTGGACGGGAGGGAGGTCGGCCTCCTCGATGGAGAACTTCTTGACGTCGATGGGCGCGACTATGGGCTGGGTGAGCGGCTGGGCATCCTCCTCCTGCACCAAGGTCTCGACGTCGGCCCCGTACACCTGCTGCGCGGTCGGGTAGTACTGCTTGTCCTCGTGCAATATCACGGCGTTCGACGGCCCGTCCTCGTCCATCTCCATCAGCTCCCGGCCAGCACCTTCGGGGGCCTCCTCGGGGTATCCGCCGTCGTCGTTGAGGTACGCGCCCGCGTCAACGCCGCGCTCGGAGTCTTCCTCAGATGCGTCGGCATCCTCCCCGATAAAATTGCCGAACCTGGCCCGAATCTGTCAGCGAGGAAAGCAAGAGGGAGATCATCAGCGGCGACTCACTCATCGTAGAGGTCATCCATGGCGTCGGTAGGGCTTTGGCGTGGGAAATCGACGGGTTGCTTCGTAGTGTGATGAGCAGGACGAAGGAGTGGCAGGCTGCGCTCCCAATAAATAAGTTGAAGGAGTGCCAGCGAGTTGTGCAAGGCTGAGAGTCTGGGAGTTGGTGTGGCGGGTAGCCAAGAGAAAATAAATATGGAGACAGACTGTGGCGAGCGGCACGAGGCTGGCCAGCCACATATGGCTGGTTATGCCCGGGAGGCACGGCCGCCGGCGACCGTCCGGGCCGGTGTACCGCTGTGGCTTAGCGGGGTCCCCAACGCCTTGCTAACCCCCGACGACCTGGCCAATCACCGAGGCGCTGGTCGTGCCCCACCACCCCAGGTTGGCGTGCTGAGATAAGATAAGCCATGCGGTGGGACATGCGCACCTGGGCCAACGGGAGGGGCAGCGGGCTTGTATCTATACCGCCCACCTACCGAGAAGCAAGTACCTACCTCTATCCACGAACCACCTGCCAACCACTGCCTGCTACCTCGAGACAGGTACCTGGCCGGGTAGAGTACCAGAGTACGAGCTACCTCTCCGCCTCTTCACGCTCTTCATAGGCTCGCTCCTTGTTGACCACAAGCCGGTCGTCGGCCTTAGGTAATCCAGATGCCCTCGCGCAGGATCTTGTCCCCTTTTATTTACTCACGAAAAAAAGGGTGAATGGAGAGGGGGTGGAGGACAGGGTCCCAGACTCGCCCAACACTTTTCCGGTGGCACGGTAATATTCTCTGCTGTCATCGCCAATACCTATTACATCGGTCCGCACACTACCACTTATTTACACGTGGGATCCCTCCCCTCGACCCGACGCCTTCAGACATCCCCGTCCCTGGTCCCCAGCCTGTCGACTTTTCTCCCCTCTCCTCCTACGCCGTCGTGATACCGCGATACCGTGATAATATACCTACCTGCCGTTGTTCCCAGCCGAGACCGAGCCGGTGCTTCTCCTTCTATACCTACCTGTCGAATCCACCATGTCCGGCCTCCCTCCCGTCTACATCGTCTCCGCTGCCCGAACCCCAGTGGGGTCGTTCTTAGGGTATGTCTCGCTGTCGCCGTCTGCCGCGAACTTCTCGACCAAAAGCTCCCCCCTTCCTCGGGCCCCCTCCTCTTCTCCTTCTGCACCCCCGCTGGCCGTGAGACGAGCTCACCATTAGGCAATTAGGACGCTGTCGAGTCTCAGCGCCGTCCAGCTGGGATCGCACGCCATAAAAGGTACGATCGACCTCCCGTGTTCTAGTCAGCGTCAGCCGCCCCGCTAATCCCTCTCCCTCCCTCCCTTCTCACTGTAGCTGCTATTGAGCGGGTTCCTCAGATCAAGCCAGAAGATGTAGAAGAAGTCTTCTTCGGCAACGTGCTGTCTGCAAAGTAAGTCCTCCTTCGACTGCGCTCTGTTTTCCGTGTGTCTATAGAGCGGGAGCGTGGGGGAGCGGGGAAGCGAGCGCGGAGGGTATACTGTATGCTGGACGGGGTAGGGTGAAGGGGAAAGACAGACAGACAGACAGACAAACAGACGGGCCCGTAGCTAACCTCTTCAGCCTCGGACAAGCGCCGGCTCGGCAATGTGCCCTCGGCGCCGGCATACCCGACTCGGTGGTCTGCACGGGCGTTAACAAGGTGTGCGCGTCGGGCCTCAAGGCCATCATCCTGGGCGCCCAGACCATCATAACCGGCAACGCGTCCATCGTCGTCGCCGGCGGCACCGAGTCCATGTCCAACACCCCGCACTACCTCCCGACCCTCCGCAACGGCGCCAAGTTCGGCGACCAGACCCTGATCGACGGCATGCTCAAGGACGGCTTGACCGACGCCTACGGCAAGAAGGAGCATATGGGCCTCCAGGGCGAGCTGTGCGCCGACGACCACGGCATCTCGCGCGAGCAGCAGGACGAGTACGCCATCGAGACCTACACCCGCGCCCAGAAGGCCACCGCCGCCGGCGTCTTCTCGCGCGAGATCGTGCCCGTCGAGGTCAGCGGCGGTCGCGGCAAGCCCCCGGTCAAGGTCACGACCGACGAGGAGGTCAAAAACCTCAACCCCGAGAAGCTCCGGACGGTGCGCCCCGCTTTCAAGCCGCAGGGCGGCACCGTCACCGCCGCCAACGCCGCCCCGCTCAACGACGGCGCCGCCGCCCTCGTGCTCATGTCCGAGGCCAAGATCAAGGAGCTCGGCGTCACGCCGATCGCCAAGATCCTCGGCTGGGGCGACGCCGCGCGCGAGCCCGAGCGTTTCACCACCGCGCCCGCCCTCGCCATCCCCAAGGCCATCAAGCACGCCGGCCTGACGAGCGACAGCGTCGACTTCTACGAGATCAACGAGGCCTTCTCCGTCGTCGCCCTCGCCAACATCAAGCTCCTCGGCCTCGACCCCGCCAAGGTCAACATCTTCGGCGGCTCCGTCGCTATCGGCCACCCCCTCGGCTGCTCCGGCGCCCGCATCGTTACCACCCTCACTACCGTCCTGCGCGAGAAGAAGGCCAAGGTCGGCTGCGCCGGCATCTGCAACGGCGGTGGCGGCGCCAGCGCCATCGTCATCGAGAGCTTGCAGTAAGTCGCACATACACGTCGTCGGTCAGAGGGAGGGAGATCTCTGGTTATATGTACGGCAGCAGAGAGAGAGGGCGGCGGCGGCATAGATATCATTACCACGCGCGATAGAAACGGTAGTAACCAGAAGCAACAGCAATGATGATGTGGCCATGTTGTAACCCGCAACCAAGAGAAAGGGGACGTCGACCGGCGGGAGACGATCTATACGCGGCTGACGGGCAGATGGTGTCGTCTTTAATAATATACATCTTCGAATGCTGCCTACCGTCTCATAGGCAGCCGATATCTGAGGTTTACTCCTTCTAGTGTACCCAGCACATTGGAGCTCACATGGGAACCGGGAATGCATAGCAATAGTATAGTTGGCTTAACCTACGACTACATGAATGATGCCGCCGACGTAGTATACACGCAGATGTAAAACGCAAAAAGGATATTGCAGCAATGTGATCGTAACCACAATCCAATGCCAGCCAGCCCAGTCCGAACTCGTTCTTGCATCCCTCTTCCCGCCGTCCCGGTAGCCGTATCGCGTGCAGGATGGAGAGCCGCGTTCGCGTCTGTATGGAAGATCGAGAAGCCGAACTGGCATTGGCATTGGGTCTGCACACTGCCCTGTCAAACGCCAACCGTGATGATGCATGCCGTTTATGCATCGTCGAATATCGCCCTCTGATTACTCCCGAGACTGCCACAGGCAGGCAATCTAGAACAACAAAAACAAGGAACGAACACGCAAAAAGGCTGTGGTCGTAAGCGTTACTCTGCCCCCTCGCCATCCTCGCCATCCTCCCCTTGACCCTGGCCAGCCGGTGCGACGCCATCCTTGAACCACTTCTGGAAGTTCTCGTTCACTTTCTGGACTTTATCCTGGCTCATCCCCCGCATCCAAGCATTGTTCATTACCATCTTCTCCCGAAATCTCTGGTCACGGTGCTCGGTGACGGCACGCCTGTGCTCCTCGGCCTTGGCCTTGTCTTCCTCGCCCTCGGGTTCGGTCGCGTAGACAAAGGATTCCGACGTGTCCTTCTCCCAGACAATCTTGCTAGAGTTCAAGCAGATACGCATAACTAGGCCCTCGTAGAAGCCGAGAGGCTTCGGCACATTGCCGTCGTCGGAGTCAGTATCGCTTGATGGTAGGTTCCTGGCGAGGACTGCCTTCTGTAGACGGGAGCGCGAGACCCCTTCTGTGGGCTCGACGCGCATGTACGAGGAGATGTAGTACTGCCACCTCTCGCGAAGTTCCATCTCGTCCATGTAGAATGTCGTCTCTTCACGTTGCAACCAACGAACCGTAGCCTCGTGCTTCTGCGGGAACTGTAATCATATCGGTTAGGGGCTAAACATGCATTCGGTCTTAGAAAATGAGACGGAACCTACCCAGCAGATGACGAACATGTCGCCATCTTTAATGCACTTCTCGGCGAACTTGCGCGCGCTGATCTCGGTCTGGTAGCTTGTTTCTTCGTGGTGGCGCGTGCTCAAGAACTGCTGGATGAGGTCGGGCGTCTTTTCCTTCGAGTCTGGACTCGTACACGTCAAAGAGAGACGGCATAGCGTCTTCAGGAGATCCTGGATCGTGTACAGCGTCCAGCCTTTCTTGAGGTAGTAATGTCGGAGGACTTCTTGGTAACGATTCTCGTCGATTTCCCCGGTAATGTAGTCCTCGATCAGCTCGACGGTCTTCGGCCAGAAGGACGCAGGGTCGTTCTCGTCGAAGTAGTTAATTTCGTTGACAGAAATACCGAGTTCCTTGGCGGGCTTCTTGCTCTTAGATCGGAGGATCTCTTGCGAGACGCTTTCCCTGCTATCTTTGACGTCCTTGAGGCGCTTGTATAGGGTATGGAAGACGCTGAAAAAGACGTAGATGGTTTGGTTGCAGAAGAAATTGTACCAAGGGCGAGGGAAAAACCCATCGGCTTTCAATTCCCCGTCTGCGTCCAACAGCGGATTGTCACCCTTAACGACCGTCGCCCGAGGGACTATGGGCAGCCAGCGTTCGTTCGACACGCCTGTAGGTACGGCATCATCAGGGACATCGCCCATCTCTTCCTCGTTCGCAGAACCAACGTCCGGAGTCGTCTCTTTACTACCGGACGCTGCACTGTCTTCCTTCTGATTTCTAGTCTTAGCGCCGTTACGGCTAGGGTCTAACACGCCGCGGCGTAGGTCGGATCTCTTGCCATTGCGCCGAGATCGGCCGTTGGTCAGTTCCGCTGGAAGTTGCTCTTCGGCATCTTCCTCTCCAGAATCGCGATCAATGTCTTGGAGCCGATCTTGGACCTTGTCTTCCGGCAGTTCGAAAAACCGCGAGACGAAAAACTCGAAGAATTCGACGATACGGTCCTTCTCCGACGCGCTGTGGTGGCCATTGTTCATGCCGTACAAGACCATGAATCGTAGTAGGTCTAGGATAACCTCCTGGTCACTAAGCTCATAAGCGAATTGATATCGCGGGACCTTGGTCCTTGAGCTCCGCAGGCGCTGCTGCTCTTCGTGTTTAGTCTTGATGACGTCCACTAGGTGCTTGGCGGACAGGTTGCGCTTATCGTTCTGCTTGACCTGAATACCCATGTGATCAAGACTCTTGAGATGCATGATCTCCGTCTGGGCCTGCCACACCTTCTCCCACTCGCGCTGCGTGAACCGCCATTCTTCGTCCTTCTGCTTCAGTCGGGCGAGTACGACGGGAACCACGGCAAAGGGATCCGTAAACATGTCGTTCACAACATCGATCCCCTTATCTAGACCGTAGATCTTCTTGAGAACCCGTCTAAAGATGGAGGTGCTGGAGCCACCGAGGCCTGCCGGCATCTGGAAAGTCTCCCGCTCCTGAGGGGTTAAGTTCAGCATCTGCTGGGCGATTGGCTCCAACAGTTGTATGCACTTGACGTTAGCCTCGATATTGAAGTCGTAGTCGTGTCGCTCTTCTTCGATTCTGTGAAGACCCTCTTCAAAGGCGTTCTTCCGGTGAGCCACAAAGCCGGAATCCTCGGAAGCCCAGGTCGGATGGGAAGCCCATTCGTCGTTGAGGACAGCGTTGCACATCTCATCTCGACCACCGCACGGCTTTAGCTTCTCCTATAACGGCATCATTAGCCGACGGTGTTCGCCTAGTAGTAAGTGGGATGCGTCACTCACTTTGCGAGGTAGCAAGCGGTAGCTAGGCCCGATAGCACGGCAGTTGCTCAACGAGACCTTCTCCGTTGGGGGTCGAGGCCTATTCTCGATGATCTCGTCGAGACCTTCGTAACCAACGAAAGTCTTGAACCAGCCCATAAGCTCAGCATTGCCACCGATGAATTGGCTAGCCTTGTGGACGAGGTCGTTCGTATCGATCAGACTTTGCGAGTACATATTGCAAAGTTTCAGGAACTCGTTCATGGTTGACCTATTGCCGATAAACTTCTTAACCTTCTCAAAGAAGCCCAGCTCGTCAGGAGTCGCATTCGCCGAGGATGTAGGCGGTAACGGCTCGGGCAGAATCGGAGTGAGAGTCGGCTCGATTGATGGCGCATCAGCGGCTACGGCTTTATGGTTGAGCTTTGGACGCTTGTTCGCGGGGCCGACCCCAGGGATCGTCCGAGGCCCCGGGGCCGGGCTGTCTACCATCGCGGGAGCCGGGGGAGGGGGTTGTTTATCATTACGTGGGCGCTTCTTGTTGTCTTTACTAGCACTAGCCGGAGGTGCAAAGTTACCGACTGGAGGCATCTTCTGGCCGTCCCTCATGGCGTGGCCGGGCTGCGGCGTGGTTTGGGGGATGCCCGTCATCGCAAAGACGTCTTCGGATTTCGCGCCGTTGGTCTTACTCGACGCCGCCGACTCCGGTAGGAACTGTTTAAAATCCTCCAGAAGATCGGGTGCGGTGTTGAATAGGCTGGTGACCTGTGCGTACACGTCCTGTATCGGTTTCTGTTCTCGTTGGTAGGTCTGGAGGATTTCGAGGAATTGCTTGTAGATCTCGGGTTTGTCCTGGAATCGGTTCTGAGCAGCGAGAAATATTAGCAGTCGATTCGACGAGGTTTTGCTGCTAGAGCACAGTGCTCTCGTGCAAATTTTTTTGTGGAGACGGGTTGGTAAGGAGGTCTCTCATCGCCCATGAAGGCTGGCAAATCGTCCCCTCGGCCTCTTACCTTGATCTTGTTCACGTAGCTGATAGCATGGTTGAACTCAACAGGCCCGCGCTTTTCTATACCCGCCTGCTGACTGCCGCCGCTCGGAGGGCCCTGGGGGCCGCTCGGAGTCGGCGTCAGAGCGTTACGCGCCGTAGGCACGTTGGGTGCACCCGGATTGTTCTGGGCCTGTGATGCGCCGCGATGCTGCTGCTGCGGAGGTCCGTCAAACGCTGAAGTAGGACCTTGTCCGGGCCCAAACGTGTTTGGGCCGTTCGTCACGGGGGCGCTGAAGGCTGCTTCGGGACTCTCGATGCTGTGTTGAGGCTGCGAGTGCTGTTGCCAGTTGCCGGGACGGTGGTTGAAAAATGGTGCGTTCGAGCCAGCCTGACCATGCGCACCGTCACCTTGATTCGCCCGGCCAGTAATCGACTGGACCGTCGTTCCCATAGGCGTAGTTACACGGATGGTGTTGGGGTCGTTGCCTGCACCGCACTCGATTCTGTACCCCGGCGGGAGAAAGGTGTTGAAGCCTTGGATGAGATTTGGGTGCCCCGCGAAGAGCTCCGAAACCCGGTTAATAACACCAGGGGTGTCGATTCTGACCTATCGGTGAGCCTCTACATTCTGTCTCGTATGCGACTCGGTATGTGCACTAACGTTTGGCTCTTGAAATCCTTCATAATATCAAGGAACTTGTTATACACGTCAGGTTGGTCGGCAAATTGCACCTTGACCTGGTCCAGATAACTCAGCGCATCCTGTAAGAGAACGTAGGTTAGCAACCCGAATCAACGGGCCAACACGCATAGGTCAACTCGTAGCCGGGGCCGGCGGGATAAATACGTGGGCAGATATCGGCTCAAACCCCTCCGAGCGACGCGCAATTGCTCCCCGTCCTGCCTGCGTAGTGTCCTTATCGGCGCAAATTGCGGGAACCTGCAAAATCTAGAGAGAAGGAGAGGAACAGGGAGGGAGGGAGGGGGGAGAGGATGCGGCTCGGAGAAGTCTGTAGGTTCATAGCCCCCAATCGGACGCCGACATTAAGTGCCAAACTCTAGCAGGTGCTAGGTTTACGAAGAAAGCATAGGGGGTGACGGACACACCTGAGACGCAGAAGAGAGGAGAAGGCAGTGGGCAGGGTGGGAGCGTAGCGTTTTGCGCGTAAGGGGGAAGATGGTTATGGAAGACGGGGATTCTCGGGCCGGAGCGAGCGCGCTGCTGGACATATCCCTTCTCAAAAGGCTCAACTTTCGCAAAAACTCACATTCAAGATAGGCTGCTGGCCTTGAGGTAATCCGCCAGCTCCGGCTCCTGGCCCAGCTCCCGAGGCCGGGTGACCACCGCTTGTTATGCCATTACTACCGCCAAACGGCATACCCTGGGCGGCGCGGTTGCCGTCCTGCTGTAAGGGACCGCCGAACATATGGGTTGCTGCCCCCGATGTACCGGAAGGGCCTGGGTTGTGGCCGCCTAGGGCGCCAAACATTTGGCTGGATGCGTTCTGGGCGCTGTGCGGAAGAGGGCGGGTTGTCTCAACTGGCAATGGACCACCGAACGAATTCACCGGGCCTGAGGGAGCACCGAGAGGGATAGGAGGTCCCGAACCCCCATGGGTCGCGAGAAGGCCGCCGGGGCTATGGATGGCACCAGGGAGCCGCGAAGCGACAGGCTGGTGGATCTGGAGGGAGGCAGTGTTGCTCTGGCGAGGCGTGCCGGCCGGGTACTGATCTCTCTGATGGCGTTCGGTGGACTCGCGGTCTCGGGAGATGTCGTCAGGATGAGAATTCATGACTCTTTCGGGTCGCGGTTCTGGTAGGGAAATGGATCAGCCAGGATTGCCCCTCACGGCAGCGCGCGACGGCGACGAAACGCCCTCAGGAGAGGGATTCTCGAACGAATGCCAAGTCGGACAGGACAACACGGGGAGACGAGGACACGTACTTGTCAGGAGGCGACTCACTCTACATGGACGCAGTTGACGTGTAAAGACGAGAGGGGGGGGTTGAGGAAGCGGTAGAGATGAAGACGATGAGGGTTTTGGGGGGTGACAACGGCGGGATATGATCAAGCTGTCGCGGCTTGGGGAGGTAGGTTTCCATTTCCACGCGGAAATCAGCAACCTCCTCTGCAGCAACGCGCGATAAGAAGCCGGAAAAGCGAGTGGTCCGCCGGTTTGCCGCAGGTCACATGGAGATAAGCGTATCGAGCACAGAACCGGCTTAGCGGCTTTTCCCGCGACTTCCAAATAGAGTCTGGCGTGTGCGTCCGCGCCCTTCCCCTTTCTCCCTTTCCGTCCCGGGTGGGAGAGTTACCTAAGACTGCGGGTACCCAGATACCTCAGGTAACATGGTCCCAATATCCTACGTTACCTCCTTATTTCACACCCGTTTCTCTCCTCCTTTTCCCCCTAGCGAAAGGATTCAGCGCAACGCCGCCGCGGGCTGACCACTATTCCCAAAGACCACGTCTCGCCCGCACAGGTACGTGAGAGGTAGAGGTATGTATGGCAGTTAAGTACCTAATCTGCGTGCCGCTTCGTCGACATGGAGGCAGATCATTAGGTTTGTCATGCTGGGCAAGGATACACACACATTGAAGTTTTGAAATTCTACATATAGACCACTTACGCGTACACCAGGTAGAGGTACTTGGGCAGCTACCTACCTAGATACCTAGGTACCTACCTACCTAAGCAGGAACTACGAGCACGTAATTGGAGGTGATTTATTGGCGACTCCGATTGTCGGAACATGTGTCAGGTACCTAAGGTACCTGAGGTAGTTACCTCCTAGGGTGTACCATCACGAGTCCCCGACCGACACTCGCAGGCAAAGCGTCAAACTACTAATACCCATCTCCTCGAGGCGGATTTGGGTAAGCCAGCAATACCTGACCTCAACAGAGCAGCGGTGGGGGACTAGCGAGTACACAGGCCTTTTTTTTTTTCCGCCAATAGACAATTTCTCCAGGCCACCCGCCCTACGACGTCAACTCGCCTCCCTAGCAGTTCCTATCATCAACGTGGACGGGCCTTATCGTCGAGGCAAATAAGCATGGCCGCCGGATGCCCAAAGCATGGGTACCCGGTGTAGGAGAGCAAGTTGGACCGGAGAGGGTTCAGCGGCATGTAATAGGTATGTTAAATGGTTAAGGTGTGTGCAAGAGGGCGCCCACGTAGACGGCAATAATCAGCAAGTGACGAGGGCGATTGCGACGTCGTTCCGTACGAGCACGGTCCAGGCTACCGAGGCTTGAAAGGCAGACGCCATACTACTACTATCCAGTCTCCTGTTCATACAGGCGGCCGACGCAACGAAGCCACCACGACACAGTAGCTCGTCTGGTTGCTGATAGTTCGACGACCGAAACACACGTCGATAGAGGAGTGAGCTAGATTTGCCTTAGGGAGATGGATTCGCGCCTAATCTGTGCCTTGCCTTGCCACCATGCCAGTACAATTCATCAGAGCCCTTCCCAAGCGGCCAAATTGGAACCATCACGCCACTAAGCCATAAATACCACCAAAAAGAGAACTCCATTCGTTGCCCAGGAGAGCCGGTGAGGCCCAGCAGGATAAGCATAACCTGCCGAAGCTGCCCCAAATCCTTCATAGCCCTGTCGGCCGACCGAATCGGCCAGGCCCTCCCATACCAGGTATCCAACCCCCCCATACTCTCACTAGCAAGTATATTGTCGAGTTCCATTGCTCGACGTTGCAATAGGGCGTCGTGTGTGCTTTCCCCATCTACATATCCGAGATAAACACGTCGATTAGGCGTAGTTGCGAACTCCATTCAAAACCCAGACCTCGCCATTCCCGACCTGGCTAGCGGTGCTGTCTATCTCGATCCCGTCTGGCTGCAGCTACAGACTCTCTGTAAGTATGTCCTCGGCCCAGAGAATCGGGATGACTTACCACTTTGATACCGTCTCTCATCTCCCACCATATCTGCCGATCCCCGTCTAGGAGGGCCGTGGCCTTCTCTCCCTCCGTCCATGGGCTCACGGGGACGACGTGTGCCTCGACGAACCTCCTAATGTTCCTGTGCGCCCGGTCTCGCCCGTCCCCGCCCTCGTAGGCATCCGCGCCCAGGGCCTTGTAGTCCTCGGGGTCCTCCCACGGCTTGCGCGGCAGCTTCTCGATGGCCGAGTTTCGCGGGGCCAGTACGGTGCTGTTCAGCGACGAGTTATCGAGGCGCGACGACACCGAGCCGACGTCGCGCGTAAATCCGGCGAAGATGTTGATGCTGCGATCGCGGCCCATCACGTCCGAGATCAGCACCCCTCCCTGGGACGGTGGCGGCTCGGGGCGCTTCGGCTGGTCCGCGGGGGGGACGACGGGGCCGACGGGATTCATGACAGGCGTCTGGTCGAGGACGATGGGACGCTGCAAGGCGGCGGGCTCGGCAGATACTACGGTTGCCAAGATCTGGAGACAGCACAGCACTAAGGGTCTCATCGTTTTCCGAACGTAAAACTCCTCGCGCCTAGGGTGTAGAAAGATGCTATACGCTGGTGTATAGTGAGGTAGACGATTTGGCCGCCGGCTAACGGATGTTGGTGAGCAAATGGAGTCGCGGATGTGGTGAGCTGGTGGCAAGTTGTAGGTATGTACCGGTGACATACCCAAGCCCCCACAACTTTCAGCTCAAGTGACATCACCACGAGTCCAATAGCTGAGTAATACTCGCGAAGTGCATTATTTCAAACAAGTGCATATTTGCATCTACGCAGGTATAGGCAGTATAAGCTATCGGCTCTCAAGCCGCCGGGCGTATCATCGTGGAAAAATATTTGAGCCACCGGGCCGATGTTCCTTTCTACTTGTCCTACAAGGACTCTTCGATGCGCCGTAAAACCGCCTACCTAGGCATTGCCTATCCTCACGATAGCCGCACCGCAGGTACATCATGGTTGGCTACCTATCTAGGGTCCACTATTACCCGCCAATTCCAGGCCCGACACCTTGGGCATTCTCATCCGGCTAGGGGCTGGATCTCTTAACGGGCGGACTGCCATCGAGCGAAGGGGTCGGGTATGGTGAGATCGCATTTCTCGCTCGGTAGAAGGTTCTTCGGTTATGCGCGTTTATCACCTAATTCACCAGCGGTGTCGAACCAACGGGATCCCGTGCTGCCTAGAGAGAGGGGTTCGCCGGACTATCGAGTAGGATGTTGCCGATTCTGGTGCACTGCCGCGGCGTAGTATTCATGATCAGCCGTCGAGGCAGCCAGCTGGTGGCTGGCGTCCCGTCGCTTGTTCGACTCTCGAGGCCGAGAAGCCATCCGCCTAAGGAGGGCTCGAAACGACGATGCAGGATCTACCTATCGCACAAGCGCGAGCACTTCTGTCGGGAGGGCCGTGACCGCATCGAGGAGGTCAAGTCACTAGGGGGACACGTCGTAGCGAGGAACTGGACGTCGATGTTAGTGTTGTAATTGCCAAACCGGAGATGGGATGCCGGGCCACAGGGACAGCACCACATACCGGCCGTACCGGTAGCAGGGTTGGAATTTGTGTCGTCGTTGCTAGAGCAAGGGCGTCGACGGTCACGATAGAATGTTGGAGGGGGATATGCATAGGTAGGTGAGCTATGTCGACTTTCACATGTAAATGCTGAGCGCTATGGATATGAGAGAGAATGTGAGGTCAGATCAGCGTCAATCGCGTCCTAGAGGATGGTCATCTGACACGCGAGGCGGCTTTGTGGGGGAACGGCCGGTTTCGTATTGCCGTCCGGGGCGCGGAGGTGCCTATAGGATGTAGGTAGGTACCTCTTACCACAACGTTAGGTAGGTACCTTTGGAGGTACATTATGCGGGTAGGTTAGGTACATTAGGTACCCAAGGTACCTGATTCTGCGGAGGCTGCTAGGTCGATCACATGCAGAATCCCCCAACCTGCCGGATTCCCAACGGGAGGCAGACAAGTACAGGGTACCCGAACTAGCCTACCTTAGGTACCTGGTCTCCTAATTGCTCGTGACTTGTCGCGTGTGGGGAAGAAGGGTTCAAGACCGCCGACTTTGCCTTCCCCCCCGTTGGGGTTGTGGCTTCCAGATCCGTGGTGGTCCCATTTTATCTGGGGGCAGGCGCCCCCGGGGGGCGTTGGAGGATGGAGCGAGGCTAAAGTTGAGGGGTCTCCATCTGCAGAAAGGGGAGCCTCGGCATTTTTGCCGAAGCGTATTACCGGGACATTCGGCGTAGGTACCTACGACTCGCGCTTAGTGACATCACGTCCTCGGCTGAACATTGGGCGAGTGCGTTGTACCTCTCCGCCCAGCGCGCCCCCCGTGTCCTCTCCCCTTATTCTACGTAGTGGACGAGGGCTTGAATCGCGTGCCAGTCGGCGTCCCCCTAACCTGAGAGGTAGGTACCTGGGTAGGTACGGTAGGTTAGGTACGGCAGGTAACGCAGTAGACGGATGTACTTGGGAGGTTGGTGGAGGCAGGTACCTTCTAAAGGTGCCACTTAGCAGGCAGGTACCTCGCCGAGTACATGTAGAGTTCGCCCATGCGCCTGCTCGGCACGAGCTAACTTACACATGTAGCCAGAGCTCGGACGTCCCTGCCTGGCTACATACCTACGAGTACACGCCTGCACCTGGGGAGCGTGCTGCTGCGAGGCAAGTACCGAGATACCTCCTTCTGCACCAGCCCCCTGCGAGGAGAGTCGACCTCGGCTCGGCCGCGCGCGAATCAGCTTGTCAGCAATTCAAAAGAGAGCTGCCTCGAGCCTGCAATGGCCAACGGGGGGGGAAACTGCCGCAACCCCATATCAAGCCCCGACAATTCCGTGCCCGCTACCGCTCTCTCTTGTCTGTGACGCTTACAACTTCTCTTCTTCTTCTCTTCTCTTCTCCCTCAACCCTCAACCCTCCACCCTCTCTCTCTCCTCTCTGTTTCTTCCATCACAACTTGCTCATACTTGCTCCTGTCCGTCTTCCTCTTCCTTCGTCCCATCATCGTCGACCGCCCGTCAGACAGTGTTGCCAACAAACAATTCACATATATACACCTTCGAATAAACGCACACGCGTGCCCGCACGCTTTACGTCAATCAGAATGGCGCCCCGTGTGATCGTCGTTGGCGGTGGCTGTAAGCTCCAGCTTTCTCTCACACGCCCTTCTTCCCTCTCCGCCCCGGTGTTAAAGAGGTTGCCCGTGAGCTAACCGTCCCATGCAGTGTCCGGTCTGAGCGCTGCGCACACGATTTACTTAGCTGGCGGCAATGTGGTGGTCCTCGACAAGCAAGGTGAGTTTTGAGACTTCCTCCCTCCTTTTTATTTTCTTGCCGCGGAATATACCGGGTTGCCGCGTCCCCCCCGGCTCGCAGCGGCTAATGCAGTTATCTGTCTAGGCTTCTTTGGAGGAAACTCTACCAAGGCCACCTCGGGTATCAACGGCGCCTTGACGCGGACGCAGGTCGAGCACAAGATCCAGGACAGCGTCAAGCAGTTCTACGATGATACCCTCAAGTCGGCGCGAGACCAGGCCCGGCCAGACCTCATCAAGGTCCTTACCTACAAATCTGCCGCTGCAGTGGAATGGCTGCAAGATGTCTTCAACTTGGATCTGACCTTGGTGTCGCGGCTCGGGTACGTACAGAAGAAACCAATTGATTTGATGTCTCGTCGCGTTATTTGTTTATCGCTTCCCCGATCCTTCCCATCAAATCCAGTGACACTTATGCTGATGGACTGCACAGCGGCCATTCTCAACCCCGGACGCACAGAGGTCATGACGCGAAGTTCCCCGGCATGGCCATCACATATGCCCTGATGCAGAGGCTGGAAGAACTCGCCGAGACCGAGCCGGAACGAGTCCAGATCATTAAGAAGGCCCGTGTGACTAGCTTAAATAAGGAGGGCAACAAGGTCACCGGAGTTACGTACGAGTCTGACGGCGAGAGCGTCATTCTCAACGGCCCCGTCGTCCTCGCTACTGGTGGTTACGCCGCGGATTTCGGCGAGAACTCCCTATTGAAGAAGCACAGGCCCGATACCTTTGACCTCGCTACCACCAACGGCACCCACGCCACCGGTGACGGCCAGAAGATGGTTATGGCCATCGGAGGAAACGGTATTGATATGGACAAGGTTCAGGTCCACCCTACCGGTCTCGTCGACCCCAAGGACCCCGGCTCTAAATGGAAGTTCTTGGCCGCCGAGGCGCTGCGCGGTGAGGGTGGTCTTCTGCTTAACGCCGACGGCGACAGATTCTGCGACGAGCTCGGCCACAGAGATTACGTCTCGGGCATGATGTGGAAGGAGAAGGACAAGGGCAAGTTCCCCATCCGGCTCGTCCTCAACTCCAAGGCCTCCAAGGTTTTGGACTTCCACACTCGCCATTACTCCGGTCGTGGACTGATGAAGAAGATTACGGGCCGGGAACTCGCCAAGGAGATCGGCTGCACCCCCGAGCACCTCCAAAAGACCTTCACCACATACAATGCCATCGCGGAGGGCAAGCAAAAAGACCCGTGGGGCAAGAAGTTCTTTCACAACCTGCCTCTGGATATCAACGACGACTTCCACGTCTCGCTGATGGAACCCGTTGTCCACTTCACCATGGGCGGTGTCGAGATCAACGACAAGGCTCAGGTCTTGAACACGGAGAAGAAGCCCTTCGAGGGTCTCTTCGCGTGCGGTGAATTGGCTGGTGGCGTCCACGGAGCCAACCGCCTCGGAGGCTCGTCGCTTCTAGGGTGCGTTGTTTATGGTCGCGTTGCTGGTGATTCGGCAAGCAATTACCTATTTCAGCAAGCGCTCTCCGGCGCAACCGGCGTGGCCGGAGCCGCCCAGCGTCTCGGCCAAATCTCGCTGCACATCGACCCATCCCAACCGGGCAAGCTGTCCGTCGAGTGGGGTAGTGGTGCTTCTGGTAGCGGAGCTTCTGGCTCGTCGCCGCCGTTTGTCGACCAGAAGACGACCGCCGCCGCCGCCGGCCCTACAGCTGCGTCCTCGGCGGGCGCATCAGCCCAAGCCACGACGAAGGCTCAAGGCCCGAAGCCGTTCGAGGTACCGGAAGAGGAATTTACGATGGAGGAAGTAGCTAAGCACAACAAGAAGGAAGACCTCTGGGTGGTTGTCAAGGGTGTCGTCCTAGATGTGACGAACTGGCTTGATGATCACCCGGGTGGCCCCCAAGCACTTCTTAACTTCATGGGCCGAGACGCGACGGAAGAGTTTGAAATGCTACACGACGACGAAGTGATCCCGAAGTACGCCCCGGAGCAGGTAATAGGGCGCATTAAGGGGCAGGAGGTAACGCTTGAAATCTAGGCGCGGCGAGCAATGACCATCTGCTCGTTGCATCGAGCCATTGGGTGTTAGTTACTATGATTGACGAAAATTCCCCATATATCCCCTACGCGGGAGCACTAGAGTCGGGAAGGGGGGGGAGCAGTGGAAGCCAAGCCAGGCGGAGGCGCTTCTCTTGTATTACATCCCATGGCTGTACCGATAACTATTTACTTTGATTTTGGATGCAGCACGCTGCAGCTTCGAGGTGTATATATATATATATATATATATTATCACTTTGCCTTTCAAACCTACGTACTGTCTAGGAGTACTTTTGCGGTCTTGTTACTCGACTTCCATAGTAGGTTACTACTAGTATATCATCCTAAGTGAGCTCCAACGATGCAAGAACTTTGTGGGATCCGAAAAGGTCCGTTCAGTCGCCGGTGCCACGCAAGATGTATCATTCATTCATTTCTCATTATCAGTACTCTTCTTATGTTAGCTAGTCGAGTCACATTTGCACTTGGCGGGGGCGCCGTCGCATATAGGTATATATCCGGTACGAAGCCACGCTATATAGCAGTGGCAACTCTCCCTCCCCCTGGCAGCAGCTCAGCCATAGCCGGGAAGATTGGGGGGATATCCTATTCCTACGGAGCAGGGCGGATCCCGCGGCGGCTTCGTCCAACTGCCGTTTCGCGAAGACCCGCCGCCCGTCGTCGTCATCGTCGCCGTCTCCCCCCCCCCCCCCCCCGGCCGGCTGTAGGCGGCGCGTGCTTAACGGGAAGCGCCGGTTCGAAACCGCGCCAACGCCCCGCTAACCGACGCGGAGGAGCGGCGGTCGCGTCCCCGAGCCGTACGTCTCGCACGGTCCCGCCATGTTGCGCCCCGACCGCGCGGGCCGAGCCGCCGGGAGGCAAGACGGACGGATATAAGAGGGGTTAAGAGGGGGCCGAGGGGGCGAGAGGGCGAGGAATGCAGGGATACGTTCGTAGTGACCTCGTTGGTTGTTCGTTACTCTACGGCTTCTAGATCAAGCAGATTATGCAGAGCTACCCCCGTGCCCTGGACGGCGTGTGTTCTGCGGCGTATGTCTCGCTTACTCTGAGGTGGGACGTTGAGCTATCTCGCCGGCCTCTCGTCTCCCTGCTGAATAGTAAGGGGCGGTCTTGCCACATTGAGTAGTGCTGCTCGGGGGCTCTCCGACTCTAGCTACCTGCGCACTGTTAACAACGCCCGAGTGCATCCCCTTCGGAACCTGTCATTGTTACGTTCGGCGTTTTACGCGGTGCTTTGTGAGAGTGCCTCGCCCACACACATCTGATGGCATACACTCTTCCGAGAACGCCAGCTTGATCTCAGCACGACCCGTCCTCGCCCCGAGCACTTGAAGAAGCGACGTTGAATCGATGTTGGAGAGCCCAGCGAAGTGGAGGAAGGCGAGGAAAGAAATGCCGCGTCATCTTACGACGCGGAGTGACTGTGCAGATTGCCCTACCCAGACCGGCAAGGAGCGAGCGCCCTGGATCAACGATTCAAGGACTAGCTGCCTGTATGAAACGTTCCCTCTGGGTAGCATAGCTGGCTACTATGATAGATTTCAACGCAAACTACGTAACGGTTCTCACCTAACTGGAAACCCTCTATCGGAACTTCCTACCTAGCTTAGAGAGCCGAGATATGGCTTTCCAATGTGACGAATTAGCGACTTCCAGGGTCGCGGACGCACCCCCGGCCGTTGATTTATGGCCGCCAGCGTCAACTGTAGAGTTGTCTCGATGATAGGCGAAATAAGACTCAAGGTACCGCCGTAGGGGGCTCCTTAATTGGACCATCGCTGGCTTGCTTCAAGTAGTGGCGACGCGGGTAGTAACACGCGCGGGTGGCGGGCAAGTAAGTAGTCGAGCTCCTCTCAACGTTAGCTGTGTGCATAGCACCCCCAACCGCGTCCCAGGGACTCGGGTTGAGGGTTGTTCTTCCTTCCGGCTGTGGCAGGGGACCGCGCCTACGTAGAGGGTGCCAAAGGTAGCAGGCCAACGAGTCCGCAAGGGGATAATAGACAAGCAAGCCGGCGTCGCGAGTCCCGAACACCTTTCTCCGTCTTTCTCTATGCCCTTCTGCCGCCACACGATATTGACGACCCCCGGCGTCGTGTAGAATTAAACGGACGTCCTCGACCTAAACACCCTCCCTGCCATACCCTCTTGTTTGCCCCGTGCAAGTTGTGGTACGTCGGGCGTCGGTGACGACGTGGACTTACTGGCGTTGGACCGACTGACTTAGCCCCTGGGCCGACAGCTAGCCTAGGCACAACGCGCGATCGTGCGCCGTCGACACCAATGGGCGTAACAGCAAGTCAATAAAGTCGAAGGAACACTTGTGGTCGTCGTGATGATCGTGGCCGTCGTGGCGAACTGACCATTGAGGTTAACGCGACAAGTCGTTTCTTATTAGGAAACACTATAGGCAAATAGCCCACGGCCTCGAAAGATTGGCGTCGAGGACGCGGCGCATTCAAGGTCCGGGAGCGAGAGACGGCACAGGCGTAGTAAGCCCAAGAGCGAGCTTCCTGATATGACGTTGCGTCGACACACCCCTGGCCGGGCTGGCAACCAAGCCCTTTTTACCAGGGACGTTGCCAAAGATAGAACACAAACCCCCTTTTCCGATGGCTTCTGAAAAAGCCGAACTGACCGGTCCCAAGTAGCTGGTATGGCGTTACTGCGTTTTCGGAGGAAGCGAGATAGGGGATTGACGGGATGAGCTGGAGCTTAATAGGGAGGTGCCGCGACGATCGTCGGTAGAACCTGAAGTGCCCTTCTCCCCCCGTGAGACGACAGCACGAGATGGCTTTCGTGTTGTACGAAGCGCCGGGGTTTATTCTATGGCCTCGATTTTCTCGTGAGCGTGAGATACGGCTGAGCGAAGGCAAAGTGGTGTTGGAAGTACCGATTTACTGGGCGGCCACGACAGGGGACGTAGGGAACATTGGCCACGGCCGGTCGCCCTACGCCTGAGTCACCTTCGTCCTACATCGGATGCTGAGCTTCCCGCTACGTCGTAGCCGAGGGAGATTCCCAGGTCGTGGGGATCTGTGAGGATGTTGTCCCTTTTCTAGACCCTTATCTAATCTGCCTATCGGGATCTGCTTTCGGGCCACGCGCGATTATTCGCCGGAGCTGAGCTGCCCAGGTCAAGAAAGGGAGGAGGAGGAGGAGGCGGGAGGGAACTCTCGTCGCCAACCGACAAAGGGCTTCGTGGACAGCCCAGGCCGATACGGCCGTGTGCCCAGTTCGCAGCTCGTTGCGAAGCACGGGCGAGCAGGTTTGTGAATGGCCCCGTCGGTGGTACCAGAAGGATCCAAGCCGCTCCGCTCTCCCCCGCGGGCCCCGACCAGATGTGGATGGAGGCGTCAAGGCGGAAGGATGTAGTCTAGACTTGGTTACGCTGGGGCGTCTCGGAGACGAATAGCGGGCAGAGCCGTTCTTCTCGGGGGCTTGGGTGGCTTGCTCTTACAGATCTGCTCTTCTGGATCCCCTCCTCCCTTGGTGTAGTTGGGTAAAGAGAAGAGGGATCGAGACAGACGTTTGCTTTTACCATCTGCGCGAACGCAAGGATGATGGGGGGGGGGGGGCACATCACGCCGCCATTGGCCGCGGGCTGTTTCTCTGTCGAAGAGTGGCTTGCCCGCCTTGCCCCCCTCAAGACCAACGTGTGATCTCCGGACAGTAATCGTCTCCAGCGCGCCATGGCATTCGTTCCGTGGCATTGGGTCCGAGTTCGACGGCGTACGTGGTTGTCAGCTCGATGACGTGAGAAGGCGAGAGGCCTAGGCCCGTAGGTATCCTCCCCCCTCGTCTCCCTACTACACGTACGCACGTATTACCTACACGCTCGCCCCAAGCGTGCTGGTGATGACAATAGAAAAAAAAAATTACTAGTCACGATGGAGAAATGATCTTGATATACCCGCCCAACACACCGCTCGCTGGTAGGCAGGTTGTCCCAGGTCAGGTCCCAGGCCGGACCCCAGACGAGAGAGGACGGGTGTGAGAGAGAAACCCCCGCCAGCAGACTGCCCGAGTACCACCTGCAAAGCACTACGGGCCAGCCGCGTCTTTGCTTTGGGTCCGATTGGATCGCCATGCTGCCGTCGATTAGGCTACATACATATGTATGAGCATGTACATGCACGGGCGTACGTGTGTGTCACGATGTATGTGATGTGCGTTATGGCGGTATCCATGTAGGCGTCCGCAGGCAGGGTGAGAGCTGTGCCCAGCCGAGACGAGTGAGAGGGGAGGGGAGGGGAGGGGAGGGGGGTGGTTGTTGTCGTTGGCGGTGGTGATAGTGGAGAGACAAGAGAGAGAGCAGAACCTCGATGCCGCCGAACGAACGACTCCCGGATTTCGGCTTGACGGAGGGAGGAAGGAAAAAAAGATGGTGAAGCTGTCGAATTGTGGTGAGCCAGGATTTCCCGCTTCCGTCGTCGAAATGGAGGAAGCTTTCGTCAGCAAGGGGGGGGGGGGGGGGGGGGGTACTTCGAGGTACCTAACCTAATGTACCTAACGTAGGTAAATTAGGTAGGTAGGTACCTCCTCTAGGATGTGCCTAATGTACTTGGAACTGAAGAGTCCCACGAAGCGTGGCCACAAGGTCCGTATCAGTACCGCATCTGGTCAGGAGGGTAGGCGGGTATCCAGTACCTCTTAGAGAACCCGGCTTTGGCGCGAACCTCGTCCTACAGCGGAGAATCGAACCTATCCTTCGTTATATAACCTACTGATCTCCTACGTGTAGGTAGGTATACAGGCACATCGAGGTCGCATGTACGCAATACTCATAGTAGGGAGGTGCCTAAGGCATTCGATAGGGTAGGTACCTAAGGCCTGCACATTCAGGCGTCTTCCATGGACGGCGTGTGTGTACTATACGTGTAAGTGCCTAAGGTACCTTAGGTGCTAGTATGCATGCGCCTATACGCATATACCGTACGCCATATGCATATACATAGGTAGGAATGTACTTACCTCCTACCTGCAGGTACCTAGGTACCTGTAGGCACGGAGAAGCAAGAAATATGAGGAGAGGATGGCTTCCAATCCATCTCCCATCTCTCTCACCTTGGCTTCTTCCTCCCTCTCCCTCTCCCTCTCCCCATCCCCATTTCTCCCCTCCCTTCTCGACCTGCCCGGCCCCAACGTGCTTTATCACAGGGAGGGCCGCGGGCTCGGCGGGGCTTGGCGACGGCCACCCCGGCGCAGGCTCGTGCAGGCTCGTGGAGACTCCCACGCCTGGCATCCATGGGTCATGGTCGCATCGTGGAGGCCAGCCTACCCAGCACCAACCCAGCACCAACCCAGCAGCACCAGCAGCACTCTTTCGACCGTCTTCCCCGCAAACCCGTTTCTGAGGATCTACGGCTCCAGCTGGCCTGGCTGGCCTGCTCGCCGCCTCTCTGCTCCGACGACCCAACCGACCAACCAGACCGCATCGCTGCCCACACCCACGCCCTCGCGCGCGCGCGCATCATGTAGGCTCTACCAATATCGGTGCGCATGGTATGTCGCGTATCTGTGTATAGGCAAGTCTGCGAATGTGTACGGGCCTGCTGGCGCGTGTGTACGAGTCGAGGCGCTCGCCGGGCAGAAATTGGACAGGACTGCGAACCCGTCGTCCAATCCCGTCGCGACGGCGGTCGTCATAGTTGTTGCGGAGGAGTCGAACCACCGTAGGTACTTTCCCACTCTCTTCCCATCCACTCTACACCCCATGATCCCGAAGAAATGCGGCGCTTGCGAGTCGGATTGCCCACGTCCCTTGATGCTGCGTTACCACCTAGGAGACGTCTGCAGCCCGGAGTCCTATTATCTGCGTTCCCAGTCCTGAGAATCTTGCTCGCCAACATTGCCCAGCTGCAAGCGTCCGCATCCTTCGCCAACCCGCGCCGCTCGCCGGCGACGCTGGTTGCGGGCGCCGGGTAACGAACCAGCAATAGGCCACTCGGCAGGGACGCGCGACGCTGGACCCCATTCGGTTCCCGTGCCTCTCTTGGGAAATGACTAACGAAGAGGCGGTCGAAGAAAAAAAAGAGTAACCCCCGACAGCTGCTAGGGGGACTAAAACGTGTTGAGCGAGGGCACGAATCCTCTCCTGGAGCCGCCGGTCTTCTACCCTGCGCACCCAAGACTTGGCAGAGACAAATGGCGTACATGCAAAAGTTCTCCTACAGCGAATCCAGCGTCTCCAATGATCGCCCAACCCAACGGGCTTCAGACGACCCCGATAGAGGCTAGTGTCTTGTCGTCGCCTGTTCTTCTTTGTTTTTAAGGGGGGGGGCTAATTCGAGGCTATTCGTAACCAGCTGTTCCGTGCATGGATCGCATGGATGGGTGGGCTGCCAGTGCAGTGTCGATAGCGTAATAGCGCGTATGGCTTGTAGGTAACTCGTGCTCCCTGGCCAGGTCTCCTACCCACCCTCCCAGTCGCGAGGTTGCGCGGGAGGCAAACAATCCGGAGCCAGTCACCCACCACATGTGGCGTGTGTTGCCCTCTTCTCCCCTCTCGCAGGTCGTTCTGTAGACTACCTAAGTATGGCTGCCATGTGCCCGCGGATATGTGCCTGATACTGGCGGTTGGCATAGCGAGTGTAGGTACAATACCTCTCGCAGGAGGGCGGTCGGCGACCCTGGGCCTCGATCAGCGATCGTGTAGGCACTATCTAGGTATTGCGTCGGGTGCCGGGATGTAGGTAGGTATGGCACGAGAGAAGAAAGAGAAAAAAAAAAGGAAAAACAGAAAGAAAAAGGAGCGGAAAGGGGGGGGGACCGGTGGCTCGCTCTCATTTCGCATATTCAAACAGCCGCAGGCCTGGCTCGCTTGGTGGGCTAAGCGTCGGACATCATCACCATGGCCCTCTGCGCGAGCGAGGCTGGCAGACGGGCTCAGCCCAGAAAGGCCAAGGGAGCGGCGGCGAGTTGGCGGCGAGTGGCAGCGAGTGGCAGCGGAGTGGCGGTGAGTGGCAGCGGAGTGGCAGAGAGTGCCCAGAGCGGGGCTAAGCCGGAAAGGAAGAGAGGAGGGGGGAGAAGAGCCTTCACACGAGACGGGGTGCTGTGCTGTGCTGTGGGTGGGAGGAGAGGAGGAGGAGGAGGAGGGCCAGGATGGAGATCCCACTTGTGTCTACCTCCCTATAAGTAGGAAGAGGTACCTCCGCCACCCAGGTACATGTCGTACCGCCTACACGCATGCCTACACGCATAGGTGCATAGGTACCAGGCACTGCTAACCTGCGGTACACGGTACACGCATATACCTTTACTTGTATCGGCTACGTAGAGGTACCTCCTCTCTCTCTTCTCTCTTCTCTCTCCGACTCGCTTAGGAGGAGGGGACTGGGCCCTTTGTCCAATCACCTCCCCCCCCCCGGCCTCTCTTGGCCCTCGCACGTTGTTTCTCGTGCTCCCCATCGCTTCCCCTGTGGCTCCCTTTTCCTCTCTTCTCTTTCTTCCCCCCCCCCTCCCCAAAGGGGTTGCGCTGATCCTGACCCTCTGGTTCTTCCTCTCCCGCCCTTTTCCCTCGCCGCCCTTCTTCTCCACCTCTATTATTACTACCCACTACCGGTTCCATTCCCACCTAACCGTCCTGTCCTATCCCGAACTGTCTCGAGAGATCAATGGGACGCCCGCGACTGTCGACGTCGACCCTCTCTGCCGCCCTCGACACAGACGTCGCCCTATCTGCAGTGCTGGTTTGACGTCCAACCCTCCCCCCCCCCCATCCACCATGGCGATAGCCATGGGCTGGCACAAACCCGACAATGTCGCCGGCTCCTCCGCCCCGGCTATCATGGTCGGCCTCTTCGTGGCTACCGGCGGTCTCCTGTTCGGATACGATACTGGGTGAGCATCGCCCCTTTCTCTCCCCTCCCCTCCTCTCCCCTCCTCTCCCCTTCTCCCCTTTCTTTCCTCTCCTGTTTGTTGGCCTTGTCATCCAGTCCGAGGGCGCTAACCCGGTGCTCGCCTCGCCGGGCTTTTTGCGCAGCACCATCAACGGCATCCTCGCCATGCGCTCCTTCAAGAGCCAATTCAGCACCGGGCACCGAGACGTCAACGGTTCCTTAAACCTCTCCCCCGCCGAGATCTCCATCATCGTCGCCATCTTGAGCGCCGGCACCGTCGCCGGCGCCATACTGTCCGCCCCCGCCGGCGATTGGATCGGACGTCGCATATCCATCATCGCATCCATTGGCGTCTTCTCCTTCGGCGCGATATTCCAGGTGTGCGCAGATGCTATTCCGATGCTGTTGGCGGGCAGGTAGGTTTCCCCGGCGCCCCGGCAGCCGTGCGTCCGGGATCGCGCGTGTGTGTTGACGGTGTTGCCGTGTAGGTTCTTTGCCGGTGTCGGCGTCGGCGCCGTGTCCGTCCTCGTTCCCTTGTACCAGTCGGAGATGGCCCCGAAATGGATCCGTGGTACGTTGGTGTGCGCATATCAATTGTCCATAACCTGCGGTCTCTTGGGCGCCTCCATCGTCAACCTGCTCACCGAGAGGATGGAGGGCCCGGCCGCCTATCGGATTCCCATGGGCCTTCAGCTCACCTGGGCCTGCGTCCTCTGCCTCGGTCTCCTCATCCTGCCCGAAACCCCTCGCTTCCTCATCAAGCGAGGCGACAAGCACGCCGCCGGTCTAGCCCTCAGCCGTCTTCGCCGTCTCGACATCACCCACCCCGCTCTCGTCGAAGAACTCGCCGAAATCGAAGCCAACCACGATTACGAACTCGCCCTCGGCCCCGCCACCTACCGTGATATCTTTGTCGGGACGCCCCATCTCGGTCGTCGGACGCTAACCGGCTGCTGCCTCCAGATGCTACAACAGCTTACCGGCATCAACTTCATCATGTACTACGGCACCACCTTCTTCACCAGCGCCGGCGTCTCGAACCCTTTCCTGATCTCCCTCGTCATGAATATCATCAACGTAGCCTCGACGATCCCCGGCTTGTTCGTCGTGGAAACGTGGGGTCGCCGGAAGCTACTCCTCGTGGGCGCGGTAGGCATGGCAGTGTGCCAGCTGATCATCGCGATATTCTCCAGCGTCGCTAGCGACTCGCAGAGCGCCCTCGTGGCCAAGCTCCTCATCGTCTTCGTCTCCGTCTTCGTCTTCTTCTACGCGGCTTCATGGGGACCCGTCGCCTGGGTCGTCACCTCGGAAATCTACCCCCTCAAGGTCCGAGCGAAGTCAATGTCGGTCTCGACCGCGTCTAACTGGCTGCTGAACTTCGGCATCGCCTACGGCACCCCGTTCATGGTCGAAGACGGGTATGGCTACGCCGCTATGGGGGCTAAGGTCTTCTACGTCTGGGGCGCCTTTTGCGTCCTCGCCGCCGTCTTCGTATACGGCATGGTTTACGAGACGAGCAAGATCAGCCTCGAGCAGATCGACGAGATGTACGAGCGTGTCCCCTTCGCGTGGAAGAGCAAGAAGTTTGAACCGAGTTGGAGCTTTCAACAATTGCGGGACGACGGATTTGCAGACAGCGGCATCCCGCCGCCCGAGCACGAATTGCAAGCGTCGCGCACCACTACCTCGACGACAACCGAGAGTGTGCAAACTATCCATACGGAATCTACACCCAGTGAGAGTCAGAGCCAAGACGATAAGATATTGCAGCAAATGGGCCACGTCGACTTGAGTTATTGATCCCTGGTCCGATCTTTAAAAAAGTAAAAAAAAATAAAAAAAGGCACGTTTCACGACACAAGCATCTCCCCGTCATGGCCATCACAAGCCGCCCTTTCGGAGGTGGGGGAAAAACTACTAGGGTTATCTGTTCTTTGGAGTCATACCGGAAATATCAGCGTAGGTGTTCATCGCGATGGAGTTAACGGCATTGGGAAATGGACTATTGGGGAATCATCCACCATAGGATTTTGTTTTGGGGACGGCGGCTTTGGTTTTGGCGGCACAACGGGCATCATCTCAATCGGATGAAATCACTCGGGGGGAAGGGGAACAATTACTGATTCATATCGAGGTAATACGGACAAGCCGCTGTTAAAAGAGGACGAGGGGCGCCACCCCCGAGAGCGCATGCAAGGTCCACCCCCCTTTCCTCCCCCCTCCCCCTCTCACCCCTTTTTCTTCCCCTACTCCCCCTACTCCCTGCCCCCTTTTGTATAGGGTTTTAACCTCGTGAGCGGCGGTATCACGTGCTCTTGTAAGCTGGATTGATCTATTACCCAACATCATTGGCCTCGACGGATGTTCCGTTCCTGTGTATCATGGCCTACACGGACGAAGTGGCCGAGCTTATTGTTGATGGTGGCCAAGCGAGTCAAAACAGAAAAAAGAAGGAAAAAAAATAACAAAGTGTTCAAAAAGTGCCCGCACACCTGCCCGTCTGTCTGCTACTCTGCTAGGTCAAGCCGGCGATGATATGTCTCTCGTGTCTCGACTCTGCTCGCTATCCGCGGGCGGTAGATACCCAATACCCCCACCCACCGTAAGGCTTTGCGAGTAAGTAATACGTGAACCACCACGTCGACCAACCCCCTTCTACTGCCCTCCCGTCCGCTCCTCCTCTTCTCCGTCCCCTTCTCCTTCCCGTACCCTGGCAAGCCTCGCCACCCTTGCCTAGTCTCCCCCGACGAGGGTCGTCAACGGTTTGTGGCTCCCAACCCGGGGGCCCAGGCTATGGGGGTGGGAACGGGACGCTGTCTGTGTGTGTGTGGCCTCGGGAGTGCAGAAGCAGGGCTGGCGGCGGCGGTAACGTGGCGCGACTAGGCCTCGTCATCTCGCGTCGCGGGCATCCGTACGCGGGTAGAACCACGGGCAGCATCGTCTCCTCCTCCTCCCTTTTTTCTCCTCTCCTCTTCTTGCGCTCCCCGAGTCTCCCCGCCCGTAAGGGGCGGCATGCTAGCTAGCCGGCTCGCGCTGCGTAGCCCCCCTCCCCCTCTCTCTATTACACATACCATACACCTCTACCATATCGTACGAGAAGAGGAGGGGAAAAGAATCAAAACGCGACTTTGTGGGCGTATGTTGGTATATCAACGACGCTGCAATGCCTCCCCCCCCCCGCCGCTCTGGCCGCTGTTGGAGTATCAATAACCTGCCTGCCTCCCTGCCCGCCTGCCTCCCTGCCTAGTTGTGTGTCGATAGATCGGTCTACGCCGCGATGCCTTGAAATGCAATTATAATATACCGACGGGGAATGGGGAGGCACCGTGTGCCTCGCCATATCTCAGGGCTGACGAGATGGAGCCGCCGTCGTCCCCATCTGCCGCCTCTTTCTTTTCCTTTCCCTCCCCTCCCTCCTCCTTCGTCTCTCCCACACCCTACTTGGTAGGCAGACATTTAGGATGGGTAGATGGAAAGGATAATGTGTGCCCCCTTCATCCCTCGATACACCCGCGAAGGGCCTCTCGCCCGTAAGCAAGTAAAGTTAGGGGCATTACGCTCCCCCTTGGGGCGGGTTCGTCCATGCATATGTGTGTATGCGATGACGGGGTATTAATCGTCCGTAGCAATCCCTGCCAGCGCAGCCACTGCTTTTCCGTATCCCTCCTTCGGCCCTCACATTACAAGCGCGGGTGGTCTCTCTCGATAAACAACGGATAGCGAACAGCGACACCAACCTGACGACGGCCAGCGCCACCCGCCACAATCTACGGCTAGGATTCCTTTCCTTACCCTCTATAGGCGAGGTACGTGAAGAAGAGCAGCGCCATCCAGACGACTCGCCAGGTCGTCGTCAAGATCTCTCTCACGACGACACCCATGGCGCCTCTCGAGCGCAGCGACGACGGCGACGACGACGATGCCGGTCGCCAGGCGCCTCCCCGCCCCAGGCGCGCTCCCCGCCCCCCATCGTCGTAGTACGCGTCCTTCCGGATCTCTATGCGCGGGCCTCGGCTCTGGGCCCAGCCCCACTTGCCCTTGGCGGAGGAGGCCGAGGCGGACGAGGGCAGCGACGCGCCCCCGCGCTGTGGCGGCGCCGTCCCGTTGGACGAGGAGATGGACTGGCCACGCGTCCGCGTGGACGGCGCGCGGGCCGAGGGGAACTTGGACGACGACGTGCTGGAGGTGACAGGGCGCGTGTCGTAGGCGGACCCGTCGCCGTCGCCGCTGCGCTCGTCCTTCGCCTTGAAGATCGGGAGTAGTGCCGCCGCCGCCGAGGACGGGCGCTGACCGGGACCGAGGGCGAAGGTCTGCAGGTTCAGGACGGGGACGAGAAACGCGCGCACTATCAGCACGAGCACGGTCAAGGCCCCCAGTGCGGCGTACGTCATGAACATCGAGAGCTGGTTCGGCAGCAGGCAGAGGTGGGTCTGGAGCGTCGTTCCTGGGGAACCCGGCAGCGGGATTCCCTGGCCGTCAACGGGGTTGTACAGCGAAACCATCTGGAAACCGGGTGTCGGGACTCCCATCGCCATGCTGAAGCTCTTGACCGTGATCTCGCGGGTATTCTCCTTGTCCGTATGCACCACCTCGCAGTAGTCGTGGTCATCTCCCGAGAAGGTGTGTCTCACGTTCCCAATGCTCTCTATCAGCATGATAGAGTCCTCCAGGCTGAGCACGTTCTTGTACTGATAGCCGTGCGAGATGCTGATCGCGTTCCGATGATCTGGGATTACCGGTCCAGGCTGGCCCTTGGGCGGCGGAGTCGGCGGCCAGTGTTCTCGGAGCGGACCGCAAGGCGTGCCGGGGGGTCGGTATAACGGCACGTGTGTCAGCAGGACGGTTGGGAAGTCGGGCACACCCTCCCCCGGATCGATCGTCGGTAATTCATCGTAGACGACGGTGTCGAGGTCCTCGACCTTCTGCTCAAAGACTAATTCCTCGACCTCCCCCCGCCAGAACCGCAGCTCCTTCTGGACAGCCCTTCGCTTCGCCGCCTTGGCCTCTCTCAAGAACTCGTGGGCCGGGGCGAAGATGGGCCGCAGATCTACCTGGTCCTTCATGCTTGAGGTGCCGGCGCTCAAGGACACCGTATCGACGGACACGAAGGTGTGGTTCCCGATGACGTCGATCCTGTTCGTCTCCCCGAAGTAGGCGCTGAATCGATGCCTCGTGGGGACTTTCACCTCGGCCCCGAAGCCGAGATCGTGGTTCCCGGGTAGGCTGGAGATGAGCTTCCGCCCCCGTTGCCCGGGACTAGGAAACCTGCCTCCCAGGCTCCAAGTATCGTAGAATATGCTCCCGAACCGCGCATACTCCTTCAGCCAGAAGCTTTCGCCGTACTTCTTGCGCCACTGGTTCAGGTACCTCTGCTCGTCAGCCGGCCGGTGTCCCTTCGCCCAGACGGGATCTTCGAAGTCCCCGTGGGCCGTCTTCCACTCCCTCCCGCCGTCGAACAGATCGCCCAGGAAGAAAACGGTATCCGGCCGCAGGACCGTCTGTAGCTGCCTGTACGACCGGCGCATGTAATTGTCGGTTATCACGATGGTCAGGGGGTTCAGGGGCCAGGGACGACCGGGGTAGGAATGCGGGTCGATGATCTGGGGGTCCGCGACGAAAATGAGTCGGTGCGGCGTCGCTCCATCGGGCTGCAATATAGTACGAGTCAATATTTCCCGCTTGGCCGCCGGTAGAGGCCCGAGAGACTTACCCAATCCTCCCAATGGTCCCAGTCGCAGCTCCGGACCCGACTTGCAAACACCCACCGCTCGCCCCAGAGCAGGACGAGCACCCAGAGGGCGACGAGCAGGTGGGGGAGGCTGAGGAGGCGGCGCCGGACCATGTTCCTCCTGAACTGGTAAGCGGCCCTCATGGCCAGGCCGTAAGCTGCGTGTCTCCCCCGGCCGCTGGCGTAGGCCCAGAGCTGGACCAGCATGGTTCTGGCGCCAGAGGATATGTCGTCGCAGATGGAGTGGAGTTCGGCTTGGTTCCGGTGGCCGTACTCGTACGAGGAGGACGGGACCGGGAAGGCAGACGACGGATAGCCGTAGCCGTTGCTATATGACGGCGCCATGGCGTCGGAGACGGGCAGCCATATATGCTGCGCAGCAACCGAGCGAGTGCAGAGGTAATGCGTATATGTGAGTTGCGCGTATGGGCGGGTTGAGCGTGTATGTGGTGGGTGTGGACACAACAACCACTTATCCCGACAGGGTTGATCGATGCGGACGGCGCCCTCGGGGAAATAAATAATCACAACGTGCGGGCCTCGGCGGACAGCCCATCTAACACCTGGCAAGTCAGCGCGCCTGTTCGGAGTCAGTCAGCGTGTGCTATGGCGAGGCGACACAGATCGTCTCGACGGGGGGGAGGGGGTTTACACGTAGGGCGTTGCGGACACGATGTGAGCAGGGAAAGAAATAAGAATGGGTAGGGGGAGGTTGTTGTTGACGGAGGCAGCTGGCGCTGACGACGGGCCCAGATGGCGCCAGGTGGACAGCGGCCTCTAAGAGGTTGGGTACCTATACTTAGCGCTTGCCTGTTACCCCGTGCCGTACTATCCGGGAGATGAGCTAAAGAACAAAGACTACCAAGTAGCGCTGTTAGGAATCGAACCTATCCTTCGTTATATAACCTACTGATCTCCGGGTTGCCCTGTGTACCTACATAGAGAGAGGGAAAAAGTCAATAATACGCTGCGCTCGCTGAGACGGCGAGAGAGGAAAAGTCGCATCCAAATCTAGAGATATATAGGTAGGTATATACCCAGCCCGGCCGGCACACGCTACCTACCTCCTGGTAGCCCTCTCGCCAACCCCGCTGGTGTGCTAGGTACTACTGCTAGTCCGTAGACACGTACGCGGACACGCCGCTGCACCTCCCATCGACAACCCATCATTAGGTGGTGAGGCAGTGAGTCTGGCGAAATGCTGTGCGCCGGCCCTCTCGCCAAGGACGAAGCCCACTCGACTGTGCCAACTAACTAACCCATCCAAACCAGGGAACCTCGCCTCAGTTCGGCAAAGAGCGAGCCGATAGCCCCGGACACATCTCCCCCGCGTCAACGGAGCCCGGGGCGCCCGGAGCGCCCGGAGCGCCCTCCGCCGGAGCACGCCAGGTGGGAGAGGACACGCTACCGAGCCGACCCGGCGGGATACACCAGATAATACCTATGCCTAGTCGCCATCATGGTATCCTCCCCTCCCAATCCATAATAGAAGGAAAAAGGGAACCCAAATAGAGAGGCAGGCAGTAAATAGCACTCGTACGTGCAGGCCCATCACGTCTCCCCCTACGTGGGTAAGGGGGCAACCTCCAATCATAAGATGTGTGCATACCCGACCACCTGAATTATTAAGTAGACGTGGGCGTAATCACGAGAGCAGACCTAAAACGTCCAAGTGAAGGACTCCCTGACCTCGAATGCAATCGAGCGCCTAGGTAGGAAGGACGGCCGTCGGTCAGTGTCGACGATACGGGTGAGATCTTACCAGGGGGGCTGTGCTAAGCGAGGAGCGGGGATGCTCACCTGATGTCTGTCGCCGACGCAGCTACCAGGACCTTAAATGTACCCTCCTCCGCGATCCACGCCGGTACCGAGTCGTCGTAGTACCCGACCGCGTACTTGTCTAGCGAGACCGTGATATGCTTAGTCTCGTCCGGCTCCAAGAAGACTTTTTCGAACGCCACCAGCTCCTTCTCCGGCCGAGGCAGCCTCGACTTATCGTCTCGGATGTATATCTGGACCGTCTCCGAGCCGGCGACGGCGCCTGTGTTGGTGACCGCCATCACCAGGTGGATCGGTGCCGATTCCGTCAGGACCTTCCGGCTGAGCGACGGCCGGCCGTATTCGAATGTCGTGTACGACAGGCCGTGGCCAAATGGGAACAGAGGCGCGATTTTCGACCTGTCGTAATGCCTGTATCCGATATACAGGCCTTCGCCGTATAGCACGCGCAGGTTTTCACCAGGCCAGTTGTGATATGCGGGGGTGTCCTCGAGCCGACGGGGGAAGGTTGTCTGCCGTACAGTTAGTCAATTCCAATATTGCCCCCGTCCTCGGGAGAGGTCCTTGTCTCACCGGAAGTTTGCCGCTGGGGTTCTGCCGGCCGAACAAGACGTCAGCCAGTGCATTGCCGGCTTCTTGACCCTGGTACCAAGCCTGGAGAATCGTTGGTACTTTGTCTACCCAGGGCATGCTCACTGGCGAACCGGACTGGTTAACCACAACCGTCCGTGGATTGGCCTCCACAACGGCTTCTATTAGGCGATCTTGGCTCCCATCGGAAGGGAGATCCATGGTTTTCCTGTCGTAGCCTTCTGACTCCCACTCGGCGTCAAGACCGACGATGACGATGGCAACGTCGGCGGCCCTTGCCGCATCGACAGCTTGTTGGAGATAGTCGACCTGGTCCTCTTCCTTGAAGCCGATACGGCAGCCACCGTATTTATGCGTCATGTTGAACGCCTTTTGCTTCGAGATCGGTCGAAGCTCATTTGTCATCTCTACTCGGAGCTCTATCGGCTTTCCGGCTTGCATTTCTACTTCCACCATGTAGTCGATCGAACCGTCAAACATCGCCTCCCCTTCCTCTGTCCAATCCCAGAGGTCGAGAGCCAATTCGCCGTCGATATATAGCCGGCCTGGTCCGACGCTCATGAAGCTGATCGTGTGCTTTCCGGTGGCCCTCGACCTCAGATACGTGGTAGCCACGGCCGACCATTCGGGGCCTAGCTGAGCGAGCGGCGCCGAGTCCCATAAGAAAAGATCGGTATTTGTCCGTGTCTGGGTGACGGCTACGTCGCCTTGGAACCTATCGCCGCTATACCATTCGAGAGTGACGCCGGGCTCGCCCGATTTATCGGTGCAGAAGGGGGATGCGACCGGGAGCCATTTGTGAATATGACAGCCTTGGGCATACACCACTTCCCGCTGCGCGACCGCCCTGATGCTATCGAGCGGGATGGTGTTATAGTATGGATTGAGACTCGCGCTGCCGCCACCGCCAGCGATCGCTCGGTTGGAATTTGGGCCGATGACCGCGACTCTGGTGGTGTTCGGGTCGAGCGGCAGGACTTGCCCACGATTCTTCAGCAGAGTGATGCCCTCGGCTCCCACTTCGCGAATAAGCGCCCTCGTCTCTTCTCGGTTGTCCTCGCGTTCGGCTTCTTCGATCGACATATCGCCCGATTTCGTACGTTCGACAAGGGTTAGGACATTCTCTACCGCAGCATTTATGTCGCCCATCGTGAGTCTGCCTTCTTCGACGGCTTTTAGGGCTTTCTCGAAACGCCACTTGGATGAGAAAGGGAACTCTATATCGCATCCGGCCTTTATAGACTCTACTGTAGAATTAACGCCGCCCCAGTCCGACATGACAGTGCTAAGAGGCAGCAGTTAGTCGGGTCTCGATTCAGGGGAACCGCTAGGAATCTTACCCGTCGTAACCCCATTCTCCTCGGAGAATATCTTTAAGTGTGTGGCTATTCATGTCGGCGTGTGTCCCGTTGATCAGGTTATACGACGACATAACGGCCCAAGGGTTCGCTTCTCGTATAGCGATCTCGAAGGGCCGAAGATAGAGCTCTCTAAGCGGCCGCTCCATCAGCAGAGAATCGATAGTGAGCCGGTGAGTCTCCTGCTCGTTGGCGACGAAATCTGATCGTCAATTAGTTAGCGATCCAAGCAGCGGGGACGTGGGCGACGCAAACGTTTGATGGTGGCAGCAACCCTTTTCGACTGGAGCCCCTGGATATATTTCGAGGCTAGCTTGCCGGTGAGAAGCGGGTCTTCCGAGAATGATTCGAAATTTCGGCCACCGAGAGGATGTCGATGCATACAGACCGTAGGCGCGAGGAGCACATTGGCTGATCTGGCCTTGGTCTCGTCGGCTAAGTGTTGGCCGACTGCGTACAGAAGCCTCTTATTCCATGTCGCCGCCAGCGAAACACCACAAGGGAATTGGGCCGCCTACACAGATGCTGTCATTAAAGGAGGTCTAACCCCCTCTCGAATCTCAGAACTAACCTTGGTACCTCCGACGAAGATACCGCCGCGAGCGCCATTCGGGCCATCGCTAGTCTTGATGGCCGGGACGCCTTTAGACGGTATCGACTTTGTCCGCCAGAAGTCTGCGGCGGTAAGCAATGACACCTTGGTGTGTTAGTAAGCAGCTTATAACGCCCGGTTCATCAGACCAAATATACCTTCTCCTCCAGAGTCAACTGAGCTAACTTCTGCCTCGCTACTGACCGGCAATCATTGGGGGGGGAAGGCTTCGAGATCGGACTTCCGGGAAGGGAGTACTCGGTATCTGGTGTTGTGTTGGTGTCGACACTCTCGAAGGGAGAGGCGCTGGGATCCGTCCCCTCGGAACGCTGCTCCTCGATATACTCCATAGTCGAGCGACGGCTTTCTGTGACCGTCGAAATCTGAATCTCCAGGAAGAACGAACGAAAGGGGTACGCGTGATCGGCAGGAGATCTCGACTGTCTCCGAAAGCGTCAGACTCGGCGTCGATAGCGAGGTAAGGGGAGGTGTTTTAAGATAGCCAAACGGCTCGTGAAAAGCTCAGTTGTTGAAGGGGGACAGAGTGAGAGAGCCCTACGGGCGGAGCGAGGCCGTTTAATGAGCCCAGTCCCGGGGCAATGCTACCCCACGAAGATATAAGAAGTCAGGAATGAGAGACGAGTCAAGAGCGCCACTCTAGATCCGGGCGCCGAGGCCGAAATTGACCTTGCTTATGTACTGTCGAGGGAGCCGTGGATACGACGTCACGCCTGAGGTAGTAAAGGCAGCTATCTATCGAAGTATATGACGAGATACCTCGGTACACCCACGAAAACAAGGCAACAACACTGCATGGACGGGAGCTATACAATATGGCATTCGACTAAGCCGAGAGAGAGAGGGGGGGAGGGAGGGAGCACTGGTGGTAATACTACTCGAGACGGGCACCTCACAGATACACGGCTGCTCTGTCGAAGAGGCCGTCCCATGTTATCAAGGCTCTATTAAGTCTTGATCAAATACGTACAGATGCCGCGAAGCCGCCGAGGGCGAGGAGTGGGGATAGATTGTAGGCTGAGGAGTCTAAGTGATCCTTGGGTCGCTTCTAGTGCACAAGCAAATGTCACTTGACATGATTATCGCTGAGGATGCTATATTGCCGGTCCCGACTAGGAAATAGCCATGTCGGCAGGGACGGACCGGATGAGCGTCGTTTCAGGGTACATGAGCGAGAGAGGACGAAACAGAAAGCCACGGCTACGTCGGTTTCGCGCGAGCAGGGTGGGGGGCCGCTGCGGAGAGTTTCATCCAGTCGGACGGGGAATACGGAGTGGGTGATGATCTGGTGGGCAAGGCGGTCTAGCGAGCCAAGATCCCAGGTAGATCGTGGGTTCGACAAGGAGTGGAAGTGGAGTGGAGTGGAGCGAGCAGAGGACGAAGGGTGACAGTCTCCCGGTTGGACCACCGCCTTTCTCTTAGATAAGAGAGGACGAGCGTGCAAATCGGGAAGATCCAACCCTGAAGGCATGACAGACCTGCCATTCGCGGCCACCGTCCATGCGCCTGTTGGACCCTGTGCTGTATGTAGGCAGGTATATATATATAGACCCAGATGAACCGATTCTGGGTTGGCGGGTTGGACAACCACCGAGACGTTACCTCGCCCACGGCGAATGCTCCGAAGAGGCTCGGCAGCCTGGGACACCGGTGAGCCAGACACATGCGGTCGAGCGCGAATCGGCCAGCCCTGGCTACGCTCAGGGAACGCCAACGTGGTGGGCGAGACCTTTTCAGACGAGAGGCATACGGGCGTACATGGCCGGCGAAGGGGCAGTGGCCGCTCTCTCTAGACCTGGGCGAGTAGACGGGCCAATATTGGTAGATACCACACCCATGCCTCGTCTCGTGACGATGACGCGAGAGGTAGTCGACGGTACCGTCGACAATCCGTCCCGAGCACATATGACAGGCAGGGGCCGGACATATCCTCCCTTCACTCCGAGCTGACTCGTATAATATCAGATTGGAGTCGGGAGAGGGGGACTAGGGTTACTTTGGTCCTTGTCGTCGAACACCCCGCGCCCAGACGCAAGATCGGTACCGTCTCACTCGAGGCGAGAGTGAGCGTTACCAGAGGCAGGTCGAGGCGTCGACCACCCAGTCTGACCATTCCATTCAGATCTTGCATCATCGCCATCTCTCGCATTAGGTGCGTGCGTGGATCATGATTGCGTGGGATAATATAGGCATGCATGTTACCGCGCCGGAGGAAGCGTGTGCGAGAGCAAGTGTGCGCGTGTGCGTGCGAGCGAGAGGAGGGTGTGTGTATGGGCGGGCGGGTTATCGTGGGCCAGAATTCAGGATGTTGGAAGTTCCAGTAAACGTACCTGATGGACCGGTACTGTATACCTACCTGCCTCATACCTCCTACATGCATACACACATGCATATAAACACACATGCATGTATACACACATATATAAGACCGGGTTCCTTAGGTACCTAGGTAACTACCATACGGGGGGATGGGGGTCTACCGATAGCATGTTTAATATTATTACTATCTCTAAAAAGGATTACTATAACTAAAAGTATTTTCATCGCGACGCTAAAGTGAATTAAACTTAGGATATAATATAAGTATAATACGAATATTGTATTAATCTAGTAGCTCTTTCTAAAGATAGAATAGTTATCTTATATAGTATTAAGTTAAAATCTATATTTAAATTAATAAAATATTAAAAAGATAACGAATACCTATTTTATTAAAATAATTATATTATAATACTTATATTAAATTATAATAAAATCTATATTATAACTTTTGCTTTAAGTATTTTATACTATAGTAGTATAGTAAGACATGCCTTCTTGATATATTACGTAATACGCTACGATAGGCATTATGCCTATATAGAGTAACTATAGCTCCTGTAAGTACGAGCCATACGATACTTATCATTTAATTTAATACTTAACTAGATTATTAACTTTATTATTTTTACCTTAATTAAAGATTCGTCGTCTCCTGATTAATATATGTATCTTAACTATGAACGCTTAAGTCGCTTCGTTGTACCGTTATAACCAAATAAGTAACTTTTACGTTTAATTCCTTTTCTCCTCTTATTTCTTATATCTTTGAGCTAGTAACTACTACATCTCTACGACCAAGGGATATACCTAAGATATAATAACTATATTAAATTCCTCGTCTCTCGATTAATATAGTGATACTAGTTTTATCTATCTTAGACTATCGTACGTATTATAGTCTTCGATAAAATATACTTTCGAGTAAGCTTATCTGGGACTCCAGCATCGCGTACGCTCTGCTTCTTCTCAATACTTAATAAAAGTATTTATTATTATTACCTTATTTAAAGGTTATATTTATATAGTGTTATTATTATAGACATACTATCGATAGACCCCCCCCTCCCGATATGGTACCTACCTAGGTACCTAGGTACTACACTATACTTAGGATACCTACACAACGTACCTCTAGCCTGGGCGAAAAGCGGAGACATCGTGACGCTCTGTGGTACATGCCTAGCAACAGGTTAAGGTACCTAACCTACCTCACATTGGTGCGGTTAGGTCGAGTACCTACCTAAGTACATAGGTACCTACGTAGTCCTGGGCAGGTACCCATAGATGGCAAAACCTCGCTAAGCACATACCTTCAGGGGCAGCCTCCTCGGACCCCCGACTAACGCATCGGCTTTGCGGCCCGGAGGAATACAAATCAGGAAAAGCTAGGAGAAAAGCGCCGGCTAGCCAATGATCCACAATTACGCCATCGCTTCCATCTTCCCTGCTTTCCCCTTCCATCTTCCCCGCCATCTTCCTCTTTCTCTCTCCCTCTTCCTCGTCTCTCCCTCTGCGTCTAGTCGCCAAACCCACACAGCCCGCCCGAAACATGTCTCCTATCTAACCTGGGTAGGGTGTTCGCTATCCCAAAGGGGAGTTCGAGGGCATCACGTCGTCTAACCCCGGCTTAGCGGGCAAGACGTACGACATACGATATTCACGCACGCAACTGGCGGATGGCGACACTTCCATGCGGGATCCAAGCTACACCAGCGATGGTTCGGTCTCGGCACCGAATCCTCTTCATCTTCGACTAGGCGAACCGCTCGGCCCTGAATATGGATACGCCGACCCTCACGGTCGAAATCCGTTCCGTCAACCACACCAATCCATCTCTCCCAGTCTCTCGGTAGGCAAGCCCTTGGCGACGTCGACGCAGGCAGGATAGCCCGTTCATCCATCCCTCCATCTGTCCGCGGGCCGTGGATGTGGGGTCCGGCAGTATGAAAGACAGCGCTCTGAGCGAATACGATCCCCTCAGTTGGATCCGATAGTCCAATCTTGCCTCACCGAACTGCGCCAACCAAAGCCCCTCGCCCAGGGTCGAGCGACTTGGTCCCCCACCTGGGAATCCAAGTCGAGAACGAGGGTCTTGGCTGCTTCGGAGCCGGCTCGGTTGCCTGTCATGCACCGTCTTTGGAAATCCCCGTAGCTGGAATCATGTAAATGAAGTTCGGACCTGCGTATCATGATCCGAATTCCCGGGCACTCTAGACTACGCCTAGGCACGTCCAAGGGTCGTGAACAACGCCGGATACTCACCTTCTGCCGAAGGCCCTTCATAACAAGTGCCTATCCTTTACGACAGCAGGTCGCTAGCTCCGACGGGTACCCGGACTGCTGGACCAGGGCGAGCGCCACATAATGTCTACGACATGCCGACGACGCAATCCGCGCTGGGCTCCGCCCCGAGCCAACCGTGAAGGGAACTTTCGCTCGGGGTTGAGTCTGCCGCTCTGCGGATCGCTAGATTTACACGAGCTCTGCGTTCCCGCCAGATGGACCTCTGTATCTTACCTCGTGGTCTCTATTTGCTCCAATCTTCTCTATCTAGCTCGGTTACGACCATGAAATGCTCCCAACGAATCAGGTGCGGCGAGTATGTCTCTTGTAACACTCTCCTCCCTCATATCCGCAATACCTATGTTCGCGGGAATTAGACGATTTTGCCTTTCAGGATATGAAGGCTAGGCAGGCCTCCCTAGACAACGTAGATGGCTGCGAAGATTCCGCAACACCACACGCCTGGCTGCGGTGGCCGGATGCCGTCCTCGATTTGCTATCAGTATTACTGGCGGTTGGTCAGTCCTAGAATGACAAGTCGCGCCTCGGATTCCGTGCAGTTCGAGTGCCAATGGTGGTCCTACCATGACAAAAAAAAAAACTCCAAAAGCGACGAGCCCGGCGTAGAAGCAAGCCTGTGCGATCTTCTCGTTTTAAGTAAATTGCGCCACTACCGTCGTCTTCCTACCGTTACTTCGACCGACTTGGCTTCGGCACACGTACACGTGAAACTGGCGTAGACAACTTACATATGCGTTCTAGAAAGAAGCCTAATAGTGACAATTCCTAACTATACACTGGGCCAACGCGACTGCAGACCTAGCACATCTCACCTGAGCATACTGGTGGACGAGGTATGGAGCTATCTCCCCCCCCCCCCTTCCCCGGGCTCCCCTACCTCGCCTTGTCGCCGTGGGCCTATCTGGGATCGCGGGAGGGGGGGGATGGTGGGAATCTCACTCCCGCTCGAGAGGCTGGCCGGAAGACTGGAGGGTGGATGGGTGCCATTACGGTCAGCCGTGAAGCCATCGGTGGCAAGTAGCCGATTCTTCATGAAGCTCGTACCCGAGGGCCCGTCACACAGACGCATAGACACACTCGCTCACCCGCTTCCGGACTCGAGTGAATCGTTATCGAATGCGAACATGATTGGCTCGGGAGACGCATCCGTGGCCTATAATAGGTCAATATAATTTGCCTGTAGCCTACATATTGTAGCTGAAGACACCAGCGATAATCCCACCATATACGGCTTCGCCAGATGCGCCGAAGCTTGGGGGTCGCATTGCCCTCGAGTCGCGTAGCTGCTTGGGTGGTCGACTAATGCAATTCGGTTCTCATGCAGACTCGTGCCGGCCATGGCTCAGGCCTTGGAACACCAGTCGCAGCACGTCCTTCTTGAGCACGTGGTGCATGCCAGTCTTATCCCGACGTCCTATGACCCTAATACAGATAATTGGGAGCAGTCGGTGCAGATTCAATCTAGAGACGTCGTTCGACGTTCCGACGGGCGGTGCTCGTCCCAAAAGGGGCACCAATACGCGGGAGCGGCTTTGACGACCATCGTTCAAATGGGGCAACGTAAGGCATGTCTCCTTGGCCAGACACCGGCTAACCTTCTCGGCAACTCGAGGTAGCTCTGGAGCAGACTGTTCTACGCCGTGTGAGGACATCCTTATTTTCTACCCTGATAGGATTCCTAATCTCACGGTCGGTTGCCGTCCCCGGCGGGAGCTAGGCTTCGGGTAGCGTTGGGAGGCGTGGCGGCTGTCAGCTACTCCGGATCCATAGTCCCGACACCTCTGGTCTCGAGGTCGGCACGCGTGGCACTGCTGTAAGCTCTGCCCGAAGGCCATGCGTTACTTAGCAATGAGCCGCAGGCTTGTGTTTGGGTATATCAGTCACGCCTACTCCTCATAACGCGTTGAAACGTCTAGCTAGGTCGCTATTCGATACGGTATGCTAGCTGCTATTAATGTCACATGTCAACTCCGAGGGCTTCCCCAATTCCCGGTTACGGCCTCTGAGCGGCACTCGCCATCTTCATCGTTACTATCGACGCCTCATAAGCGAGCATTCTCCGCGTCCCGCTCCTGTGTTAGGGTGACCCCGAACCTGAGCGCCGGCGGCAAGTCGGGAAACCCAGGGGGCTACACACCCTGACCAGATCATAGGCCTCCGCGCGGCACTCGCGTTGCCGACCCGGAATCAGCATCCTTAGATACGGCCCCCACGCATCGAAGTCTGTCGATATAGCGAGGCGGCTTCGCAATTAGGGGCATCTGGCCGACGGCCAACATATTCTTCCGCCACTGTGGATGGTCGACTGTTAGGCGAGCATCCCCGCTTCCTAAGGTACGTAGGCTTCGAAACATATATCAATGCCAAGATGAGGCTGGGATGGGGGTTTCACTAGACATGGCGGGCAGAGAGGGAATGGCGGCTGTAGGTTTTCGCATAGCGATCCCGACGAAGACGCCCATCGAAGACGCTGGGAAGGACTTAATCTGGACCGCGGTCTCCCCGCCGATATCCTCTCTGAGCTTATCGACTAGGCTTGGTGTTCGAAGAGGGACCGCCCCTTTCGATCAATCTAGATACGGCCTGCTCTCGCTTGTATGCGTACCGTCGACGAACTCAACAATAGCCGGGAGTTGATAGGAACGCCCCCCGCACGAGGGGCAGGCTCGTGACCGGTTCGTAAAACGCTAATCGAAGGCCCCATCCTGTCTTGTGTCGCCTATATCTACATATAGAACAGGCGTGCGCGGAAGTGGCAGAGTCGCTCTGCAACCTGGGATTCACCGATGCCCTCCATACCCCTCCCTCCATTATGATAGAACCGAGCCGTCGCGTAGTGCGTCTTCCCGAGACGTCGGATTAACCTTCGCTTGGGATTGCCTATACCGCATCGTGTGCCGCGGCGCTGGCTTCTCACGGACAGTGGCACGGTAACGGTCAACTTACCGGTATGCGTCGAAAGGCTTGGCGGCACGACCGGATGGGATTCCTGCGACTAGGGCGACTGTCACTTCCCGTCTCTTCCGCGTATGCTCAGCTCGGATCCTACTCGCGCATTGCAAGTTTTCCCTCCGCATACGCCGCGAGGATCGTTAGAACTTGATAGGTACGTTAGGTACCTACCTGTATGCCCATACACGCACGATGTACGCACCTATATACGAGGTCTCTGCGACAGGGATGAGATAGGTAGGAAGGATACGACGAGGACCAACGCTCACTGTTTCTACGCCGGGGGGGGGTGCGGGATGGTAAAAATATGGGCTGTCTTACGATGGCCCTCGCCCAGGCCTCGTCCACTTGTCCCGATGGAGACTTGGATCGACGCTGTTAGTCATAGGTAATTACACAGGTAAGTCCTCTTCACAAGGATTGGGATAGCAACCTACACATGTGCTGATCGATGGCGCGGGCCAAACCAACCAAGGAATCGGCGTTGATCTCGAGGGCGCATCAGATTAGATTAGATGCTTGTATTCTATAGGATCCAAGGCCGCCCAGGGTGGGCAAGCTTTACCTCTCTCTCTCTCTCTCTCTCTCTCTCCCCTTTCGGTTCATGTCCAGATGCTGTCGCTACCTCAAGGCTATCCTTGCAACGCCTTGTCTCAGGCCTCCTATGTCGGGGGGAAAACAAAAACAAAAATAGGATGGGACGGGCTCGGGTCGGCTGCTCTGCTGAGCGAATCGAGGTGTTTTCTCGAAGCAATCCTATTCTGGGACGCAGTAGCAAATGGATGGATGGACAACTCGCCACATCACCTACGGTCGCAGCTATGGTGGATCGAGGGCTACACTCGGGATCGCTATAAATTGCACCGTAGACTCTTCGACGAGACCAAGTTGGGCGCGCCGTCGAGCACACCGGCTGGTGGATCTCGCCATCGCTTGCTGCCTGTCCCATTTCACCAAGCGCCTCGTGTAGGTAAGACTAAGACGGGCTGGGGCGATATCGGAGTAGGGGTCAACCAACCTCGGGGCACTCTAGGTATGTAGACATTACCTAGCAAGGCATTAGATAGACTTAATAATAGAGACTACCAAGTAGCGCTGTCAGGAATCGAACCTATCCTCTATTATCAAACCCACTGAGCTGCATTGATGGAGAAACGAGGCAAGGGTTTGATGACGACTCGCCCAGTACCTGATTAGGTAAAGATTGCTGTCCTTTACGGTTGTCGCCATCATCGTATCTTCATCGCTTGATGCCGTACCTGAAGGTGTCAACTTCAAGTCGGGGCATATCTAGATATATATATATAATATAGGTTAGGTAGCCAGCGAGTTTGCCCGACGGCCGCGATGGTGGTGAGTTATGCCGAGGTTAATTTCCTTGGTTAGAGGATGCAGAAATAGAGAGGGAGGGAGAGAAATAGAGAGAGGGAGAAGAGAGACAGGAGAGCGCCCGTCGCCCACACTAACCTATCTCTGCTAACATCCATCCCTCCAACTCCGAGTTGCGCTCCGAACCGAGCTTGCGTTGCCATCCGCCATCATCAGCCCATCCCCTTCTTTATTCCCCCCAGGCCCTCCTAGAATTTCTATTCACCCGGTTTCTCCCACCCTGTGTGCCCATCTTCTCAACACTGTTTGATATCGTGATATGGATAAGTAACGGCGGGTAACATGTTGGGTCCCTGGGAAATACATTTGTTGTTGCACCTGCTGTGTCAGCGTCAGACAATTCGGTGCCCCAGGTACCTATGTATATGCTAGGTGCCTCAGGTACTCAGGTACCTAGTCGGTACCTGAGGTACGTACACGTAGTAGAACCTGGGAAGTTTCATGGCTGTGGGTTACGGTTACCTCGGGTACCTCTACACGTACGGAGTTACCTGCATTTTAGGTAGGTACCTCTGCATCTCCTGATGTGAGCGTGCTAAGCCAGGTACCTGTGTGTACCTCCCCTTGAAAGGGGTTCCATGGTTCCATGTTACGTGGTTACATATGTACCTACGTACATATACAAACAAGTAAGGAGCCGCCCGCCGGCCAAAATCGGTGGCAATCGCGCTCACCTGGGTGATGGCTTTCCCTCTCTCGTCCCAATCCTACTTTTCACGCCTCTCTCCTTTCCTGTCCCCTCTCCCTCTCATCATCCCCTCCCTCCGCTATCCTCTCTTTTTCCGTTTTCCAGCTATCAGACCTGTCATCGTCGGACCGCCTGGGCTGGGGACCTGACAAGAACGCGAGTCCCCCGGCCACGGTCGCTATTTTTCCTCCTCTCCTTTCCTTTTTTTCTTGTTTCCCTGGCCTTCCCGTCTCCCCGGCGCCGACTGCATTTGGGCCCTTGTGCTGGGTGGGCAGCCAACCTCTCGAAACTGGCTTCGCTCGCCGATACCTGCCGATACCGCCGCCGTCATGGGTTGGTCGAAAACTACGCGGATCAGCGTTATGCTGGCCATTGACATCGCCTTCTTCCTGCTGGAGCTGATCACGGGTATTATGGTCCATTCTCTGGCCCTCACTGCCGATGCATTCCACATGCTCAACGATATCATTTCCCTCGTCATTGGTCTGTGGGCTGTTACCATCGCCAAGAGAGCCAACACCAACAAATTCTCCTACGGATGGGTGCGTGCCGAGATCCTGGGCGCCTTCTTCAATGCCGTCTTCCTCATCGCTCTGTGTGTCACTATCATCCTCGATGCCATGACACGCTTCATCGAACCCGCCGAGATCTCCCAGCCGGTGCTCATCCTCGTCGTTGGCTGCTGCGGGTTGGCCTCGAACCTCGTCGGCTTCCTCGTACTGGGCGGACATGGCCACGATCACGGACACGGCCACGACGAAGAACACGATCACGACCATAAACATGACGACGTCTCTGCAGCCGAAGAGGGGCGACTTGACGCGAGACAGCAATTCGTAGACGAGGATGGCCCGGCGATGGATGTTCTGCCCGAAGTCGCGCTGGCCAGGGTCAGCGCGGCTAATGCTGCACCGGAGACGACGCGACGCATCCAATTCAACCGGTCTGAAGAATCCCACGAACGATGTGCCAGCCGGGGATCGCCCAGAGGACGAGAACGTCGACGCGCCAGCAGCCTTAAGCATAGCCACTTGGCCAGTCTCGACAACCTCAGCATCCACCCGTCTACCTTCCGACAAGACATTATTGACCAGAGCCGCTCGAATGGCAGTGAAAACGAGACGGACGAAAGCTCCAATGACGAATCCTCCATCAATTCTGTCGCCCTGGACGAGCCAGCTGTCGATGAGGCCACGCCCCTGATTGCCGATGAGCGCGGGATGGGTAGGGGAGCCGTGGGCCAAGACAAGCATACCCACCGACCGATCTCTCAACCCTATCGTGCCCGACGCAATTCCGCAACTCACGTGGAGCACCACCACAACCAACCCAAGTCCAAGTCGAAGAAGGGCCACGGCCATAGCCACGGCGACATGGGCATGAACGCCATGATCCTGCATGTTTTGGGCGATGCTCTGGGAAATGTCGGCGTCATAGTAACGGCCTTGATCATCTGGCTTACCGAGTGGCGTTACCGGTACTATGCGGACCCGGCCGTGTCTCTGTTCATCACCCTCATCATTCTAAAGTCGGCTGTCCCGCTCACCATGGCCACGGCCAAAGTGCTCCTGCAAGCCACCCCTGACCACATCAACCTGCAGCACATCAAGGAGGACATCCAGGCCCTCCCGGGCGTGATCAGCTGCCACCACGTCCACATCTGGCAGCTCTCGGACACTAAGGTGGTTGCGTCGCTGCACATCCAAGTCGCATTCCCCATCCAAGACCAGGACGGAGAGAAGTACATGACGCTCGCCAAGCAGGCGCGGAAGTGCCTGCACGCGTACGGCATTCACAGCGCCACGATCCAGCCCGAATTCTGCCTCGACCAGGACTGCAGCCACGGCGACGACGGCTCGTTGACGCTCGAAGGACAGGCATCGCCGCGCTACGGGGGCGACCTTTGCCTTCTGGAATGCGTCGACGACTGCGTGGGTCAGGGGTGCTGCACGCTATCCGTACGGCCCGCTTCGGGCGCGGGGTCCAGCCGGCGATCCAGCCACTCGACCCACAGCCACGGCGATAACCACGATCACGATCACGATCACGGCGACGATCACAGCCACAGCCACAGCCACAGCCATTGAAAAGGAAAAAAAAAGGGTTGGGGAAAATAAATACGAAAACTAAATCTCTCAGAGTTACGTTGAACGCCTAATGCGGGCGTGGGCGATAGAAATTTGGACTTGGCTGAGCTGTCGAGTCGGCGGTCTTCGATTCTATCCTGTTCTTTTTACTGGGTCTGTAAAAGTGCGTGGGCGTTTAAGGGGGGGGATACCAACAGCTAACCTACCTGGACGCGAATGCTAAGTAGGTAGATACATGGGCAGGCGGGCGGACGGGGGTAGGCCGAGGTTTACGAGCTGATAGATGACGAGGGAGAGGAGAGACTAGGCGGGCGAGTGCCTGTCGGCCGGCTCGGTTCTCCGGGAGTTGCTCTGGCGGCTAGAAAAAGGAGTCCGCCTGCCTACATCCTAATAATACACACGCAATCGGGTACATAGCATGGACCGGCGTGTAGTCGCGTGGGAGGGTGGCGGTTGGCAGTATCTGCATATGTGCTCAGGGAGGTCCTGGCCAAGACGACGGGGTACCGCGTCTCGATGCTATATTATATGCTAACATACCTCCCTACCCTCTATCTGCTATGTATCGTATGCAGGCACGTGCGGTATATGTGTCTGGGATGGTTAGTATGCTTGCCCTAACTTCAGCTTCTCTTGCGACAAACAAGCCCTTCTCTTCAGGCAGGCAATCTCTTCACCTATCTCTCGTTATGGCAGAGTGCTTCCCGCGGAGTTCGCTACCGTCCCTGCTCTGTGAGCAATCTTTCTCTGGAATACTCTCTCTTCGGTATATTCTCTATCAGGGCCCAGCACTCCCACGTCCTCGGCTGCATTTGTGCGAGAACTCTCCGTTCTTACCAACAATAGAAGCGAAGGATTGTTTGGCATCAACACCCTCGCCAGAGACTGACTGGTCCGAAATGAAGATTGGCCCAAGATGTCTGATGGCGGCGACTTTGATGGCCAGCATCTGTTCACCCTGGAGCGGCTCCAACAACTATATAAGTTGTGGTCAAGAGCCACCACTCATCCCCATCACATGCCCGATGCTTACGCGAGGCTGGATAGCAAAGGGGAATTCACCTCTAGTTGTCTAACGGAATGGACGTGGTAGCACGGTTAGGACGTAGCGATGTTAACATGCCTGATTATGACGGGTTCCCGATTCATATGCGAGTTCCCTAGGTCAAATTCAAGACCGAGGCGTGTGAGCTCCCGCAGTCCGAGCCGGATGTCTTGGCTTCTCGCCTGTTTTATTATCGCGTCCCCATGCAGCACGAGGGCCCCAAGCTTGATCATCCTAGAGACATCGCAGGCCGGCGCTTGCTTGTGTTCCAAAGAGCTGAGTGAGAGGATGACGTGTGGCGTACCCTCAGCCCGGCTCAAAAGGTAAGCGGGCGTATACTAATCCTACGATTTGCTTCGTATGCTGACTTTTCTCTTTCAGTCTTGCCTTCTTTCTTAGGCAGCTCATATCCGCGCGTCGCTGCACAGATTCCAAGTCCTGCCCGAGTTCGCTTCTGCCTGGCTCCGCGAACGGCTCTTTAAGCAAAAGCCGGAATCGTTTCCCATTCCCGCTGCTCCCACTCGCGAGTTCTGCGTTGTCCTCTTTACCTCCAAGATCAAAGCAACCGTCGAGAGTATCGGTAACATGATTTGGTGGGAGGATAGCCATAACACGGCCGGTCCGGTGACCGCAGCGGCCAAGCGGTCACTCCTTCGCCTCATCCCACACGTAATGCCTGCAGGCGACGACGAGGACCTCTTATACCACTTCGTTATGGACCACGGCGACTTTGGCGTTCACAACATCTCGATCGCGATGGATGCAAACAGCTAACCTCTTGCGACATCCTTGTTCAACCGAGAGACTGGGTGCATTGTGCTAGTCATCCTGTCCGACTTGGATGGCGGTGACTGTCGATTTAGTGACTGATGAAGATGCGGCGCCCACCTTGACCTGCTTGCCTCGCATCGTAACCGCGGACGAGCTGGAGCGAATCGCGGCATGGCCGAGGCTATACCTTGAGGCACGTTCTTCGTTGAGATTCCTAGTTCTCGTGCTCAACGCATTACAAAGTGTGGTTCAACAAATATTTGCAGGCCCTCTTCCTCGATGCACCGGATTACAAGCGCGCTATCCGAGCGGGTAAAGACACGCGCTACCTCTGGTTCGCACCGCGAGACTGGCACGGCGGCGGTCCCCTGAGAAGAGGATGAAGGAGCTCGGTGTGAATCAGGAAGAAGTCAACTAATGCGGTGGAGAGGCCACAGTCGTGAACAGCCCCTTCTCAGGGGCAATCAACAAGCCAATCATCTCTGGAGACCGGCCTTCGACTTTGTTAATAGGTCAAACCTGCCCGGCTCTGGGGACTCCTCTTCCCTAGCTGTTGAGAAACACCCTGCCATCACGCATGTTCGGAACCTAGTTGGGCAGACAGTGGACACTCTATCGTTCCAGAGCTCTAATTGCCTTTTCGCACGGCCGGGGAGTTGAAGATCAGATATTCACAAAGGAGAAGCACGGAGTATTATCTGGTATTGGGTCAGATTCGGAAGCTGGATATACTTGGGAGGGGGGTTCTACCTCGTGTGTCCGTGAGACTGCTTCGGTCGCCAATGCCGACAGAACATGCGCGGCGTTGCATGTTCTGAGCTCGCGTGCGGCATCTTTGCTATTGGCTGGGACATGTGCGATCGAAGTGAGAGAAAATCACATAGGAACGGGGAGGAGGAGGATGAAGGGTAGAATCGAGGCTTGGTGCGGAAGGGCATGAAAACGTAGGTATTTGTCGTGAACGGCGGACACCTCGCTGTTGAGCAGCTGGGTACGCGGAAGCGCCAAGGCCAGGGGACAAAGTCGGGTCCGCGTGCCGGGTTCTGATAAACGGAGCAGGGGGGGACTGGCTGGAGCGACACGTCTTTACAACTGGGTACGGCTTCAGATTCCTCCCAGGGAGAACAGACCCGGTATGGCTGGCTTGCAGCCGTGCCGTGCCAGTGCGGCGGCGCGCCGGAGTATCGGGGTCTATCTATATTCTCCTGCTCGCGCGCGGCCCCCCCTGCGGGATCGTCTAGCCAGCCCGTCTTGGTTCGCGTCCAGCTCCTCCTCCTCCTCACGCCTTCGGCCTTCCTCCTCGTCTGACCATGGCACCACTCCTAGGCTCGTCCCGCTCGCGGCACGCGATTCGAGCTCTTCTCGCGCTGCGCCGGCCAAGGATTGCCATTCACGTCGTTATCGTGCTCGGGCACCGAGCGAGTCGAGCCTGCCGTTAAATATCCTCCCAATTCCTGCCCGACCCCGAAAGAGGCCTTCTTCGTCCTCCTCTTTGCCCAACCCAACCGGCCTCGAGAGCTGCTGTCCAATCTCCGTCTGCTCATCCCCCCCCCTGGACCAAACCTATACGACACGAACCCCCTCGCCCTAACCCTCTATAATCATAATTAATTGCCGATCTCATATATGTCTGTAGGCACTCGGCTATGCTTTTCTAGTTATACCTACGTACCACATCTCTTCAGGCATCATCTATCGGTACCTCCCATTCTCACCCGCCGGACTCTGTCCACCCGCCCGGTTATATTCCCGCCTACATCCTCGGATATCTATCCTCAGCCTTCATGACGTCGCGCGTGACCAGCCAGATAGAATAGCCTCCATCCGTCCATCCCGTACTCTACTACAACCGACCCCTTCCCCCCCACTCACATCCCAGAGCTGCAACCATGAGCAGCGCCCTCCTCCTTCGCGGTCGCGACGTCCTCTCCGCCGCCCTGCACGCCCTGCGCCCGCACCCGGGCCGCCGCGGCACCAGCCTGCAGCTCGTCCTCGTGACGGGCAGCCTCGTCGCCGTCTCCGTGCCCCTCGCCGCCTACGCCTACAAGAGCTACCAGGCGTTCCTCGCCATCGGCCGCGGCGGCGTGCCCTACAACTTCTTCGGGTGGCTAGGCCAGAGCACCTTGCATCTCATCGCACGCCGTGACACCCAGAGACCCGTGCCGGGCCCCTTCGGCTCCATCGACGACCTCGCCGCGCTCTACAGCCCGGCCGCCGGGAGGTCCTACCTCGGCCCGGGCGTCGTCGAGGAGGGTCGCCTCGCCCGCCGCGGCGGCCCCCGCCCCGACATCCCCCGCTTCGTCGCGCCCCAGCGCCAGACCTCCGACGTCGCCACCCCCGCCGTCCTCGAGCGCCAGGCGCGCTACGTCGCCGCCGTCGCCGCCGCGAACCCGGACCTCTTCGAGCTGCGGACCAGCCAGCTCGAGGGCCCGCCCCACCAAGCGCTATGGCTGCGCCTACCATCCGCGACGGCGGCGACGGCGGCGGGAGGGCCGCCACCGCAGGAGAACAAGGACGAGAGGCAGAAGACGCAGGAGAGAGAGAGGGAATTGGGCGTGCGCCTCGGCCGCGGCACTAAGGGCGAGTTCGCGCACGTGCACGGAGAGGGCAGCACGCACGCGACACTGTGCCCGCGCGACGCCGCCGCCCTCATCGACGCCGGCTGGGCCGAGCGGCACGGGCTGAGCGGGGTCGGCGGGCCGACGCGCGCCATGGCGCCCTGGGGCTACGTCATGCTGTACGCGCCGCGCGACGATGCCGAGTTCCGCCTCTGGCGCGAGGCCCTGCTCGCCGCCGCCCGCTACGTCGCCGAAGGTTCTGGCGTCGTAGTCGTAGCCCCTCCCGTGGAGTGAGCGGGCGAGTCTCGATGTCTTCTTTTTATCTCGCCCTGGGTCGGCCAACTGGATCTGGCTGGCCTGCTTACCCGGCTACCGATGACCTACGTAGGTCGGAGTCGTGTTTTGGGATAACCCCCCCTCCCCCTCCTCCTCTTCCTTATATAATATATAGTACCTCTCGCTCTCTCTCTCTCGTGTGGCGTCTGCGGTGGCGTGTGTTGACTCGGCCTGGAGGGGAAGTGTCCGTAGTGACTGGTGTGTCCGGATTGCGGCTCGCCCTCCTGCTTGGCCGATTTGAGGACGAAAAGAACAAAAAGAAAAAGCTGAAGCGGAAGAAGAAAAAATCGTGCAGACGGGAATAGGTTAGCACAGCGTCACCCGCGAGGTGGTGGTGTTAAGCGAGACGGCCCTATCAACGGAGCGTTCGGCGCAGTCGACAAGGGTAGCATTATGCATGCGTACGTGGATATGTTGGGGGGCACACGGGTTGCCAGATGACGTTGAACTCGACTTGTCAATTATTACTGGTGTCATTGCAGAGCTGTCGATAGAGAGCGAGGTGTAGGCGACGTCTTACACCCTCAAAACAAAAAAGTGGTGAGAGGTATGCATACAGATGCACGCATGCACACCTATATACAGCCAAATCATCTCTTGTCCGTCTCCCCGTGTTACCGTCATCGTCACTTTTCTACTCGGCTGGCCGGAGGCTGATGCAGTGATCCCCGAGAGACATGCGTATGCTTATTTCCTATGGAAGCTGAGCCACGGCGCCGACGAGATCGTTGTAATGTCACTCTCGTCGCTTACCCCTTGTCGAGGAGTCATCTGTAGCGTGATTCGTTATTCATTACGTGCGTGGTGCTCTCCGCCTCCGTCTCGAACAGTTACGAATGGTGTGTGTGGCAGCATGAAAGACGGCCGGGACGGAGAGCGCGAGAACTACCTGGGTAGCCAGCTGCGCGGCCGAGACGTGGCTTTCTCAACCCGTTGCCTCGTACGGGCTCGCGTCGAAAGATACTAACCATCTCTCGGCGCTAGTCGACACCGCCTAGGACGCGGCTTCTGGTTCATCAAGCTACGTACAGCTTCGTGGGAGACTAGATAAGTGTGTATTTGTGATCTCTTAGGTATAACATGACGGGGCAATCCACTGAGGATCCCGTACGTCCTGCGGCACAGAAGCATGCTACAAAGTAAATATCTATCATGAAAGTTGATGGGCATCAGTAACTACGGCTTCTCTAATTCGCCGTAGTGGAACAAAAAAAAAGAAGACAAGAAGAGTGGGTATGGTATACTGTATGCAAGAACTCGAGGTCGGTGCTACTAATCTTCAAATATCGCGAACGATAGGTAGGTGTCGAAACGAGGATGGGCGGCCCCGTGAGTGAAACATGCTAATATGTAAAAAAGGATATCTTCGAAATAAAAGCGATGAGCGAGGATCTCGCCCCCTCATTCCCTTCTAAGCGTGTAGCTTATCATGGTCTCGTGGCAAGTTGACGCAGTAAAAAAGGAAAAAAAAAAGAAAATCGGAAGTAGAATGCGCGCGCGCGAGAGAGAGAGAGGCACAGAGTTCGAAGGGGGAAAACGTATGGAGTTAGAGACGGGACGTCACCTAAACGTAGTATATGGACCTTCGACTTTGACATCTCGGATCCCTTCTGGCATCATACGAAGCCATTCGGCCCAGCTCTCGAGGTTCAGAGTCTCTTCGGTCAACCGCATCGACAATGTCAGCTGGGGACCGTGGTGGTTCTCGGGGCTGTAGAGGGCCGGCGGTTGTGGTGGAGATAACGTAATCGAAGGTAACCTCGAGTTACCCGAAATCTGTATGTGTAGCGGCGAAGGGGAGCTGACGGCCGCGCCCTTTTCGTGTTTGTCTTGGATGGTCTTGGGATACCCGGATAGGAGTCTCGAGTGCAGCTCGGCGGCCGAGAGCGCGTTTGTCGAGCGTTGGGCAGCTTGCGTTTGCAGCTGCTTAGCTAACATCCTGGTGAAGCTGTTTCGGTCTAGGATATCGAAGTAGTCCTCCGAAGAGGATGCGGCGATGAGCTCAAATACGCCCCTCTGGCGCACCATTTTCGAGGAGGGAAAGTAGGCAGCGTCCATGATGATGAGCGTATCCGAACGAGCTTCCTCGAGGATCTGTTGGATCCCGCTCCATCGGATAGTCGACGCTTTCGAGCGGTCCCGAGAACTATGCCGAGTTAGAGAAGTCAAGGCGCTTTACAACAAGAACGGATCTCGGGGCGACTCGGACCACTTGCCTCGCCAGAACCATCTCCCTGTTCTCGTCCAAGTAGCTATATCCGTTATAATATACAATCTTAAGGACGTCCCTGTTGTCTTTCTTTTCGGTAAAATCGTTGATAATGCGCGAGAGCCATCGCCACGAGTTGGTGCAGCCGTCAGGGATCTTGAGGGTCTCGAGTCCGTATCGATAGTCTCTTTCCAAAACCGCACCCAGCTCCTTCACCGAAGCCGCCACGCCGGGGTCCTCGTCGCTCTGCCAATGGATCAGAAGCGCGGAAACGGCAGTGTAACGGCTACGGTAGGGAGACGAGAGGATCCTCGACGCCGCGCTCTCCAGCTCCGCCTTGACGGAATCGACGCCGGGCAAGGGCGCGTAGTGGTGACTGGGCGCAGCAGCCAGGGGCGACGACGAAATCGCCTTCTCTAGACGCGGACCCGAAGGCAGGGGCGTCCGGATCCTCGCGTCGCCTAGCGGCGGACGTCCCGGCGCAGCTTGGACGTTGGGGGCAGCGGGAGGGGTGTCAACGTCCATCTCCTGCGGATCGTGGGTGAAATGATGTCTGACATGGTTAGGCGCGGGGCTGATGGGTCGACCGGCCAGGGGCGCGAGATCCTGCAAAGGGCTGGACGAACGATACTTCCGCATAGCATCCTCCCAAGTCATATTGTGATGGTTCGGATGGCACTGGAAAGGGGGAAGGGGGGAATTGGGAGATCATGTGAGCGCCGGGTTCGTAACGACAAACGGACAGCAGATTTTTTTTTTAGCTAGCGCTACTACTTACAGCAACCCTGCGCCTTCGACAGTCGGCGCACGCGCCCAACTTCCGAATCAGCGCGGCCTTCTCCCTCTGCTGAGCAGACAACGGCCCGGTTCGCCGCCGACTCGCGCGTCGGTTGTGGGAGATCTCGGACCCGTCCTTGACCGAGAAGATGGACTGGGACGATTCCACGCTGTAGGCCGTCGAATTGGTGTCGGCCGAGGCGTTCGAGACCGCGGTAGCCTCGGTAGCCACGGTCGAGGTCGAGGAGCTCGTGTCCTTCCTCATGGGCGTCGACTGGATGGGCGACGGGGGACGGCTGTCCTGCTGCACGTGCTCGGGAAGAGCAGGCTGGTGGGGTTGGAGCTGCTGCGACGGTTGGTGGCCGGCGGGCGGCGGCGGCGGCGGCGGCGGCTGGTCGTGCGGATGGGAGACATGTTGGCCTCTATCCTCAGTCTTGCTGTCCTTGGGAAAGGATTCCGACAGACTGGGTGCAGGATGCATGTCGTCGGGCCGCTTGCACAATAGCAGCACGGCTACCTCATAATGGAGGGCGACGGAGAAGCGCTATTACAGCACGCACACACACACACACGCACGCAGGCACGCAGGCACGCACACACACAAGGGAAAAGGGGAAAAAAAAAGAGGTTCGAGGCGAGGATGCTATGCCGGGCTCGGGAGGTGGAGAATTAAACGAGGGTTAAGTGGGATGGGCCGCGAGCGAAGAGAAGAAATACGGCTGAGACGAGGAGAGGTTTAGGTAAGGCTCAGGCCTGCGAGGCCGTGTTGGCATAGACGGAGATAGGGAGGTGTATAAACTATACATGCACACACAAGCTGGCAGCGAAGAGGTGTGGTATAGATTGTGGAGGCAAGGTATAATAATATAAGGTCAGGCAGGAGGGAGGCAGTCAGGTTAGAACGGAGCGAGGTGCCTGCCTTCATCTCAGGCAAGGACGGCCGCATGTACCCCCGTACCTGCAGCCGGTACGCTGGGCGCCCTCGGCTAGGTACCTTCGCAGCGCTGGAGCCGCCCATACCGAAGCGACGTACCGGGCCAGGTACCTTGTGCGGTAGGCCGGAGAGGTGGCAGCGACGGCCTGGGGGGCAGGAAAGGCGAGGTGGGAGGCGCAATGCATCGCTACCTACCTACCTCCTACCTACCTAAGGTAGGGTCGGTAGGGTAGGTAGGGTAGGCACGGCGGGACGGGGTTCGATGGGGGGGGTTTCGGAGGCGACAGGGCCTGGAGGTCAGGTTAGGGTACCTTAGGTACCGACCTACGTGGTTAGGTACATGCCCGGCAACCTTAGGAGGCAATTACCTTAGGTAGGAGGTAGAGGTGGGTAGGTAGGTAGGTACCTACAGGCCTCACACGCCTGCCTCTGCCTGCGTACCGATCTTAGGTACCTAGGTACCTACCTACCTAGGTACGCTAGCGCGCGCAGCCCGATACTACCTCCTACGGCAGTCCTGCAAATCGAAATCGGAGGTATGAGTAGACACGAAAGATACGCCAATAAGGGGATCCGGCTACGTCCCCCTTCGAGCGCGATACCCTTCATTACCAGATGGGAGGGAATGCGGGGCCGGACGGCAGCAGAAACAACCTGATTCTCTCACCTAAACGGCGGAGCCTGGGCGCCTGAGGTAGATAGATAGGAGGTACCTACCTACCTACCTAAGTACCTAGGTACTTAAGGTAAGTACCAGCAAACACGCCAACCGAGGTACCTAAGGTATAAAGGTAGAGGTATAGCTTAGGTACCTAGGTACCGCAGTACGGCGCCGTCGCTCTCGCACGAGGCCCGCACGTAGGTACGTCTCCTGTACGACTCGGTACTTTTAACCCCATCGCAGTCGGGGTCGTCGTCGTGGTTGCAGCCGCTGGCTCGGTAGCCTGCCATTTGGGCAGTTGCTCTGTTGTGAGGCGCCCGCCGGGCAGTAACTGCCTATCGTCGTCCTGTCGTCCTTGCTCTCTCTCTTTTCCTCTCTTTCTCCCTCTCTCTCCCTCCCTCTCTCTCTTTCTCTCTCTCTTGCCTCGCGAAATGATGGCAATCGTCAGCCCCCAGGCATTCATTAGGTACCTAGGTAGCCTACCTTAGGTACCTAACATAATGAGGTGGGAGGCGAATGAGAGCAAGTACCTACTTACTTACCTCCTACCTACCTATAACTAGGAAGTAGGTGGATGCGGAAGGAGGTACCCAAGCCCGGGAAGGTGGTTGTCGTTAGAGGCAGCTGTCTTACGTAGGGATGAGGTTGCTGAGCCGGAGGCCAGCCTGGTAATTCGATTCGGTCGGCAGGTGCCATTTGGATGTACGGGTACGCTGGAGTCTACCTGTAAGGTAGGCAAATAGGTACCTAGGTATCGCTTACATGTTGTGTTGTCAAGCTTGTCTTGTCTTATACCTACCTACATCGTCGTCCCCTCCTTGCCTCCCTCTCTCTCTCCCCTCTCCTACCGACTGCGCCTCCTACCACCGCTGCCGCACCGTCTTATTACTGGTGCTGCTGGCCTCGCATGTCGCCATCCTCGTTGTCGCTGTCTACGGACGCCCCTCCACCGAACCCCCACCCCGCTCTGCTGCCTTCGTTTCCTCTCAGGGATACGGGGACGGAGGCGCGGGTCGAGCAAGGGGAGTGGTAGGGAAAAAACGACGGCGGCCTGTTTATCCCTCGAAATTACAAGTTACCAGGCCCATCCTACTTCATTATGTACAACGTCGACTACAGATTACCAACCGATAATCTATATCGGTCAAATAAATTGGCATGGGAGGGAAAGGGGGGGAGGCGTCCAACTACAACTGGTACGGGTCGAGCATACCGATGTATCGTCTCAATCTGATTTTGACCGTGGCTACGGCGGATCTGAGGTAAACACGTGGTAGTCTGTTCCCTTTCCATTTTCCACCTCGTCTACCAATGGATCCTCGCCTCCACCAATCATCAACAGCGCCAGCGCAGCACGTCGTAGACATACAGCCCAGAGAGACGTGACACTCCGAGTGCCCACACACACCCCTTGCCCGTCGACCGTGGCCTTTCTTCGGTCAAGAGGCGAGGCGCTGCGAGGCGACACAAGACCAGACACGTCTGCGCTGTGAAGCCACAAAATTCCTACCACCTACCGACACTGCCAATACATGGGGGGGGGGGGGGGGGGGGGAGAGAGACCCAGGAGAGCGAGGACAAGAGGGAGCGAGAGGGACGGGGATGAAAAAAAGCGAGGAGGATACCCTGCCTGGTCCTTACCTATCCTATTCACCACAACTCGCCCTGGACATCCACTGCTACCACGTTTCTGCCTCCTCCGCGCGAGGCTTCTCCCCTTTGTCTTCCTTCTCTCTCCTTTTTTTATTTTGGAGGGTGGGGGGGGGGGAAGGGTGTTTGGTATTCCTCCTGGTCCCTTTTTTGTTTGTGGCCGTCTGCCGCCCTCATCCGATGCTGCGAAATGCAAATCCGTCACAGGCGAATATGCATCCTTCACTCGGTCTACGATGCGATGCCATGGATCAGCCCATGCATTCTGCCCACCCCGGGTTGACTGATTTGTTCACCCGATATGAGCTTCATGCAATTGTTTGTCATCTGATGTCGATTTCGATCTACGATCGACCGGAATCCCCGTGACCTCTATCCGTTTTGTCTCGATTCCTATCTGTGTTTGTCTAGCGCCGCCTCCGGCCTACGGCTGAGCGAAAACCTGTGTCACAGTCAGACCGACCTACCCGCGCTTGGGGAGGGGGGAGGAAGAGAGCTTACTTCTTCACCTATCCCTCCCTCTCCCCCCTCTCGGTGGCTGCCCTGGACCTGGCGGTACTCTCGGTCAGATACAGGGCCAATCCCGCTTGTCTGTCGCGTCCCCCTCCTTTACCGTCTGTCCGACGTCTTATTCGACGGAGATGGCGTCGACCAATTTGCCGACAGCGTCATGACCTGGGGGCTTGCTGCCAGTCTGCATACAATCGAGATATACGAAGAGGCAACGATATCTCTCCAATCTTCAGCCCTGGCGCACTATTCGGTCACAGTTTCTGCACGACTACGTTGGCCGTCCTCGTCCGTGGCCACATCGAACACTACGTTCCACCACTTCTGGAAGGTCGGTAGAAGGTGACTAGATAGAGGGCACTCTCGGCATTCCCTCACCGAACTCCCGAGCTGGCGTAGGCGCAACCCGATAGGATAAGGGCGTTCGCAGACGTGTTCTTCGTGAAGATCATCAACTTGTCCGGGTTTAGCTATATCGAGGTCCTTGGCAAGAGCTACCTCCGCGCTAGAGCTTAGGGACTACTATACGAAGCGGAAGAGAAGGAGGGAAAAAAAATTATATCCCTCTCGGCCTAATACCAATCGACAAGCCCTGCTGCACCGGGGGGGAAAGCCGCTCGGGGAGGGGGGAGGGACTCCTAATTCTCGTGGCTGGTAACGTGCATTACGTATTTAGACCACCCTCGTCCCCCCCCCCCCCCCCTCCCCTGCTGGCACGCTCGGCAGGAACCTAATATCAAACTGCTGGGGGCCGAATGGAGGAGGATCTAATCAAGGTCCCTGGCCGGTCATCCTCAGGGCTTCCCCGCAAGGGAGCTTTCCGATAGAATTACCTCATCCCCGGTCTGGGATGGCTTCGCTGAAAGTTTCCTGAGCAGACACCTCCGATCTCAATCCAACCTAGCTATCCAAGTATTTGGACATCCTTGACGGCCAGCTGTCGGTATCCAATGCGATCAGCGGGCACCGTTGAGTCTGACCTCTCTGTGCTCCGCCTCCAAGATGTCGCGGAACTGAGGGCTTGGGAATGACAATCGAGCACCTTATTCATACTGGGAAGCCAGGAGACCACTTACAACACGTTGGGCCTTTAAATTTGTCATTTCGCCATTGGCCGGTGCTGGTCTTGCATGGTGATATAGACAATTGCCTATTCGCGCCAATGAAGTCACCACGAGAATGGCGAACTAGGGAAGCCAAAAGTCCGAACGACTTTTCAGCCCATCCTACCCGGCTTTCTCGCAACAATATCCGCCTCTATAACGTACGAGTTCTATACAATGCTAGCGCCCTAACTCATCCCCCCTCCCCCAAATCTTTTCCTCTTCACAATCCTAGTTCCGAAAGGCGGTTCTCACTGGCAGGCCCCGCTAGTATATGGGAGTGCTCTTTATGATTGCCATCGACACCTCAGTCAAAGCTTGCATAGCCTAGTAAAGGGCGCCGTGGGTACACCGAGCGTCTCGTGTAACCCCTACCCTGGAGCAATTTGGAGGAATCTTAGTAGTAGAGCCCCTCCCCAGAATGGGAACCCCCGAGACGTCGAGTACCGGTGGCCCTGAGCATCGACATCCCTCGGTCTGCTCTGCGCCACCCCGGTCTACAAAGCTGTTGGGGCTCTACTGGCACCGCACGTTAGTTGGTTGTGGGTTACCCGAGCCTCGCTATGCAGGTGGACACTCCCTCATAACAAGGTCCCTCCATGCAAATCTCATCGGGAAGCGAACACATCCAGTGAGATCCTCCTGGTACGACATGCCTTCGCGCCAGGCCCTTTCGATGAAACACGGCAACTCTTAACGTATACGATACCGCCGTGTATATCGACGATGAGAAAAGGACCTGGGAACGCCGATCAAGGGATGGTTGAAGGATGTAGGTGGGCACGTTACCAAGACGATGTCGGTTTGGGCCCCAGGCTTGCCTATTCCGACGAGATACATACAGGACGCCTTAGCTTCCCGCCCGCCCCCTCTTTGGGCTCCTACTTACCACGACGCGCGATAGGTAGGTAAGGCATCGCATGTGCCTAGCTATATATATGTAAGTGTGTGTGTGCGTGTGTACACGAGAGGCCAAGGGCCCTGCTGTTGCTGCCCTATCGTCATATATTATATTACATGAACTATAGGCCGGGTGGTTACGCTGGATGGCGGCGACCTCATTCGGACCAAGCACAGGTGGTCATTCCCCATCCGCCCTGCTCTGTTTGGCTGTGTACCGCGTCGGGGCGGGCCCGGCGACCTTGCGAAGGAATCCTTTTGCGTTGTCCATATCGTCACCCTCTCCTCTCCTGGTTTTTCGTGGGTCTGCCCTGGGCCCCCCTCCGCCTGCCCGCGCGCGGCGCGCGTAGAAGTAGCATCACATCGAGCCTAGTGCTGTTCCGGCATGGTGGCAGCGCAGGCAGGTAGGGCCTGTCTTATGAGGCTGGAAGGATGCCAGGACGGAGGCTGGTTTATGGCGGCCTTGTTGGCTACGTAGCAGCTGTCCTCACTGCTGCTGTTGCCATCGAGGAGGCGAGATAGAAGGGGGGGTGCAATATGCAGATGCCGAGGATGGGCACCAGCCGTAGTAGTCGACGGACAAACACGCACTCACACACGCACCCACGCACCTTCACGCACCTTCACGCAGCCGTCCTTCCCATTAGGGGAGACGGGGATACAAATGAGCGGGTGCGCGTAGACGGGAAGGTGGTGTTATTATTGTCTGTCAGCACTCGGGAATTTCTCCTGTGTTTATTCTTCTTTCCAGCCGCCCCGATGACTTATCCTCGCCTCTTGCACGGACAAGGTACACATGGCATTATAGATATCGAAAAGGGGGGCAGGGGGGCTACTTGCGTCCGTGGGCTTAGACCGTCCTCCCCGACTCCGACGTCGAATCAAAATCCGGCAGTATCAAATCGGAATCATAACAAAATCAAAATAGAGGTGGCCGCATTAATCCAGGCCTGATCCCACCCCCTAAATATCATCCGTCCGTAAGCCCAGGTGAAGGAGAGAGGGAACTGTCTTTCGCGCTCTCCCTCTCCCCCCTTTTTTTGAACCCTTTCCCGTTTACCCTGTTCTCCCCTTTCCCCTCTTTTGCCGACGGCTGACTAATACACTCCTTAACATCTCTCATGTATGCCGGGTAACCGCAACACAATGTCTTCATCAGAGGAGCGAACCTGTCCTGTCTTTTCCTGCAAGGTAGGCAAACTGTAAAACGATAAGAGGGAGAGGAGAAGCGACCTCCCTTTCGAAGTGCAGCACGGAGCAACCAGAATAGGCTGGGCCGCTTTGTGCGACGAGATCGTGCGTCTTTTGTTATACGACGAGATCAGAACGCCAAGAACAAGGCCGCCAGCCCAGCCAGGGCATAGACCGCGCCGGCGGCGAGGGCGCGTCCACCCGCGGCAGCACCGTTGTCCTGGGCCTCGATACCGAGGCTCGGTTGGGGCTCGAAGCTGCCGACTGGCGTGCTGTCGACGGTGCCGTTCCAGCAGTAACGGTCGAAGCAACCGCGGCACTGGGCGCTGAAGGCGGTGGCTGTGCGCTCGAGGCTGCGGCGCATGATGGCGCAGGCGGCGCACGCCCTCCAGTCGGCGTCGAGGGTGCCGTTGCCCATCGTGGCGACATGGTAGCCGTTGCGGATGAGCCCGTCGCGCTCCTCGTCAGTGTAGGTAGGGTCGAAGGTTGACACGTTGCTCGCGAACGAGTAGGGCGTGTTGGGTAGGTACACGACCAAGGGCGGGATACGCGAGGCGCTGGAGAACTTGGACGTGTCGCACCCGAAGAAGGTCGGACGCCGATTTAGCCCTAGGTTGATAAAGGTCTCGGCGTCGGGGACGCGCGGGAAGACGGTGCCGTTAGCGATGCGGGTCTGGCTGCGCTCATAGGTGGCGCGCAGGGCCGTGCCGTTCGGGAAGAAGGTCGTGGTATCGGCGGAAGAGTCGACGGCGAAGATGACATCGACGGCCCGTGCCGGTTGGATTAGCGGCTGGAGCGGGATATTCTGCAGGTCCATGCCGCCGTCAACGAGGGTCAGCTGGTCATCGCCGGCGTTAGGGTTGGTGGCCTGATTATAGTTGCGGAAAGGGTTTGGGTTCCAGGCGGCAATGTCGTTATTGTCATCGCCGATGCGGGTCAGGATGGCCCGGATGGAGTTGGTCACGAGCTCGGGTATGCTTGGAGACGAGAGATTCTGCAGGAGGAAGGTGTTGAAGAGGGAGCTGCTAGTGCCCATGACAAAGCTGAAGGAATCGAAGCCGCGAAGGCAACGACCGTCGTCGGGTATGCGGCCGTCGCTGAAATTGGAGCCAACGTAGCGGGTGGGCACAAACCCGTACACGGTCGGGTCGAAGGTACCCATCTCCCACGGGTTAACCTCGTGGACGGTGGCGTTGAGAGAGACTACGAGCGTGTTGGGCGCGCGCTCGTCGACTACGATGATCGGCAGAGGCGTGTCGGCAGAGGCGAAGTTGGGCGCGTCGGCGATGGACGAGAACGTGTAGGCAGGCCCACCGCCTGGCGCGTTGATCAGCTGTACAGAGAGCGCGCGCCCCCAGTAGTCCGTGATGGAGACGTCAAAACCGGCGTCACGCTTCTCGTCCACCTGGTCGGAAACGTCGTCCCAGTACCGAGCGGTGTTGACAATCGAAAGGCCCCGGCCCCTGGGGCCCTCGAAGATCGAGTTCGAAAACTGCCATAGGGGCGAGCCTTCGTAGCCGTCGCGGAGTTGCGTGACGCTGGAGAAGTTGTTGGCAAAAATGGAACCGACAAGCCAACTACCGCCGGATAATCCGGATAGGTACGTGGCACTCTGCAGGAGGCCACCAATGCCCCCGGCGTCATTCGCGCCGGGCACGCGGCTATCCGCGGCGGCGAGGACGCCGGCACCAGTCAGGAGGGCACGATAGCCCCCGCCGGACATGGCAATGCCTATGTTGGGTACGATTGAGAAGTTTTGCGAGTTCGAAGTGACGAAACCAGCGGCGTCGAAGTCGAGATTTGAATTTCGCAAGAACTGGACTAGAGGGTCGATGGTCTTGCCCCGGCGGTTCCGCAGCCAGTCTCGCTCTGACTGGGACAGCGTGTCGGCGCTCCGGATGGTTGGTCGCTGCTGCGGGCAGTCGACGACAGACGGTGCGTAGTTCCCGGACGGGCTGTCCGGAGCAGCGCGCTGGCTTACGGCCCGGGCATCGAGAAAGGGGCGGCCCAGATAATCGACGGCGGAACTGGCGGGCGAGGCGAGGGCGGTGGGGACGAGCCCCAGCAAAGGGAGTAGGAGAATATACATCGTCGCCCTAAATATGACGATACCTATCTACCCTCGACAAACCATACAAGGCCGAAGGATATCAAGGGGAATTAGGACGATGAGAAAATACAAAAAGAAGAATACACAGAAACCAGAAAAGGGGAGCCGGAGCGGGAAGGTGGACTGGCACGCCGCGTTCTACTTGTTTATAAGGGCCGCACGGAACAAGATTGCCGAGCAACGCCCTCAGGGGTGGTCGCAGTTGGTTGGCGGCGGCTCCATGGGAAAGTCGGATGGCTGAGTGATGGCAGGCCTGCTCGGTGGTATCGCCCAGTAATACCAACAAAGAGGAGCCCACGTAAGTATGTAGGACACAGGGAGGGAGAGGATAAGACAAGACAATCCGGCGCGTTGGAAAAGAAGAAGAAAAAAAATACGAGTACACAGGTATGAAGGACCCCTTGACTACCGCAATAGGCAAGACTAACAAGCCATCACCAGTGGCGTACCGACGCTTGGCAGGATCACCAAACCAATCAATCCTAGGCACAGAATGTTTTGCGGCGGCCTCGGAAGATAGGCAGCGGGGCTATGCCAGAGGGAGAGGGATCGGCTTACTCTAGGTGCGTGGATATATATAGGAATGCAGATATATAGGCAATACATATAAGCCAAGCGGATATGTAGGTATAAGATACGGCGTGGCCTATCGACGGGTGACTGGAGGGTGGACGGCAACGAATCGCACCGGCGGCGGTGATGATGGTGATGATGATGGTGGTGATGATGATGATGATGATGATGGTGCTGGTGGTGGTGCTGGTGGGAGGCGGCGGGAAGACGTGAGACGCGAAAATGGGAGGGGAGCGATGTTGGGCAACGTCCCTGCGTACCTACCTACCTACCTAGGGTAGGCTTATGTGAGGCAGGTCGGTACCTTCTTACACACATACGGCGGAGGGCCCGGGTAAGGCACGATAGGCGATGGGGACCACCTTACCGCCTGCCTCTCGTCTGCTCGCGGGGAAATGGGCGAGGTAATTGCCTGCCCTAAGACGTGTATGCTATGAGTAGGTGTACGTACCTTAGGTAGCTAGGTACCTAAGAGGTAGGTACCTCCTAACCTGACACGACGGTATTCCTCCCATCGGGCATGGCGGAAACAACTTGTCCTGGGAAAAACCCAAGATGCTTGCACCCGAAATATCAACGAAAACGAAGCGCTCGCAGAGAGCATCCCCCCCGCTAGTGGTACCTTGCATATAGGTTACCGGGTTAGGTAGATGAGACGTGGGCACGGGGTACCGTTGTAGGCGTGCCCGCGCACCTCGCTGGGTGACGTCTGGGCATCCCGTCTAACCCCATCCGGACCCGTCCGTAAGGGCGATTTGAGTGGGCGATGACGATGGGCCGAACTATCCGGGGAAGGGGTGGAAGGGACGGGCTTGCGTACTCTGCGGTGCGATATCGTAGGGGAGGGTACTTTGCCCGGACAGGCGGCGGGGCATATAAATGGGTTGATGCGCGCCTCCTCTCGATTTAAGGCGGGCCTGCTCTGCGTTGCTCCTTGCTCCTTGCTCCTTGCTCCTGCTGTGTCTTGTCCTGACAAGGCGGTACGTACCTCTTGTATATAGGTACCTTGAGTACAGGTAGGTAGGCACGTTAGGGCAAGGAGGTTACAGAGGTAAGACGAGATAGCTTACCTAAGGTGGGCGGGTATTAAACCTGGTTGGCAATACCAACCTCGAGGAAGGCCGACCAATTCTCCCGGGTATTCCCTCTCCCAAGCATTCCCTTGTGCCCCGTCCCGTCTCCCTATGCCCACCATCCCTCGACGCCTCGAGCAAATCGCACCTACGCCACTGCCTACACCAGCCCGTTGGAGATCGGAATAGGAACGTTGGCCGTGTCGTCGCTCGGGACCCAACCCACGGTGGTACCACATGCCGCCCCGTCCGATTTCCACCCAGACAGGCGACAACTCACCTGATCTTAGCACGGTGTAGTACGTGGCATGCATTCGATCCCGAGCCATGGCGGGAGGCTGCTGAGCGAGGACAGGGCGCTTTCGGGGCCGTGTCGACCTGCCTCTACGCTTGCTGTTGGCATACGTACCCGACCCTGTACGTGTCTCTATGAGTCGAGTCAGACTTTAGTTTCGTGACGGAGAACCGATTTCCCCATCCCACCTACGTGCCGACGTGCCGTGGTGGTCGGATTGGCTACCGCCCTCCTCTCTCTATTTGCGTGTAGGCGCGTCAAGGCTGCGGGCCACGAATCGACGTACCTGCTTAACGCTTTCTGAGGCCGTTGGTACCAAGCTCGTCGACGAGGCCGGCGTCGCCTTTGTGAATTCCGGGCGCAACATCAGGGACGCCTTCACGGCCACCCCCCATCCGCGGTGTGCATCCTCCAAGGTTCGGCTATGGGGCCATGCGCGGGGATCTCGTCTCCGTACGGTACGAGGCAACCAAGGACCACGTCGCGTACGCATTCGCAAAGGCTATGGAGGATTTCGAGTAGGATGGAAACCGGGCTTGGGCTCCACCACTCGCTCGAGACAATCAGTCAGGAGTCCTACTCGACGCCGGCAGCCATTCTGCCTCTTCAAGCTGCCGTAAATCCCATTTGGTGACGACAGGTGCAGATGGGACGCTGCTCCGCACCTCCCACAGTGACAGACAGCAACATCTACATGTCGTACTCGTGTCCCGGCGAGCGTGCAATATCCCGCAGGAGTCTCCGGGGGGGATGCGGGTGGAAGATAAGCTTGACCGCCGGGAAGAGGTTCAGATCCGGACAGCCACATGGCTGATGAGCTACTATCTACCCCCCTTCGCTGGTATAGAACAGCTAAAAAGCCCTTATAACCCCCCCCTCAAGCCTCTGCGAAGCAGGGTGAGTCTCTCCGACCATTCTTTACCGAGATATAGAATGTTCCTCATATGGCAGGCGGTCCTGCGATCCTGGTTACGGGTTGAAAAACGATGGGGTAACATGTACCTAGTCGTAGTGGCTGTCTCGGTATTCCGCCATTCTTCCCCTTCCCTCAGTGACATTCTGTACCACCGCTTCCACCTCGGCACCCTCTTAGAATCAATCGCTCCCTTTTCGTTGGCCACATCTCTCAGTAGATGCGCCCATCTCGATGGAGCGAGACATACACGCATAGCCCCCATGTTGTTACACGTCAGAGAGCCTGCGCAGCGCCTCTTCGTTCCATGATGACGGGCTTCAATGTCGGGAAACTCCGTGGCCCCCATAGTTGCTCCCGAGCTGACTAGGCAAATCGTACAGACGCTGAGACCTTGTCTCATCCATGTCCGGCCGAGCTTAGAAAGGGGTCAACTTGGGTTGCTTCTGGGGTCCTCGGATTCTCCGCAAATCATAACTAGCCCCCTGTGACCCCCTAAAGAGCAAATAGCTCTGCTGCTATCCTCACTATACATACAGCAACCACCGGAAATACCCGCCCACGGAGATGAAGCAGTATCACGAGAACACATAATATAGGACTTGCCATATCCTATCTTGTGCTACACGTGCACACTACCCCTGCGATCTACGCGACTCGTCGGCCACCGGCTGGGCGACATCTCAAGCCAGCCCCCGCACGGCATTTACACGCCCCGCCTCTCCGACCCGACAGCGGGGTCAAGGCGGAGGCGGCGCCCGTCTGTGCCCGGCCGCGTGGAATGAGAGATGGGGGTGGTTGGGGGAAAAGAGGGCTTTGAGTAGGGTGAGGGGTAGGTAGGTAGCTAGATTAATTCTGGCATACAAGACTAACGAAAAGCACCGGTTTACGGTACATGCCAACTGGGTCACTCCTCATGCGGTACCTAGGTAGGTTGGCACTCGTGTTATTTCTATTACTACTACCAATACGAGTATTTGCACTCCGGCGCTAGGTACCGACAATGGGCCAGCCCATCCGTACACTTCGCCCACCAGACATCCAGCGTGCGCAGGCCTAGTACCTGGACACGCGGACGACCGACTCCTCACGCCTGGGAAGACCCGCCCCGAGGGATGCACATGGACATGCCCGTAGGCCGGAGAGGACACCCGGGCAAAATTCTGCGGATCCCGCGTCCAATGGATAACCTGGTAGCAGCCCATCTTATCCTCTGCGCTTGTAGCTACGCGTGTACGTAGACGCGGCGGGGGGGGGGGAGAAAAAAAAAAAGGCCTACCGGATTGGGACGCACGGCCGCAGAGGCATGGGAGTATCAGGGGAGAGGGTAGGTATCAAGCGTTACCAAAAATGGTGTGAGCTCAAGTCAACATAAGCGTGAGAGCATCGAGGGGATTGAACAAGACCGGAAATAATAATAACAAGGGACAAGTTCACTGTCGTGATGGTATTTATTTCCCAACTCCAAAACATCATCATGCCGCCCGGTTCCATACCTCTCCGTACGTGCGTCGCGGGAGTGAAGAGAGATTGAAAAAGGAAAAGAAGAAAAGAGATGCCGAGAGTATGAAAGACGGATGATCCAGTATACTGATATAGGAGAAGCACGACGCGGATCCGTGGCCGGGATGCACATCTGTCTCTCTCTTCCTGACCTGGCAAATCGCTAGACGTGGCATGCGTATTCCTCCAACGTTACGGCGTGATAATCGATCGACCCCCATTTGTTGGAACCCCCATTCCAACGCCGACGCATAAATGGTCTTCCCCGAAGCTAACCTGCTCGACCTCCTCTCTTTTTTTATTACCCCGTCGTCGTCGTCGTCGTCGTCGTCATCGTCGCTGCTGTTGTACAAATACTGTCGTCTCTGTCCCGGACCCTTCATAACCCGCAAATTGGAGTTCCCGGTTCACGTTTTGGGATCGGTAACCGGCGTGGGCGCGATCCTACGCTTCTTGGACTGGCTGGAGGCCGTCGACGCGTCGTCTGGGGCGTTCTCGCTAGCTTCTCGCTTGACGCCCGCTGCTATGGCGACGCCGCTGCCGGGCGTCTCGGGGGGCGTCGTTATGGGCACGCCCGTCACTTTGCCTGAGTTGGTGGCCGCGATACTGGGTATGCTGCCGCCTATTAGGGGAGGGTTGTTCATGATAGACACCTGCGTCGCGATCGACGACGTCGAGTTCGACCGGGCGGGCGAAGCCGGGCGAGCGCTCACGAAGGAGGCCATGGCGGGCGGGGACGGCGCAGCGAACGAAGTAGCCGAGTTGCGATGCTGGTGCCCGGGAAAGGGCGAAGGAGGTGTAAATGTGGATGTCGGCGTGGGCACTGGGGTAGCTTGAGCGGAAGCAGGGACCGCTGCGCTGGCAGCGGAGGAGATCTTGGGGCCGACGAGCTCGCCCTTGTACTCCTGGCCTAGCTCTCCTGGTAGGAAGGAGAGGGTTGAGCAAAAGCCGTCTGAAGAAGAGATAAGGAGCGTTAATCCGTCGCTCGACCTAGGCACTAGTTAGATACCACAACAGATTCATCGAGGTGAGCTTAGGAGCCATACCAGGTGAGATCAGTAAATGTAGCTAGGTGCAGATTGCTGACGACGCATAGGGGTGTGGTTTGCTGAGTATCGTACAGCAGGACGGAATCTTGCGTCGCTACAGCGTACACCATGCGATAGGGCAGCGCGAGTGTCTGCTTGGGCCCGGTTATGGAGGCGCCAACCTCTACGCTTAAGTGCTTCGATAACGGTGTGGAAGACTTCTCGGGATCCGGTGCCGAGGAAGTTGGCGGCGGTGGGGGGGGGTCCATTACGGCTGACAGCGGCTTCGATATGGGCTCGGGGAGAGCTGGGATAGGATCTTCCGCCGAAGAGGTGTCAATTGTGATGTACTTCGTGACTGGAGGAGACTGTCGCAGTGTATAGGTTACGGGTGAGCATTTGACAGCCACGGACGGCTTCTTATGCCCAGGAAGGTGAGCGATAGGCGGCTTATTGATGCCACCCCGGGTGTAGATATAGACGGTGTTGATGACCTCGTAAGACGGCCTGAGACTATCGCCTTGGTGCTGTACTTGGTACTGGCCAGCGGGCGTCAGAAGTAGACTGCCGTCCGGGGTGAACGTTAGGCGCCGGAAGAAAGACGTGAGGGTTTCGTTAGCGTATAGGCTCGCATTCTTTACTCCTACGCTGAAACTGTGATTAAGTTTGGGCGATGGTTCCATGGGCATGACAGCAGGCAGCGGCAAAGACGGCGCGGGTGAGACGGACCGCCTAGATGAAAACGAAGAGCGCCGGCTATGACTAACGACAGATGGAGGATTCATTGGGAGCGGTACGGATTGCGGTGTTCCTGGCGCGGATAGAACCGGCGACCCGATGGAGGCACTAGGGGTATCGACCGCGGCGGCGAGCTGAGAACGGTAGCCCATGTCCGGCGGGGCGGGACTATTGGAAGAGATACGTCTCGCAGGGAGGTCTGCTTTGGCATGGCTGGCAATCTTGGTCGTTTTCTCATCGTGGCTGGTCAACGCGTACTGCCCGTCCTTGGTCTTGAGCGAATAGATATGGACCGATCGATCAGATGACTGCGTCGCGATATACTCGTTCAGGGGATCCCAGGCAACGCCTTGCACGTAGTGGCTATGTTCGGCGATTTGGCGGATGAGAGAGCCTACGAGGGAGTGAGTTGACGGACCCGACCGCTGTGCAGAGGTTAGGAGATCTCAGCACGCACCTGTTCCGGCATTGTATATCCTAGCAACGTTGTCCATGCTTCCGATAATGAAATAAGTGGCGTCGGGAGACCAGGCTAGGTCGTATATCTCCGAGCCGGTAGGGCGGAACATGTGCTTGGTCCGCCAGGTTTCCTTATCCTCGAGCCCCTCGTTCCCAAAGATGGTTGGGTTGTGAATGTCGCTGGGAACCCAGAGAATAACGTTGCCATCGTCGCCAGCCGACGCGAGGGTCTCGCCCTTGGGGGCCCAGCGGACGACGTTGACAGCCTGAGTGTGCTTGGCGAGGGTAGAGAGATACTCGACCTTCCGGGCCTCGCCGTCGGCCTCGACTTTCCAGATACGAACATTGTTATCCCCTCCGCCAGTCGCGAGCCGTCCTCTGCCGTGCTGTTCGAAATGAGCGGAATAGACGGGGGCGTTCTTGTCGTGCCAATTGATGATCAAGGGAGTTGGCCTCATAGTGCCGGTGCCACGAGAGACATGGAACTGAGGCTCTGAGGCTCTATAAGATCAGGCTAGAAGCTCGGCGGAGCAGAAGACGGAAGGCGTGAGCAGCAGCAGGCCTGGTCGACTTCCGAGACGCAGGACGGCGCCGAGTTTTTGGACGGATGGGTCGGTAGACAAAACCGCACGACAGGATTCGCTCGAAGAGGGCCGGGCTCGAGGGTTGCGAGGCGACGGAGAGAGAAATAGCGGGTGAATTGCCAGCGAGTCAGCGTCGCGGAGCCAATTCTCCAAACACACAAATGCGAGCCGCCAGGACTGGAGACCGGACGGGGGGGAAGACGGGCTAGGAGACGAGAAGCTTGGATTCGGCCGGGAGCGCACGGGGATATCAGGGCTCGAAATTACGAGAAGACGCCGACGTGGACGCGAGCAAGACGGCGGTGGGAGGAGGAATAAGTGAAGAGAAGGGGGAAAAAAAGGATATGGATGATGGAAGGGTAAACGCTTCGTCGAGCATTGGCTAATAAAAGGCTCGACGTTTGAACTTTTTGGCGGCAACGTGGAACTGCCGGGTGACAGGGCGGTGTCCGACTGCAGTTTAAGGGGGCCGGCTGGTTGACGGGTGCGCCTGGCAAGCCCTGGTTTTGCATGTACCTACACCGACGAGCCAGGTACCTCGCCGGGGGACCTACTATTCCGGAGGTACTGCGCAGGTACATCAGCCCGACGGGGTTTCCATTCCAGCGCTGCCGGTTATAGAGGGTAGGTGCTTGACCTTTAGGTACCTGCCGAGCGACGGTAGGCTACATGTTAGCAAACCACAGCCATTAGGTAGGTGCCTAACCTCTACGATAGGCACCTACCACCTATGCCTACAGTAGGTGGGTAGGTAGGTACCTAAACTAAGGAGGGAGATACCGCAAAACCTAGGTACCTATCTTAGGAGGTAGGTCGGTACCTAATGTAGTAGCAGATGACAGTAGTCGAGATGTATTCGCTGTTGAAGAGGTACCTGCCTCTTACTGAGGCGGGAGGTGCTTGATGTACCTACCGTTAGCTGGGCTAGGTACCGGTGACACGCTCGCTCTGGCCCGTTTAGGGAATTCCACAGCTAACTCTTTCGGTTCTATTGGTAGGAGATGGGGAGCCTGCCTGCTCGGGTACCTGGCCGGCTGTGTCCGATACATAGCTCCCTCGACAGGCCGTCGTCGCATCTGGTACCTGGCTGGGTACCAAATCTAGTGTAGGTACGCGCTGAGGTGCAGCTTGCCGGGGGTTCGTTGGGGGGGGGGGGGGGGTTTCCAATTCCAATAGCACAGTAGCAGGTCACGGGGCAGATTAGCAGGTACCTAAGGTAATTACCCGCCTACAGGTAAGAACTAGGTGCAATTTACACGTTACCGCCGCTAACACGTTCGCCCTCCCCTGATCTCGCCCTGATTGCGGACGCGTCTGCACGCGTTGGCTCCGTTGGGCCGGCCAATCGTGATCCCGCTCAAGTCAGTCGCCCTGACGCGAACCTGACGATGGGATCGAGGTAGGCCAGTCTGTCTTAAGCCTTCGGTCTTCTTCCCGGCTAAATAACGTCTCGTAGTTCCCCTCCTCACGTTCACTGCGTAGCCCCGACTCCGCCAGCATTTCTTCTTCGAGGCCCACCAACCTCAGCGCCGATTCTCGAATGCACAGACCTGCGTAACTCTAGTAGGACGCCATCACCAGGGCCTACCGAAGGGAGCATGGCCGACCCTGTTCAACCTCCGTTGTCGTCTCGAAGCAGGTTGGGTGACCGACCACCTTGGGCGTGCAATGTGCCTGTAAGGTGATTGCTAGGATAGGCGATCGGCAAAAGGATTCGCGAAAACGATTTTATGACCTGTCTCTCTGTCATAGGTGACCGACCTATGCTAAGCGGCGGCGGTTTAGGCACGGAGGGTTCGCCCTGGTCGGCGGCAGTCCCCTCGTACGCTGGCCACTTTACCACTTCCCTTCGCCCTCGGCCCTGGGAAGCATCGCAACCCACGCTGTCGCCCAGGTTGTTCGAGCCCGCCGACTGCGCGCGTTCTGCAGGCCTCAGGTCATGCGATTGCCGTCTTGGTGGCTCGAGGGGGGGGATTTGGGCTTGGTGAGCGCGACAATCTCGGGCGCATTCGCTCGTCAGCACTAGGTCTGCAGCTTGCGAGGCCATCCTGACGGGGGAGGGCAGAAAGCCGGCTCTGCATGATCAAGCGGGCAGGAAATAATGCAGCAAGCGCTTTATTTGTTCTTTTTTCATCATCTCTGTACGTAAATCGCCGCAGGAGCGGTGTGGGATAAGGTCTCCTGGGATACGGCCTCCGTATTCCCCATCCGACGCCAACGTAGTGTTCGTCGCGACGTTTCGCATCACATCTCATATCGTCAGCTCCCGCATCCCTCGCTGGTAAGCTGCGGGCAATCGTCTCTCCAGGGCCCGCCCTCGCGACACGCTGGACCCGCGCACCCGCCCGCCCCTCTCGGAAAATCACGTCGTCGAACCCGGCGTAACGAGGAAACGCTTCCCGGAACCGCTTCTCGACGGGTAATGTGTATAAGATGATAAGATGGATGTATATCCATATAATATGCCTCTGAGGGTATGCGAAGGCAGGAAGCGAAGGAGGAGATGTGCACTGCTGAGATTGATGTTAGTATTTGGCTGTTACGCCTAACTACCTGTTAGGTGGGTATGTAGGCACCTAACGTCCTCCCTGAACAGACAGTGGGACAGCTTTTATTAGGTACCTAACCTACCTAGGTAGGTAGGTTAGGTACCTAAGGTATAGAGGGGTGTTTGATGCCTTAGGTAGGTAGGTACCTAGGTAGGTACCTCTAATACAGGCGGGTACCTGTAGGTAGGTACCTCCTATCCGTACCTTTGGCTGGCTGCCCCTTACAGGTATACATTAGGTTAGACTAGGTAGGTGCCTCCGAATCTTACAATTAGGTACCTCTTATGGGCGTCGCGGGTACCGATGGTGCTTGCCACGGCGGAAAACGACCTCAATTACTCCGGTAGAGATCAGTAGGTTACTTAACGAAGGATAGGTCCGATTCCTAACAGCGCTACTTGGTAGTCTTCGTTCTTTAGCTCATCTGGTAGGTACCTGACCGAGGAGGGTATTTGGGTAGGTGCCTAGGTGATGTATCTCCATACATCATGTACCTACTCATAAGGCGACAGTCGGGCGGGTCTGACGTGATGCCTCTAACGACGCGGGCAGGCACGGACCAAGGTAGCATCACGGCACGGAAGGAGGGTGCAACAAGCCTGCCCTGAGGGCGCTAGACGGCGCGCTATGGATAACTAAGGCATTTTCTAGCTTCCTGAACTGGCACTCCGACCCTCTGATATTCTCTCTGATATTCTCTCATCCTCTCTCCCCTCGACATCTCTATACGTCCAGGCGTCGTCGACGACGCACACGTGCCGCGTGCTCGGACGGTGCGGAGAGAGAGGGCGGTGTAGACCAGACAGATACACACACCTGCGCTCGACACCCTATACACCTGCAGACGGCGGCCGTGGAATCTGTCGCAGCGACCGCCAGCCCCAGCCGACGTCTGATCCCGGATCCGAGCAACGTCTCCTCCATCGCTAAGCACAGCGAGACCGGGGTGGACTCGCATCCTTCTGTGGGGACGACGAGGAACCTCTCCCTTCATTGCCGCCGCCCTCCCATTTTCCCGCCACATGTGTGTGACATCGCCCCGACGAGATGTCTACCCAGTCCCCCCCCCACCACCACCACCACCACCACCACCACCACCACCACTACTACTACTACAACCCCCGTCCCCTTCCCTCCTCTCACCTTTCCGACAGCGGCCTCCGCGCGCACACCGATACGGCACTCGAGCGCAATGCGACGACGCCAATCGCCCCTCTGCCTCCCCCGACTCTCATGCACCCGCCCTGTGTGTCCCCCTACCTTGCCTACGGTGGGCAAATTCGGACGCCGTGTTGTGTGGGCAACGCGAATCACAACCCACCTTGCGAATAACCAGGACACCACCTGCAGCTTGCCAAAGAAGAGAATGACGCTGCACTGGATCCCTACTTATCGAAGAGCGTGCGGCTGGTCTCCGTCGTCAGTCATCTCGACTCCTCCCCCTGTCCCTCCCTGCCTACCCGTCCAACAACCCTACTCGCCGAGAAATCGTTCCGTATGAGTCAACCGGTAAGCTTCACGCGGCTCTCCCCACTCCGATATTGATCCCCATATCTTGCTAGCACGGAACAGGAGAGAGAGCGAGAGCCCGAATATTCATGCCTGTGTATAGGGAAATACGTACTTGTGTGCCATCATGGGTATAAGTGGTAAGTGGGTGAGGGAGATACCGAGTCAAGGTACTAATATCGTATCACATGCTACTCTCTTTCTCTCTCTCTCTCTCTCTCTCTCTCTCTCTCTCTCTCTCTCTCTCTCTCTCTCTCTCTCTCTCTCTCTCTCTCTCTCTCTCTCTCTCTCTCTCTCTTTTTTCTCTCTCACTTCTTCCCGCTTCTCACTCTCCCCTTGGCATGCTCATCACACACTCGTTCTTCTTTCTCCTTTTCTCACCTGCTCGGTTTTGCTCACAGGTAGCCAGTCAATGGCTAATGACGTGTGATCGTGGTCTGTACGGTAGGCATCTCCTCCTTCTTTGTCGAAGCACCGGGCAGCGCCGCCTCCTCCGCTTCAATTCTGACCAGTACCTATAGCCAGGTGCCCGTAGTGTTGCTATTGTAAATATCTACCTCTGATGACCCCCAGATCAATTTAAGTGTTTTGCGGAGTGTCGAGACTCCTCTTAGTCTCCTACCTGCTTCATCCTCCACACTCTCCCGTTTTCCGCGTCAGCTTAGGAGGGCCATACTCGATCCGAGCTCTACCTAGAGCACCGAGCGTGGCTTCGAGAACACTCGAGACCATCAACATGTCAGATAAGCCGCCTACGGTGATAACCTCCACCCTCGGGTTAGCTGCCGTCGCCGTGTTCTCCGTCCCCGCCTTCGTAAATCTAAGTCGATTGCGTCGTCGTGAATCGAAAGCCGCCGCCGATGTCTACGAGGATGAAGACGGTGGGAGTATGCCTGACGCCGTCAAAGCGTTCAGCACCACGGCGCCCAAGGCTTTCATTCTGTTCTTTTCGTTACTTGGCCTGGCCCTATCGGTCGCCCTTGCGGTGATCTCGACTTTAGCTACGCGAAGCGCAAGAGACGACCCGTTTATAGAGGGTTGGTTAGGTGTGGCCGCTTGGGTAAGCTCACTGTCTCACGCATTCGGAGCATTCCGTTGCTTGGCCATTCATACTTACCGTTTCACTCGTACCCAGGCTCTCCTCACCTTGCAGGCTGCACGCATCGTGTCCAGCCGCAACTCAGTAGCCGCGTACGACCTGGGGTTGTGGTCCTTCTTCTCTTGTGCGATCTACGCGACCGCCCTGGTGGTCCGGGACAATGGCGTAGCAGCGGGCTTGCCTGGGCGCAACGCTACGACGATTCTCGTCATGCGAATCGCGAACGTAGCCGCCGCTGTTTGCTTGGCTATCGCTAGTCTGTCGATTCCTCGCCGACCTGACGTGTTTCACAACGGCCAGCTTGTCGACAGGTTGTATACCGAATCTGCGTGGAGTCGTTTCAACTGGAGCTGGCCTGCCGATCTACTTCGGCTGGCTGTCAAGAAGAAGAATCTTGACTTGGACGACCTGTTTAGACCCGATCATTACACGAGAGCGAAAGAGACGACCGCTGACTGGGAGAGTCGCGGATTCACCGGTCCCCTTTGGATTTCTATCATAGTTGCCCACAAGTGGAACTTTGTGCTTCAGTGGATACTAACTACCCTCACCGCTTTCCTCAACGTGGCCCCTCAGTGGGTTGTGTTGCAGCTGCTTAACATCTTAGAGCGACGGCAGGCCGAGGAGCGTCTTGGATACGAGGCATGGTTTTGGGTCATCTCGATCGCCGTGGCTACCCTTCTCCAGTCTTGGGTCGAGGCCTACGTCTACTGGCTATCGTGGGTGCAGATCTGCATACCAATCCGCGCCCAACTTTCCGCTCTCATTTTCCAGAAATCACTGAGACGTAAGGATGTCAAGGAGGCCACCAGGCCGAAATCCGCTCCGACAGAACCCTCCAACCCAAATATTGCCGGGCCTTCGGGAGAAGCCTCGACTCCCGATGCGCCGAACATCGACCTTGTCGAGGACGAGGCGGAACAGATCAAGAAGAGTAAACAGAGCACCATCAACTTGATAGGTGTGGATGCCAAGCGCGTGTCGGACTTTGCCGCCTTCAACAACTACTTCCCGGGGTCTCTTTTCAAGCTTATCGTGTCGCTGGTCTTTCTCGTAGACCTTTTGGGATGGAAGGCTCTGCTCGCAGGTTTCTCGACGATGCTGGCCGTTACTCCTATCAACATTTACTTTTCGAAGCGCTATTCCGACTCCCAAGACCGCTTGATGAGAGTTCGTGACGAGAAGCTAGAAGTCGTCTCCGAGGCCCTCCAGGGGATTCGTCAAATCAAATTCTCCGCCTTGGAATCTCAGTGGGAGAAGAAGATTGGCGAGGCTCGGGAACGGGAATTGGAGTCCGTGTGGGATGCTTTCGTCAACGATGCCATGCTCATCGGGTGTTGGATAACGAGTCCCATCATGCTTGCCGCTGCATCCCTAGCCGTCTACGCCGCCCTGCACGGCCAGCTCTCCCCTTCGGTCGCCTTTGTCAGCCTCGGTGTTTTCAAAGCACTGGAAGTTACCCTCTCCGTTATCCCCGAACTGACAACTGATCTTCTCGACGCCTGGATTTCCGTGAAGCGGATCGACGCATATTTGAAAGAGGCGGAGATTTCAAAAATTACCGAGGAAGCAGACGAAGTCACATTTAAGGATGCGTCCGTCGCTTGGCCGTCGGACAATACAGAGGATAATTCCGACCGATTTGTCCTGCGCGACATTAACGTCACCTTCCCCAAGGGCCAGCTCTCTATTATCTCGGGGAAAACTGGGAGCGGGAAGAGTCTCATGCTGGCAGCTATCTTAGGCGAAGTCGACATCGTAGCCGGGTCTATTAGCGCACCTCGAGCGCCGAAACAGCGTTACGACAGTAAAGCGAATAGAGATAACTGGATCATTCCAGGTGCTATCGCATTTGTCGCACAGATTCCGTGGATTGAGAACGCTACGGTTAAAGAGAACATCTTATTCGGACTCCCTTACGATGCATACCGATATAGTAAGACGGTGGAGGTCTGCGCTCTGGCCAAGGATATGGAGGTGTTTAGTGACGGCGAGAATACGGAAATAGGGGCTAACGGAATCAACCTGAGTGGTGGGCAGAAATGGCGAATCACGTAAGTCGAAAACCCCCCAAGCTTCACATCTTCCTATGGATACAGAGACGGTCTGTCGGCTCCCTCAACTCCCCCAGGTTAGCTCGGCATGCTCGAGAATCAGTCAGGTGAGCTCGTGAGGGTTTGCATTATTCGTGCGCTAACCTGAACATTCAAAAAGGCTCGCGCGCGCTATCTATTCTCGGGCCGGCGTCCTTGTTTTCGATGATATATTTAGTGCAGTGGATGCCCATGTCGGTCGTCATATCTTGGAGAAATGCCTGGTTGGAGAGTTGGGCGTCGGGCGAACAAGGATCCTGGTTACGCACCACGTCGCATTGTGCGAAACGAGGGCGAATTACCTCGTCGAGCTGGGAGACGGCCGTGTTTTGAACGCCGGACTTGTCGCGGAATTGGAACAAGCAGGAACCCTGGATCAGATCAAGAGCCACGAGCAGACAGAGCAAGAGATACGAGACGACGAAGATTCTACGGCCATCAGCTCCGAACAGACGTCCCAAGTCGGTGTCGAGCCTGACGAAGAGCCGCTTGCGAAAGTCCCGTCGAGAGCGGAGGCGCGTAAGTTTGTCGAGGAGGAGACGAGGGAGGAGGGGGCAGTCAAGGCGAAGGTTTACGCAGTGTACCTAAAGCACAGCGGCTCGTGGCCATTCTGGCTCACGGTTGTTTTTCTCTTCGTTCTCGTGCAGGTTCTGACACTCGGGCGTTCTTGGTGGCTCCGAATCTGGACGGGTTCGTACGATGAACAACATCGTTTGACTCCCCAACTGGAGAAGCTGGCGTATGCACAACAGTTCACCTCACAGCAGTTCACCATGCACCGCATGCTTCAACCATTGATCAAGCCGGACCAGAACCTAGGCTTCTACCTCGGAATCTACGTGTTGTTGTCAACCGTCACTTCAATCATCTCGACATTCCGCTATTTCTATGTCTTTCGAGGCTCGATACGTGCTTCCAGGGAGCTCTTCGCCAAGCTCAACTTCGTGGTGCTCCGAGCGCCGCTGCGGTGGTTGGATAGGGTCCCCCTCGGTAGGATCTTGAATCGGTTCACTTCAGACTTTCACATCGTCGATACCCGCACCGCGTACTCGTTGACATTCGCAGCAAGCGCCTTTATGAACCTAGTCGGGGTCATAGTCGCCGGCTTGTTCGTCTCGCCGGTAATAATCGTTTTGGCGGCGTTGCTTCTCATCATCTGCGCCTTCTACGCGTTTCGTTATCTTCACGGCGCCCGGCCCGTGAAGCGACTCGAATCGATAACCAAGTCCCCCGTCTTTGAGCAGTTCGGCTCTGCCTTAACCGGCGTCCAGACGATCCGATCGTATGATAAGAGCCAGGCCTACATCGAGCGCATGTACACGAAGCTGGACGACTGGACCGTGGCAACCTGGCACTTGTGGCTTTTCGTTCGTTGGATGGGATGGCGAATGGCGGTAGTGGGAAGCTTCTTCGCCTCGTTCGTCGCCATCCTGATCCTCATAGCCCCAGAGATCGACGCGGCCCTTGCTGGGTTCGGCCTGGCCTTTGCCCTCGAATTTTCGGGTCACGTCATGTGGACCATTCGCCATTACGCCGACGTGGAACTGGAAATGAACTCGGCAGAGCGAATTGTCGAGTACACGGAGCTGCCGACAGAGAGTCTTGGTGGTGAGAGCCCACCGGCAGCGTGGCCGGAGGAGGGGCGCATTGAGGTAAATGATCTCGTTGCGAGTTACGCCGACGATCTCCCGCCTGTTCTCAAAGGCCTCAACTTCACGGTCGAGCGCAACGAGCGCATTGGCGTGGTGGGGCGCACAGGGGCGGGCAAGTCGTCCTTGACGCTCGCGCTATTCCGCTTCCTCGAGGCGCGGTCCGGGAGCATATATATTGACAGAAGAGATATTTCCAAGATTAGGCTGCACGACTTACGTAGCCGCTTAGCGATCATACCCCAAGACCCTGTCCTCTTCAGCGGTACGGTGCGCTCGAACCTCGACCCGTTCGACGACCGCACGGATGCCGAACTCTTCGACTCGTTGGCACGAGTGCACCTGATCCCCGAAGACAGGAACCAGGACGATGATAACAGCGGGACCGGGGTCCAGGGCGATTCTTGGTCAGAAGGCACACACGCCCCGACGATTGGAACGTCGACGCCGACCTCAAGCACCCACAAGAAAAACACGAACATTTTCCGCAACCTGCTCTCGCCGATCTCGGAGGGTGGCCTTAACCTGTCTCAGGGCCAGCGGCAGCTGCTGTGCCTGGCGCGGGCGATCGTGTCGCGGCCGAAGGTCATGGTTTTGGACGAGGCGACGAGCGCGGTCGACATGGCGACAGACGCGCTGATCCAGCGCAGCATCCGCGAGGAGTTCCGCGACAGTACGCTCATCGTGATCGCGCACCGGCTGAGCACGATCGCTGACTTTGACCGCATCCTCGTTCTGAGCGACGGAACGGCCGCCGAGTACGACACGCCACGGAGACTGTGGGAGAAGGGCGCCGACGGTGAGGACGGCGTCGAGCGCGGGCTATTCCGCTCCATGTGTGAGCAGAGCGGCGAGAAGGAGCACTTGCGACGGATTATATACGGGGAAGTTTGATACGCGACCTCCTCTTATTTATTCATCTTTCGGCGGCGCGGAGAATAGGGTCACGGACTGTATTAGAGGCCGGAATTTAGGGAGGGTATACACCCCATGAGACGCCACATAATACCTAATAAGGAGGAAAGAAGAGAGGGTTTGGGGGTTGGAGTCGGGGCGGGGATGGGATTATTACCACATATATAACAGTACGATCTCTTTTACGAGCGAAGACCAAAGGGGAAGAAAAGCGGCCGAGTTATTTCGGAATGTGAAACATGAATTGTGCCGGAACTTGTCTAGTGATCCCCGCCGTTGCCTCCTTCTCGGTATTAGGAGCCTACGCCGATGCGGACGTCGACTCCGTTCGAACCCGTCCGCCTTCCGCGTTTCCGAGACGCACATCGCCTCCGTATACGTACTTACTTCGGATATATTAGACATACCCGTCTACAGCATGCCCGCTATGCCTATATACCGAGCCGAGCCGTCCAGGATCCAGCTTAACATGCATAGATGTCAAACTTGAGTTATGCTTTAGGCCATCTGACTACCGTTGCGCCAATGTGCTGCCTTCAAATATCTAAAGCTAATAGGCCTCGGGACTCGTCCACCGAAGCAGCAGATAGTAGAATGGGCAATGACACAGAAGAAGGTGTCCATTGGTGATGCTCAACTGTCAATTGCAGCCCGTCTCCTGACCCTATATACGTCGACAATAGCAACAGTATGTTCTATTAGGGCCTCCAGGTCTCCTGGAAGAAAAGAGAAACGTGAGCTGTAAGATCTCCCAAGGTGTCGGCCCCCTCCTCCCATTGGCCCGTCCAAGTCGCACCCTACCCGTATTTCCCTGCCGAGAAGTCGGAGCCCGATGGGCTATGGTGATTCTGTGGACCCTTTACACGTTGCAACATCGATTCTAATACGCCATCGTACTCCGAGAAGAGCACGTCCATCCACTCTTTCGTCTAGCGCGGAACAAAACTTTTTAACGTGATGGTAGGTCGTCATGATGTTGTCTCTCGCCATAACCGAGGGCCGTACAGCCGTCGAGTTTGCGATAGGTGGTAAGCGTAGCATCGAGGACTAGGCACGAGATGGATGATGGCGACGCAGGGTATCAAGGTGGAATTAATATTGTTAATTGGTGTAGGATGAGTCTCAGTACCCATCAAAATCGGGAGGGATGGTGATTTTGATAATACGCCGCCAGTAATGATGAAGGTCGGAATGTTGCACAGAGCACGCTCAGTGCCGATTGGCAAAATATCCGATTACGCAAACCACCACGACTGAGTATATGAAAAACTCGGCCAGGAACACATATTTGATGATGTGCCTTTGCCGCATCGTCAGCTGGCGCACTTCGCCGCCCGTGAACCAAACCAGAGACTCATTGAAGGTTCCCACAAGCACGGGGATCGCAAAAAAAGGAAGTAGTAAAGACAAGATCAACATCGTGTAGAACCAATACTTCCGTCGGCGACGGGAACTCTCCGAGACGCTGGATTCGATGGCTTCAATGATACTTCGGCGGCTCGCTGACTCTGGGAGCTGGCGCAAATCTATCTGACTCGAGGTAAGTCCGCAGTTGTGTGGTGTGAGAGGGAATAGTATACGTCTGGACCGTCTTAGCTCCTGGGACTTTGCTACAACTCGTGTTAGTCGTGTAGGGGTGGGCGAATCTTCCCAATGCAATAACGGCCTCTCTCCACTAGTAATAGTAGTAGGAGTGAAGCCGCGTTGGCTTGTTGTCACCAACGGCGAAGTATTGGGTTCTAATTGTAATTAGCTATGGCCACTAGAGAGAGAGAGAGAGAGAGAAGGGCGCATAACGGTACCTCTAGGAGTTTCGGTGCACGAGCCCCAGCTTAAGTTATGAGAGAGGGTCCGCGAAACGAGAGTTCCTCGTCTGTGGGCGGGGGCAGGAAGTTGGATAGGTGTCGACACCGGGAGGGAGGGAACCGGTGGTTGGGGTTTCGACGTTGAAGGCGGCAAGGTTTGGTCCGATTTGAGGCTTCCGCAGCGTCTGAGTCGTTCTTCTGTTGTTTCGGTCTCATCTGTCTCGCCGCTCTCTCGCTGACGTTTGTGCTTGCGCTGTGCCTCATCTAGTGGTAGCAGTTCAAATTCAAACTTTGGCTTTGACGGGATGAGCTCCCGGTTGAAGGATGATTCAGTACTGCCGGAGGCCATCCGGAGCTCCCCGTCGGCTGACCTATGCCGCCAGTTATTGTATTGGATTGGATACGCCTCATCCACAAGACGTCCGTCGTGTTGCTCCTGATGTGCCACCTGCTCGTGCTCTGACGAGCTATTACATGCTGCCGGCTGGCCGTCCATCGAACCGGTATCCGATCTGCTCATAATATCTCGTAAATCTCCTGAACTTTCCCGACTGGCATCGCCGCGCTGTTTGACGTTCGACTTTGGTCTAGATCCGCCGACAGATTGGTGGCTCAGAGTAGCCAAATGCCTACGAATATCAAGGCTGTAATCTGATTCCGAATCCCTGAATTCGTATCTGGTGGGTTTATTTCGACCGATTTTGAGAACAAAATTCCCCGATGAATCCGCCCGCCTATAGCTGTTATTTCTCACAAAGGGGTTCGACCACATTCGAGGAAGGGCAGGCCGTGCCTGGTCATCAGCGCTATTGTCCTTGGCGCCGCTGGAGAAGAAGGCATTCGCGTGTTCCGAAGATCCAGCAACACCTCGGTTGCCTCTCGTTTTCGGAAGTGGGTGTTGCTTTGCACCCTCGAGATCCTGTAATTCGTAAGATTCCGACTGGTTTCGGGCAAAAATACGGTGGCGCGACCGGGGCTGGCTGGGCAGCTTCCCCTCGTCGTCATCGGAAAAGTCTGCAATACTGCTTCCCGTGGTCTTAAAAACACCACGAGTGCCGAAAGGCCCCGGCAAATTCGAGTCGGCCTCGCTAACTTCCTCAGTCACCCAGTCCTCTCCACCGCTAGAGTCTCTCGGAAGCTTGCTCAGGTGACGACTAGTTCTCCATTCGTGCTTGTTCGATCTCCTGACCCCGTCCCGCCGACTGGTGTCTTCTTTTTCGAGTTGAGGTTTGTCTTCCAAGATCAACTTAAGTTCCCGAGTTCCTTTTGGGACGGCCTCCACTGACTTGTAAGAGCCATCTGGCGGCTGTATACATACAGGAGCGCTTGAATGACTTTGGGACTTGAGCTTTGGTTCTAGTTGTTTAGTGACGCCTTTCTCAGACGGGCTTGCCTCGGGGGTCACGAAGGCGGCTTGGCTATTTTCAGCTCCCCTACCTAGGCGCTTCAGGGCCAGGCTCACATCTCTTTCTTGGGCAATTCGCAGACTCGCCTGATGGTAGCTATCGTGGTGACCGAATGGGTCGATTATTGATCCACTCGTGCGGTCAACAAAAGATGGCTCACATTCATCTAAGGATTCGCTATGCTCGGATCGCCGTACTCCCTCCGGGTTTCGTGGTGGTGAGGATGGCCAAGGCTGTGGTAAACATGGACCATATAGTTCTTGAAGCTCATCCAGACCAAAAATCGATCTTGATCTCTTGTAAAACGGAGTGGTTGAGGGAGGACTGATACGTGACGCGGGTGATGATGTGCCAGCCGTATAAGATGAGTGATTCATACGAACTTCTACTTCTCTTCCTAGGAGGCCCGTATGCGCGGATGCAGACTGTCCTTGCCATGCATTCTCCGGATACTTTTTTCCCTCTGTCTCGGGTTCATGGCTGGGGAGTTCGGATCGTGTAGCCGCATCTTGGGAGTACCGTGAATTGGCCTCAGATCCAGGATGCATAGCCGTAGTTATATGCTGGCTGGAAGGAATCTCTAAACAGATGGGAGCATCGTGTCCCTCAGATATTGAGTGTCGGTCTTGTATATTCTCAGAGGAATCTTGAGAAACCTCCAGGGGCAAAGGTGCCTTCTGCTGTACTGTATTTCGCTCTTTCGCTCTGACTAGGGCGACAGAATTCCTCTTTCGTGATGTCGTTTCAAGAGTTGGTAGAGTGGGCTCAATGGGATTATTCGGAAAGTTCACGGGGTTCTCCTCAGAAGAGGACGTAGCGGATTCTCCCTGGGTATCGTGCAATTTGTCGTCTTCTGGAGACGGAGCGGCATCTGTAACCGACGGCTGGCTTTCGAGTGGAGGGCTCTGAGCATTCTCTCCAGAGCCTTTGCCATCTGGGCGACGCTCAAGTGGACCAACAGGAACGTTATTGGCACTGACGGCTCGTTGGGCAAATATATTACGCCGTGCCTCTTCCAGGTCCGAGAAAATAGCACCGCGAGAACTGGATACTGGGGGAGGGATCGGTCGGGTGCTAGTTTGCGAAGGGCTTTCGGAGAAACAGACAGTGCCCTCCTCTCGGCTATGGCTAGACACCATGGCTGGCGGATGTTCCCCTGTAATATATTGTTAGCGGTTGAAGTAGTGAAGGACGAACGAGGCCGGCAAGCAGGCCGGCCACGGGAGTGGGGACACACAAATGCGCGGTCCGATGCCAGGACGACAGAGAAGCGAGTCGGTAACGCGGGAGGGCTCTTGGGTGTCGAGCGTGAGGCAGGGTTGAGAAAGTCGAGCAGATACAGGTATCTCTACTAAGGCCCAGGAAGGCCCTGGCCAGAAGAGCGTCGGAGGAGTGAGAGTGGGAGTGGAAGCAGAGGCGGAAGAGAGACGATGTAACTAAGAGGGGAGTTGGTTGCTGGGGGGGGAGAGTCGGATCGAGTGGAAGGGGGGAAAGTGCGCGGTGGCGAATAGAGAGAAGGGGGTCGCAGCTGACGAGGGAAGAATTTTGCGTCGGTCCTTGCCGAGGCAGGTGAAGGAAACCACGGCGCCCCCCGGAGCGAGGGAGGGGCTGCCGGTGCCGAGGAAGTCGGGGGAGGGGAAGGGGGGGGCCTCTGACGTGCCTTCCGACCTCCGGATATTCCTTAGCCGGGAAGGATCACCACGAATCAGTCGACGACGGGGAAGGCGGGATGGGGAAGGTGGTTGCTTGGGGATCGATGAGAGGCAAGAGGAGACACGACAAGAAAAAAGAGGATGATAGAGGCGACACGACTGTGACTGGGGGTCGCGGATGTATGCCGCCGAGGGGGTTCGTTGCCTGTCGTCCTCCCGGTGATGGAGATAGAGGAGAGAGAGGGAGCGGAGAGGGGGGGTGGGGGGAAGTGAACAGGGAAAAGAAGAGACAGAGAGAGAGAGGCAGAGGCGCCGCGGTAGCAAAGCAAGAGGAACGAACATCAGACGAAAGAGACATCATAATGCCACATACCTCATACCTCAACGGCCGACGAATAGTGAATGCGCTGACAGAGGTGCGCTAACTTATCAAACAGGATGCCCTGCCCCAATCGTCCCCCTCCCGGCCCGCCGCCTCTCTCGAACGGGTGAGGATTGTTCGCCGGTTCTATCGTCGGAATCAAGATATACCGAGGCCGTCTCGCATATCATCAAGGCCAACGGCGGGAGACAAGAGGCCAGTGTCTGTGCTTGATTGCTATCGGTAGAAGGGTGAAGCGGCGAGCCACAACGCAACAGCACACGGCACGCAGCAATCAAGCTAGCCTCGTCCAAGTACCATTTGCTATGAGTACCTCTCACTCTCACTCTCACTCTCACTCTCACTCTCACTCTCACTCTCTATACAGGTATAGGTATATACTAGGCCGCTCCTCGTGGAGCCCCGCCATCTCGCCCCATCCGTCGAGAAGAAGGCGCTGATAGCGTATGCCGGGGACCGCTACCAGCGAGGACCACATGCTATAAGGCTATCCTCTGCTGCTATCGCACTGTTGCGGGCGAGGTTGAGTAGTAGGCATAGGGGCATTATCCTCCAATATCACTCTTGTCACTACTAATGCTAACTGCCCTAGCAGGCGGGCGTATTCTGCAAATGATACCGACCTACCTAGTTTCCGGGCAATGCTTGATATCGGCGGCATGTTTACGCAGAGCCGTGATACTCTGTTGCCGATAGCCTTCTTCGCCTCCCCATCGACCCCTAGCAGCTGTGAGCGACCACCCCTCTCAGAAAGCTGTGTGGGGGACAGCCTCAGAAGTCTTGGACGAGAAGTAGCCGCATGGGGTTGGTTGCATTGATAGCCTCCCGTCTAGGGCTGAGCTGGACCAATCCGTCTGCCCCCTTGGGATGTTCCGTGCCTGTAACCATCTGGAAGGGTTGTGTCTAGGGCACTTTGATAGATCGGTTCCCTACCCGGCTTTGGCTTCGTGCTTTGTCATGAAAGATCCCCAGGCCTTGCGCGGGTTCCACGTTTCCACAACTGATATCTGGTCCTTTCGTACGCTCGTAATACCTACGCTACGCGCTAAGTAGTTACCTACCTACCTAAAAAGCCACGATCCGCCAGCCCCCCTCTATTGTCCCTGAACCCTTTGTTGAACTTGACGGAATAACCGTCGTGGGTATTGATCTTAACATAGTCTTGTCCAGGGGTTGGAGTCGGTTGTGGCTTAATATAGGTAACTACATTCGAAGTTGTTCGGGGTTCTTTCTATTGGCCGTTGGTTATGAAACTATGGTATCTAGGTAGGTACCTAGGGTACCTACCTTAGGTAAGTAGGTACTTGAGTAGGTTAGGTACCTGCCTCTTACCTACTAGATGTACCTAGGTACCTAACCTCTTACAAGGTACCTACGAACTTTCATGTGGAGGGTGTTTGAGCTCGGTATTACGTGTAGGTACCTAAGGTACGCCTTACCTACCTGTAGGTACCTTTAGGCACCTCCCTGACTTCCATGGCACTGGCGGGATTCCCTGAGGTACGGTGGAGACAACGAGGTACCTATCTTAGGTAGCCGGACCTCATATATGTACCTACGTACCCCCTAGCCCGTGCCGCCTGTAGCAGGTACCTAGGTACCCTATGTCCGATTGGCTGGCACTTAGGAGCTCGCCCCCCCGCACACAACCGCGCACGGACCCATACCGGAGACTTGGATCCTGGCTCTTGATTTGACCGCCATAAATTGGTTGAAAGGAAGGCGCCCCGGGGGCCAGGGGCTGACAAAATCGCTAGAGGAGGAGCAACCCCGCGGGCTGGCTCGATAAAGGCAGTGACGGGCGCTAAGTCGGCAGGTCGGCGGAGCTGGAAATCGCCAACCTTTGCGCTTTCGTCACTGAATCCCGTGAGCCTTTGGGCGCGATTTTCCAATCTACCACCCGGCTCCATCTGGAGTCCGATTTCTCGTCCTATCGACCTGGACACCTCGACGCTTTCAGCCAGGCTGTCATCAAGACACTACATGATCATGCACATGTACCAGTCTTCGCTTTCTTTGTCTCCTCCTTCTCCTATCGTTACTGGGACTGTCGCTACTGCTTCTACGACTACCGCTGTTGTTGTTATCCTTGTCATCACTCCCGCTACCGCTGCCGCGTTTCTGATAGCGCCTTAACCTGCTCGCCGGTTCCGATCATTCAGGATCGTCTTCGTTATCGTGGACTCCGCGCGCGCGAATGCCGTGATCACCACACCGCGCCCGGACCATGGCGTGCCCCAACTGTCTCGATAACCTCCCCGATGAGATCTTCCTACATATCCTATCCTGTGAGTTTGCGCCCCACGGCATCCCTGGCTCATGCGCTTCTCGTGACGGAGTCCATCGTTCCTAACACGTGCGTCGCTCTATGTACTGCTAGTCTTGGAATCGTCCGACGTCGTTACTCTCCAGCGCGTTTCGAAACATTTCTTGGGGCTCTGCCGCGACGGCAATTTCTGGCGAAACAGGTGCCTCTCGACCTCGGCCGTCCGTGAACGAATCAGGCTCTGCCGATGGGGCCCTGATTGGATCGACGAAGACGGCACCAACCTTGGGCAGGCTACCCCGGGGGACGATCAGAATGGGGCTCATTGGAGTCTGCTCGAGAGCCTATCCCAGCTCGCTTCGAAGAGGAGGGAGAGAGAGCAGATTCGCATTGCCGCCAATTGGGACCCGACGTTTCCTAACGAGAAGACGAGTTGGTACAACGAATACATTCGGAGAAATGCACCGATTGCCGTGAGCTGGTTTGAACAACCACACGTTAAAAAGGGATCTTTGAAGGATTCAGTCGATGTCAGTGGCGTTGCTTTGTACAGGCCCCAGGGGCGGGAGCTGTTCGCCGTATCACCCCTCGACGATGGTTCGGTGTGCTTGTGGGACGTTGAAGGCAGTCGAGGTAGGAAAGGCTCGATCTTGTCCAAATCGGGTCCCGGTCTGCTGTGTACTGACGGGCCCGGTGCCAATCTCACGAAGAGGTCGAAGATGGTCAGTACGGGTGTGACGGAATGTGTTAGTGTCGATAGCCAGACGAATAGGGCTTTCTTCGCCGTCCAGGGCCGTAGGTCATCCCCTCCCGCGCGCTGGATGAGACGGGTTTCGCTGACGCCTGCAAAGATCTCATTGAGGTTAATCTCGAGACGCTACAAGTCGTGGGGAACCATCCGTTCGAATGGTCGATTACTACGCTGTCCGCTGCCGATCCCACGGTCCCTCTGACGGTTGGGACGCTCCACGGCCTACACTTGCATGATTTTCGAGCTAGATCTCAATACCAAGGAGGCCAAATGCGACTAGATAACTTGGGTAAGAGGGGGGGCCGGGATTTCACCCGGGTCCTGGATCCTCGACCACTCGCACCGTACGCTTCTCTCGCGCAGTCTGGCCCGCAGAGCATCCTCCACCTAGGACTCCCCGGCGACATCAGCCAATTATCGACCGATATCTTCGTGGCGGGTCGATTCTCGAATATACTCCATTACGACCGGCGCATGTTTCCAGCAATCCGGGGTTCCATTCACTCGGGCGCCAAGCTTTGTAGTCTCACATCGCTCCCTTACCCTTTCTCCAGCCTCGACAGTGATCTGCGTCGACACTTCCAGCTCTCGGAGGAACAGGTCGAAAAGGCTAAAAGCGTGACCGGCGGCAGGACGCTGATAGCATGTGGGGAATACAACACGAAGGGATCCCTCGAGCTGTACGGTCTGTCTTCTCCCGGTGCCGACGACGCCTCGGAGTCACGGGTTATCGAAAACTCGACAATGAAGAACCGGCAAACGGCATCGCAGTCGAAGCTCCTCTCTGTTATCAACCACGGCACTTGCATCGTTTTCTCTGACGGACAGGGCTATCTGAAGTGGTTCGAGAGGGACGGCTTCACGGAAGTGCGGCGTCATAAAATAGGGAAATCGGAAAAGATACTCCATCGCTCGCTGTTCGGGTCGATGCCTGGGTCGGACGACATTGCGCGGAAGATTCTGTCTACACAACCCAGCGGGCAGGATGGGGAGACTCAGGTCAACAAGGATGATATACTATTTTGGACCGGTGAGAAGTTGGGCGTGCTCGGCTTTTCATCCCAGACCGGGTTTTCCGCGGAGGATTTCGAAGAGAATACCAAGACGCCGGACGAAATGGCGGCAGAGGAGGAGGAGCAGATGTACGGCGAGAGGATGAGGCTAGCCTTAGAACGACAGGCTAACGAGGTCCGGTTCGTACAGGACCTTGGAGCTGGCAATCTTCGCAACGGGCCCTAGAAGCGCGGCGTATGATTTGCCGGCGGTGAGGCTCGGCGTCCACCCAACCCCCGGATGGCCGGTCAACCACCTGTATCGGGGCGTATTAGCAAGCAAGGAGACGCAAACACGTCACGCCCGATATTTATTGTTCAGAGAAGCTACCACGCGGAGACGACGGACCGCTGGTGCTGATGATGGCGCCCATACCGGGCCTCTCTCTACACGGATTGGCACGACGGGGAAGATCGGTGGGAGCGGGAGGGGGCTGTAGTTGAGTCATCCTACATACGTACGTGGACGCTGGATGAATGGGCGGGATCGGCGTTCTCGAAGGTGGGCAGAGGGATAGGAGCGAGGCGGAGACGTGATACGTTCCTCTTATCAGCAAGCCTCACAGACCATTGGCGGATAGGACCGACGTTTCGGGGGGGGGGGAGGTTTGAAGAGTGCCGCTTCTGGGCCCCGGTGGAAAAAAAACGTGCATGATATGCATGTACCCTGGCGGATCGTTGGCGCTACTGTAGGTATATAGGACGTCAGCGGAGACATGTACACCCATCCATCCAGTGTTGTAGGCGAGATAGGGAGGGGCAGAGAGGAGGAGGAGACAGGGGGCTGAAGAGAGAGATGTAGCACCTGACGTGGGAAGTGGGTTATTGTTTCTGGAGAGAATAATGTCGGTCTTGGTGGCGGGCTCGTCTCCTCCTCTTTCTGGGAATCGCGATGGCCATTTTCGTGGTTGTCGCCGACGTGGTTCTCGTGGCGGTCACTGTCCCCATTACTACGTTACTACGTTACTCTCTGGGTGTCTCTTTGCTCCGATTGCGCGAAAATTCGACGAAACGCCTAAGCAGAGAGATGGAGGGGAGGAGGGAGGGGGGAGGCATGGGGGTAGATTTCAGCGATGCCGCGCCGTGGTGGCAGACTCTCAACAAAAGAGAAGAGGTAGGTATGTAGCATGATGTACGAGGCGATACTGGAGCTATTGATTGACGCGTCAGGGCAAGTGAATAAAACACGAGGCAGCAAATGGGGAGTCGGGTTTGGCTAGCTGGGTTGAACGAAGACCAATGGAGAGAGATGGGAATCTCGAGACCAGGACAAGGGCGCGCCGATGGCACCGTAGCAACGTGATCTAACAGGTACCTACTTGGGAGGAGGTAGGTACCTACGAATTGCCACTGACGGGCCCCCCTCCGCCGAGACAGCGCTGCGTTAGGCCCCCCTCGGTGGGTGTTCTAGGTACATACCCGCCTAAGAGGCCGTCCCTGAGGTACCTGAGCTCAGGTACGTTAGGTACCTAAACGGAGCCGACCCGGTGTGGTTAGTGGCCCACGGGCCCCAAATCAATGCCAGCAATCCCAACTTTTGCTGCACCAGTCGAGGGCCAATCAACCACCCTCCACTTCCCTCGCCCTCGCCCTCGCTCTCGCTCTCGCTCTCCTCCTCTCCCGCCCTTCGTCGGCGTCTTGGTCCCTCCCCCTGCCACATTTCTGCCACTCCTGGCGTCGCTCAATATTGGTACTCGCCACCTGCTGTTGCGAATTGCTGCGTCCGCTGCTCTGTTGTGGGTGCTACGGCGCCGCTGTTGGCTGTAGAGCCCGAGGCGTATGGCAGGGCAATCTAGACTTTCCTTCTCTCTCTATCTCTCTCTCTCTCTCTCGCGCGCGCTCGCTCGTCTGGGACACGCACACATTGACACACCATATATACAGCCCGTATTATTGCCTACAACAGTCGACGTGCCGGCATGACAGCAGGCCGGGTACCCGAAACAGAGACAAAAAAGAAGCACCACGAGACACACCGTAGATCGAGGATCCTCTGTGATTTCACGATTATTAATGTTATCCGTCCTTACTATTACCGCCCTTCCCGTCCATCCATTGATCTGACACCCTTTCCTGCCTACTACGATCACGCGAACGCCCTCTCTCGATCTATCCCTGGAAGAATGATAAGGGATACCTAGATTTCCAAATTAAAACCGCCCCGAAATTGCGACACTGGAAAATAACATAAGAGGGAAACGGGGGTGGGGAGGGGAGGAGGAGAAAAAAAAAAGGAATAAAGAAAATTAGTAGCAACAATAATATGTCAAGACGGGATGGATCCCATGCCGAGAGCCACGACCCGGTTACCTGCTGTGTTGTCAAACGTAGGAAGACCTACTTTTCTGGTTCCCTTCCCTTCTCTCCTTTCCCTTATTCCCTCTCCCTCGTCCCGCCTGGTGCTACCGTTGCCGTCGCCGCTGCTGGGGCAGGCATTGTTCGATACACCGACGTCTCTCGTACAGGTAGATGCACCTTGAATTGGCGTACCATACTTGACTCGGTATCCCAACTCCACGATGGGTAAGGTAGACAAGTAGGAAAGACGACCGGTTGCGCCACCGCACTACTGCAATCCGTTCGAAGAAGGGGGAGAGACGGGAAGACGGGGGAAGGAAAGAAAAAAAAAAACACAGGAGACTGACTGACTGGACTGGCATGTAAGCATTGCATCCTGCATATGGGACACTCCCGGATCTCCGTATTATCTCTTTCACCGCCCTCATCCCTCGTCCCTCGTCTTGGGCGTTCGGCCGGGTCTGTCGTAACCACCCAGCCATCTGAGATCTGCTCAACCCTCAAACCCTCCCTGAACCTGCGGCTCCGTCCATCGGACGGGAACAAGCTGCCTTCCCTTGCTTTCGCCACTCTTGTCTTTCCCCTCGCTCTCGGATCTGGCGATGCTATAGGAGAGGGTGGTGGGGGAGAAGTTCGCTCGAACGGGCTGGCGGAAAGAGAAAGACGCAAAAGAGAGACGGCAGCAGGAGGCGGAAAGCCAACCAGACCAGCTAACAACAAGCCCAGAGAGGCCGCAGGGAATTCGCATCAGACTTGCCAAACCCCGCCGGCCCAGGTCCATTCGTCTAGGCAAGTCTCTGGCTGCCAGATAGTCAAAGAGTGGGTTCTTGGATGTCGCCTTGCCCGAGACCTGCAACCCTACGCACCTCCACATATCACTCGTTGTCCCATCTCGAGCCAACCAGGCCTCTCGAAGAGTGAGGCTAACGCCAGCTTAGCTGCTGCTGCGTCTGCTTGTTGTTGCTGCGTCTCGGACGACACCAATCTAATGTTCATTTCCAGAGGGGGGAGAACCTGCGTGTCGTCTGTTGATTGTCGTGGCGTACCCGCGATCAAGCTCGACTTCTCCTGCTGCCTATACCTACCTCCTGCTACCTATCTACCTATCTATCTACCTACCTACCTACCTACCTGCTTGCCTACCTACCTACCTTACCTATCTAACCTACCGTCTATACCTGCACCTACACCTATACCTGCTTGCGCTTAGGGGCTCTGCTGTGAGATATACGCCCGGGTCGCCGTGATGGTTCTCGATTTCTCCCCTTGACAGCAGACACTTTTTCTCGGCCACGTTTCCCCGCGGCTTCTGCGTAGCCTGTCACGCTTCGCCGCATCGACTTAGCCGTAGCAATCATTCTAAACCTAGAGCCCTTTCCAGCATGTCAAATGGCTAGCTGGTATGCGGGCGGAACGGAGATGTCGCGCTCCTCAAGCGACTCATCTCTACCTCCGGGGTCCTACGGTCCGCGCTGTCAGCATATTGATACCAGAAAACACCGTCCTGCTTACTCCGAGCTTCCCGGCGTGCCGTCGGATAGCTTCCACACGCCCGGGCGCCATCGATTCTCCGATTACCCCGATGCCCTCGAAGGCATGGAGCTCCAGCGGGCGGTCACCCCTGCTTTCTTCATCCTCAATGGCACGACCTCCAGCCACCGGCCCCCGGGAGCCAAGCCGTCCACGGCCGGAAGCTCGATGCGCCCCCCTTTTCAACATCCCCGGGCGACTTCTTTCTACGGTGGACCGGCGGCGCGAAACGATTCTTACGAGAACTTGAGGGTGCGGGAGCCGAACTCTTACGACGTGAATCACCACTCGGCGTATGCGGAGAAGGATCACGACTTGGCGGCTAAGCAGGTCGAGGACGACCTAGCGGACGCTCGCCGACGGAGCAAGCATTCGCAGCACGAGAGGATTCTGCGGAGCCTCATCTGCCCTAGGCCTGCGGCCGAGTTCGACATCGACGATGTCGCCCTTCAGGGCATATTCTACGCCGCCAACGAGATATTCTTTCGCGGGAAGCTGAAGGGGCGCGTCAACTGGGACTGGCGGGATCTCCCGAGCTGCCTCATCGGCACCACGGCGCTGCGGAAGCTGCCGCTCGACCTCGGCTACGAGACGCTGATCTTCCTGTCGCGGGGGATCCTCAAGGACAGGAAATATAACCGACGACTGCTCATCTCGACGTTCATCCACGAACTTATCCACAGCTACCTCTTCATAGTGTGCGGGTTTCAATCCAGAGAATGCGGGGGCCACACCGACGGCTTCAAGCGGATCGCCGAGCTCATCGACGAGTGGGCCGGCCGCGGTCTGCTGTACCTATGCAACATGGAGGCCGAGCTCAGCGACTTCGAGACCAAGACTGCGGCCCTGCCGAAGGAGCCGCCGAACTTCGACGGCTGGCGGGCACCGTGGTCCCACGGCTCGACGGGCGGGGACTATATCCTCCTCGATCGCCCCCAGTGCAGGCTGCGGCCTGGCGTGTGTGTATCGGACCGGGAATTGGCATGATGGCGTTAGAATGTGTCGACCCTCCGGGGGTGCCGTGCTCCTATTTGCTCCCTCCCTGCGCCGAGAAGCAAGCCCAATGTTACCTCGCATACAGGGCTAGACTTCTCTCCTCTAACACTCTTTGCTGTTTTCTTTTGTCCACGTCCTCTCCCTATTCTCGTCCCTATTCTCTCCATATTTTCCCTTTATCGGCATGGCGATGGCGTATGACTATACATATTATACACACATATACCCTAGACTGGGGCGGGTTATCGGGCTCTCGTTGCACGTCGAGATGGTGGATTGTCTAGACCGGCGTAGCGCATGAACTCGGTGTTGGAAAATGTCATTCTGGTGTTCGGATACCTCTCTCTCTCTCTCTCTCTCTCTCTCTCTCTCTCTGTGTGTGTGTGTGTGTGTATCCCTCTGCGCGCGCGCGTGTTCTCTAATATTCATTATTGTTGTACGAGCTCGTGTTGTCACGGCCGCCTGGAACGCTGGAACGGAAAAAGAAAAACCGAACAGAACCCTGCCTTCAATGTCGATATTTTTTTTTTAACACAGCCTCGACTCTAGTACATACATCCGTACATAACTCGACGACGACAACGACGACGACATACATACTTCCTCTAATATAGTATTCTTTGCGGACCTACTTATTCTGATGGTATATACGCCCTATCTAACACATATATCCTGTACTTACACATTACTCGCACATGTATCTACCCTACCTACCTACTTCTTACATAACCTACATAGTTGCTGCATACCTAGGTGCTCCTATTACTGCTACCGTCACCCATTTACCGCAAGAATGGCCGTGGCCAACCACCACCATCAGGGCGTGTCTCGTCTCGTCTTGTCTCGCGTCCCATGTGCATAGATGAACGCGCGTAGATGTATGCAATACCCAACCAGCGTCTGAATTTAGTATCTGCGTATCATCTGCGCATGCATGACTTGGTACCCAAGCAGACGTTGCGTTGGGCTGTCGTGGCTGGTCCGATGGACACCATCCCAGCCGGGCCTGTTGTCGTTGTCATTGTCGCCCTTCTGCCTCACGTCGTGCCTGATCCCCGGCTCTCCCGCCTCCCCGACTGGTAGTATACACCCGCCTACCATGCCCGTCTCGTCTCTCTTGTCTTCTTTCTTTTCCCCCGAGCCGCAGATGAGGCCCCCCCTTCGCCCCCTTTCCCCCTCCCCGCTCGAGGCTACGACCAGCCGGCCGGCCGGCCGCGTGCGCCTGGGACAGGTTCCCGGCATGGGGCGGCATATAGGGCGGGGCTAATACACTATGGGTCGGTGGCCGGTCTTGAGGTCTCGCACAAATCGCCGGGGGCGGTTCTGCGCCAGGCTAACAAGGCCTGGAGCTTTCGGCTCCGTGCGCGCTGGGACGAACCCACACGCCTTGGGTAGCGGGAGGTACCTCGTTGAACTACCTGAGTACTCGTACCTGTTAGCAGGTTACAGGCTAGACTTAGGTAGCTAATCCCTTGTACCATACTCTAACCTCTAACCGGATTAAGCGAAAACCACGCTTTGTGCCCAGCTTTATCTTTATTCTTTATATAGATTTTTGAAATTTCATTTAAAATATATTTTATACTATGGAGAAGGTATATTGACGAATTATTAGTTAAATTTAAAGAAGAAAATTATTTTATTATATTTTATTAATATTAAATAAAATAAGTAATAATAGTACTAGTAATAATAATAATAGTAATAATAATAAAAGTAGTTTAAGTAATTAAAACCTTTTACTTTAACTTATAAATAGAATATAATTATTTTAAATAATATTAATATACTTATAAAAATTATTACTTACTTTAAAGTAGATTAATTAAAAATTAGTTAGGCTAGTATACTTATATACTCGGTAGTAAGTACGTTATAGTTTTGTAAAATAATCCTATCCGGAGGATAGTTATAATACGCATAACCCCCTGTTATGTTGATTAATTGCAGGGTTAAATACCCCTGTAAATACCCCTGTAAATACCCCTGTAAAGGGGTGTCATTTAGGGGAAACTCTGTTTTTACTGGCTAAAAAACGCGCTATGGGTCCCTAAAAATGCGTGCACCTAATAAAAACGGCGGGATAAATGGAGTCTTATAATTTGAAATCCTTACGTATATTTACTGACGCGTTTTCTACCCCTATTTCCTGACCTTTTCTGACGCGTTTTCTACCCTTATTTCCTAACCTTTCTTGACCTATTTTGTAGTAACCTTTCCTGACCTTTCCTGATCTTTCCTGACCTGTTTTGCAGTGACCTTTCCTGACCTTTCCTGACCTATTTTACAGTGACCTTTCCTGACCTTTCCTGACCTGTTTTACAGTGACCTTTCCTGACCTTTCCTGACCTGTTTTGCAGTAACCTTTCCTGATCTTTCCTGATCTTTCTTGATCTTTCTTAATCTTTCTTAATCTTTCCTAATCTTAGATTTTAATCCCGTTAAAAATTATATATAATTTCTTACGTTTTCAATGTCTTTTATTATAAATAAAGTTCGTAAACGTAAAAATGGTTATTAAATAAACTAAGAATATTTATATAAGTTTTCTATATATAAATTTTTACGCTTTCTATATTTTTATTATAAATAAAGTTCGTAGCTCTAAAAATCGTTATTAAATAAACTAAGTATACTTCCTATATCTCTCTATCCTCCGGATAGGTTATTATTTTTAGCGTAAATGTAAAAAATAAGCCCGAATTATTCTGCGAAGCAGAATAATTCGGGTCTTATTTTAACTATAGCCTTACCTAAGGTTCTGTCTGTACATTAGGTACCTAACATAAGAGGTAGGTACCTGTCAATATGGGTGGTGTATAAAGCAACCTGCTATACCCACTTTCGTTCCCAGTCCACTGCTCCAATATCTTCGATATCTTCCCCCGTTCCCGCTCCAGATACCTATCATCTCCGTTGCAAACCACCTTCGATCCTTGCTCTGTCGTGCCCGGTTCTGTGCTGCGATTCCACGCCGCTCAGTATTTGTCACATCGAAGAGGTAGGTAATGGATACAACTACGATATCCAATAGGGCGGATTTCAGTCCGCGAATACCCACACCCCGGCCAGTATCTTCACCCAACGGCAGCCCGCAGTGTGCCGAGTGCTTCCCCGTCCACCACCCGAGCGTAGCGCATCAGTCAGGCCTCGATAAGCAGTGTGGCCTGATTCGAGGTCTAAACGTCGACGACATATGAAGACGCCCAACCCCAACTTTGCGCGACTCGGCGGGCTCGAGTCCGCCGAACGGAGGTCGCCCTTCTTCAGGCTCGCCCTCTCCCGCTCCCGCTTCTCCCCCGCGCCAGCTTTCCTTTCTGCAAGGATCCTCGCCGGCCACGCCTCTGGAGCGGTCCGCTGCTCATCGACACGACCGCCTCGGCCGTCAACCTTCGACGCGCGCGCCCTGCCCGCCCTCTGGACCGGAGGTGGTCAGTCGACAGGATAGCCTTGGTTGGTGGGTCTCGTCGACGAAGCGCGGCCTCGCGATAGCGTGCGTGTGCTGTGTGGTGTTGGATCTCGGGGCGTCGCAGACTCCACTCCCCCTATCTGCTGGCGAGATCTCGGCGGCCGTGCCGGCTCTGGGCCAATAACGGGGTGAGGTGCGGACATGCCAATCGCCACCTCATCTCGCTCCTCGATTTGCGAAACCAACCGGCCAAGTCAAAAGCAGCCAGCTGGTTGTTCTCGATCGCGCGCTGATAGCGGCCGAGAGGACGCATCGGCAAGACAATCTGCGTAGTCTTAGGCGTGCCCGGTGATCTGGGTGGGCTGCGGCCGTCACACCACCGATAAAGCGACGAGTGACCAAGATGACGTTGCGCGCCTGTGCTAGCGCGAGGCCGTTCGTTCCGCTTCTGGGATTGTTCCTCAAACACAGCAGCCGGCACAGGATTTCCGAGCTAGCGATCTCGTGGCACACGCTAGACGTCAGCGAGGCGACGGTACGCAACCAGACCTCCCCAACCAACACTTGGCACGCCGATTTCCCAGTCTCGGGTATGAATGTATACTTTCCAAATTCGGTCAGTTAGGCTCTCACGAGTGAGCTGGGGGCAATGAAACGGATTCTGCCGATTACGTCTCCAATCGTAGGAAATCATGGTTCTCGGGGAGGTCGAATTACCTAGTCATGGTAAAGTCCCGGAGGGCTGACCGGGGTAACAGAGGGATCAGCTCCCGAGGCCTAGACACCCCCCCGCGAGAGGGTAAGGCCCTCTCTCCTCTCCCTATTTGTCCTCGATGAGCTCGGTGGTGCTGGTAGACGGTGGTATGTGCGGGGGAGTATGCTGAGGAAACGGCAAAGGGGGAAGCTACCTTGCGTATCCTGACATTCTAGCTCTGTCTCTATGGTTCGTTGTATGAAGGAGGCTCGTTACTGTTGCTAGCCGGGGCTGCCGCAGGTAGGTAAAGTAGGGAGATGGGTATATAAGCAGCCACGGTGTGAGTCAGCAAGTCAGCAAGTCACCGTCGGTGAGTGAGCTCACCAGCAGTTGCCTACGCAAATATATACCTGTGAAACAACCTTACGTAATCAATACCTCCTTGTTCTACCTCCTCTCTCTCTCCCTCTCCCTCTCTCTTCGTATTCTTCTCCCTCCCCCTTCGTCCCCCTCGCTTTAACATCCGCCCCGGAGACCCTCCACGCCGTAGTTACTCGCCTACTCACTCGTAGCCTGTACAGTCAGCGTCTTCTTACTACCCCCCTTTGGCACAAGTGCTTGCGACTTGACGTCTCCAGCCATGGATCCCTTTCTTGCCGAGGAGGAGATCATTCAGGCCTTCACACCCTCGGAGCACACGTTCTACTAGTGGCTGGAGCCTGGTAACTGGCAAACTGCGCTCAAACGCTACAAGGAGATAGGGACGGGCCCGAGATTTCAGAAGGCTCTCTAGGGTCTGTCCTCTGGCGGGGAGTACCTAGCTGAGCAGTTTCCCCAGTTCCCAACCAAGCGGTTTGGCCAACCGAGGCGAAACCTGCCACGCAGCATCGCCCGCGACGAGCTCCTCCGCCGCATACGCTCTACCGACTGCAAGGACGTCTAGCAAGTATCCAGGATTTTCTACATCCTAGAAAGTGTGCACAATGCTCCCGATCTCATCCTCGGAGAGGCTAATCCCGGAGGAGCCTTGACGGGATAGACTATCGCGGGTGGCCCCAGACTACTCTTCTCTAACATACCGCAAGCTAACACAACGAACTGCGACAACTCGCATCTGCTGGATGAGATCGTTCTTGCCATCGATATTGTCAACACAGTCGGTGTCACCTCATCGCCGTCAACGTCGTTTGTACCACTTGACCCCCAAAACCGCCGCTAAACAGGGCGGAGCTCTAGAGATGACTCGGCCATGTCCCCGGAACGCCAACAGGGGCGACTTCCTCGACCAAACCCCTTCCTGCTTCTTGCGGGTTAGCAGCCTACACTACTGTTCCGGCGGCGCCTGGAGTGAAGTGCGCGTTAAGAAGGTAGATGAAGAAGTAGATAAGGAGGCGAATGACGAGTTCGACGCGCCGTGCCAGGAGACCGGCTACGGCGTCATTGTTCAGCTCCAAAGCAGTAGACACGCCGCTGGTCTCGTTTGCGTCGTCTACAACTTCAACTAACCGCGCCCTGATGGAGCTAAACTGGCTAATGAGCTCTGGGAGGAGATTGAGTGATCAGCTCCCTAGACCACTTGTCTACATGTTAGACGTTTACCAGAGCAACGAAAAAGTTCGACGGCGGTTCTCGTTATATTGCCTCTAAAAGGTAAGTAATACAGAAACTATAGTGGCTAATAGAAGGCAGCACCAGGCATAGCTCGAGGAGGGTGCAAAATAGCTTGACCACGCCCTGCCTATACTCCCTTGGCCATTGAGAAAACACATCATCACCAAGTGCCACAGGATAATCACAGGCTACAGAGTGAGAGGCTTCTGTATTAAATCAAGCTCGTGAAAAGGAGTAGCTATAGTATATCTGGTTTGAGAGGCCCACGTCGCACGTATACAGGGACGGGTTCTTACCAACGAGGCCCGTCGGTTGAAGAAGGAGTTGCTACACTATCACGACACCCCTAATCCTACCAGAGTCGTACTCGTGGAAGATGAAGGGGTGAGATCTGGAAAGTCGACTTAGCGATACCCAGCAAATATTTGCCAGACTGATTATACGTGCCTAACAGTGTTGATCAACTATTATTTATCCTCAGTAATTCAAGACCGGGGTTCGGCAGCTTCTGAAGTCCGCCTGGATCGGGGCCCGCATCTTACCGGACCTCCCGGAGGCGTCCGCGAAACCGGTACACTTGAGAATGGGAATCCTGGCAAAGTCAACATCAGATCCCCGCACGCTAATATTACCTACGTTACGAAAACGGATGGTTGTAGAGGCCGAGAAGGTCGAAGAACAAGAGGAGTGCTATTATGTGATCCTAAGCAAGGGAACGACTCTACGACAAGTTTCTGTCGCATATTAGTGGAAATGATGCATATGATAGTGTCGAGTTTCATATGCTGCCTCCTTGTATTGCTCCGTCCCTAGGCTTACATGAGTGATCAGGCATGACACACAAAGGCACGTATAAACGAGGGCTTATCAAGTGACCCCCTTATTAATACCCCCTATCTCTAGGAGTGGTTTCGTAGCTCTCGGTTCGACTAAGAATTGGGAGAGAAAGGAGAGAAAGGGGAAGTAAAGGCAAGGGGAATATAGGTAAGAGAGCGAGGCTCGAGTGTAATAGTATTATATACCGGTCAAGAGAGCAACAGAAAAATCACCATAGTTGACTAACTACCAAATAGCCGTAGGTGTTTTCCCAATGCCGTTGACGGACCGTGTAGGTCTACCTAGATATCTCGACGGACACTCCTATTCCTCTTTAGACCAACTGCCCCAGAGGTATTGGGAAGAGCAGACGTTCCCCATATCCCACGACTCGGCCATCTTACGACCGTATGTCCCCTCATCCTCGTCGTCCGACACAAGACCAGCGATTACGAGCAATGGACAGAAATGGTCTTTCGAAGGGTGCGCGAGCTTGAAATCCGGGTGTGCCGTCAGCCGAACCAGGGCGCCGGCGAGTCGAGGTCCCTTGAGAAGTGGCGCGTAGCGTTAGCAAGCATTGATCTTCCCACGCACATGGCAGGGGAGGGAGTAATAAAGGGGGAGCATTGCCGAGTTGAATTCGATCGTGTCCCTCACGGCACGCTCGAAGCTCAGCGCCCACCTCTCCGGCTTGTACGAGGGCAAAGCCGTGTTGCGGCCTCCGGATAGGAGAAACGGCAGCCAGGCAGCTCGGAAGAGGTTGTGCACGATCGAGCCGGAGCCGATGCCGAGGACGTTCTCTTTCCTCAGCGGGCGAAGCGCCTCGCCGATCTTGACGTGGAAGATGGGATCGTAGCGGGTGTTGAGGCTCACGGACGTCGCGGGCGGCGTGCCTTCGGGGAACAGCCAACGAGACGGAGTCAGGTTGTCGTCGTGCCAGGCAGCGCCGGGGTCCTCCTCGGCGTCCAGAAAGCCGGCGCCCCGGAGCAGCGAGACAACCGACCTGCCAAGCGCCGGGGAGACGTTGATCGGGTAGTGCTCCCACTTCTCACGCGGGACAACATCCATCTGCAGCACTTCGGGCTTCGCCTTTGTTCCCACACGAATGCGGTCGTCAAGCTCGGTCCAGTGCGAGCATATGTAGACGATGCCCTTCACGTCGTAGGCTAAACAAGCCTTGCCGAACTGCAGACAAGCGTAATGTCAACAGAGCTCGACTCTGCAGAGATCCGTCTATTAATCATGGGATACCGGCCTTTTGCCACCAGTCGGTCGATTCGCTTTCGACACAAAATGCCAGGGGAGTCCCGTGCGAGGCGAACAGGACAGGGGTTGATAGGTTGCGTTGGCCTGTTGGAGAGGGCATCTTATGTTGGCTCGCGAGGCGCTGGATGTGTGCGGAACTATTGTCGAAAGGAGATTCGAACTAGCTATTGTTTAGGTCTCTGCCTCTCCCTATTGCTCTCTTGCCGGCCCCGGGTATATAATCAAGCCAAGTATAGAGACACAGACACATGCCTCCGGGTTTGGTCTAAACCCCGAGGCCGACTTTGGCCGACAGGATTGGGAAATACGGGGACCGCCAATTGATACACGTTCTTCAGGGGTTAGATTTAAGCGACCCTGCCTTGATGGAAGCTGATCACTTGCTTATTCTCGGTAAGGCAGACAAGCAGACTTGCGTGTAATATCTCTCAAGTTCCTGGATTTAGCTCATTGCTTCCCTCTTCCAACTCCTTGTAGATGAAGGCCCCCGGCGCTATTACTCCTCAATCCTCTCTCGTCCGGATGCCTATTTCTGCACCACAGAGTCGGGGCCGAACCTGGCCGTGGTGGGCAGCGGAGGCAATTTGCAAGCTGTCGTGCAAGAGATCGCCCAGAGCCACAAATTGGAGCACGGCCTGGCAGCGGAGAGGCTGACGGCTGTGTTCGTCCGTGAGGAGAATACGCAGACCCTTGCGAGAGAATTGACTAGGCTCGAAAGCCATCAGTCGCGCCCAGGGGCTGATTCGCGCGAACTCGAGACGCTAGGGTTCCGTCTCCTGGGAGCCGACGCTTATCAATGTGAACTATCAAGACTTCTTCGATGGCCTGAACACTCGCTTGCCCCCGTGGTCCGCGCGGCGAGAAAATCTGATGCTTTATTTGTCCTTCTCTATACATACCTCGACCAGGTGATGGACGCCATATCAAGGCTGGAGAGCCTGCCGTCGCAGGTCGCCTTCCTTGCCCCAGAGTCAGAGGCATCGGCTCAGTACCTCGAGCAGTGGTCCCGGTCGAAAATGTTCTCCCTCGGCAGCATTCGCTCTGTTATCCCCCCAGGTTCGTGGCCGCTCCGCCCCCCAACCCCATACACAGTCCCCGTAGTTTGGTAGCCGTAGCGGCAGCGCGCTTCCGTAACCGCGTTCACAGGTGTTTTGACTAACGAGAGGATGCGTACAAACGTAGTAATTGCCTCCGGAAAGCCACTGGGGTTTCAAGACCAAGAGACCCTGTTTCCGCCCACCACGTTCGGAGAGGTTCGGGAGATAGTATCAGGGCGCCACGTCCCCGCGCCGTCGCTACAATCCGTACAGGCACAGAATAAGGGGGTGATCCGCGCCGTTGCCCCGGATCCTAACCAGACCATGGAATTCTTCGGCTACGTGATATGTGCGTTGACGTACTCTAGCGTAATCCTCGGTGGCCTCGCACTGGGCGGCGTATACATTCGATATTTGCACTCGGTGCCTATGGGATCCAAATGAAGACGCAGCTGTCTAACAACTGGGCGCGTAATGATACGCAATGTTTTGTTCCATGATAAATGTACTGGTTACAGCAGCATTCTCCTCCCCCCCTCTCTATAATTGGTCTCTTCTAGGTCTCCTGTATTCCGAGACATTAAAATATCACACGGGTACAACTCAGGGGAAGACTCCTTTGCCGTGTGCCGTGAAACCGCCCTGTTAGGCCTCCTTTCCACCCCTCTAGTAATTTCTATAGTAGTTGGCACTGTCGTATATCACCGTCCATCAGAAAACAAGCCCTTCACACAGTTTGCCCAATCTTAAGGGTTGCTGTTTGCTTGCGGATTATGTACCTACAGCCCGCTTGGCACCTAAACCCATTGCCAAGCCCTAGTATACACACCGTCCAACATGGTGAGAGATCACTCCGTGGTCTTGGGACTACGGGTTTCATGCCGAGTTGTCAGCAGCTTAACCCCTGACTGGTCACTGTCTTTTGGGAATTGTTGTCGGTAACGAGAGCAGATAGAAGGAGGGGTGAAGCTCATAAGTTCGGGCTCGGTACTATACTACGCCCGAAACTGGAGCAGAGATCCGACGATACGTGTTCAGACTTACTCGTCCAGAAAGGGCGCCACGGGGACGTAGGAGCCGTGACGAAAAGGACTACCTCCCAGACAGGGAGGCAGGAAAACAACCTGTTCTAGCAGCCCCCGGGAGCTTCTAGTCGCGAGAAGGAGGAGGAAGAGGAAAGGGGGGGGGAGTGGGCTGGTTGTGAAATACCGAAAAGTGCCAGAGCCAAGATATTTATCGCCTACGTCCCTTCCTCGCCCCTTCGCAGATACCTATTTATCTGCCGTAATTCGGGACAGGGCCTTCGTCGCGAGCCGGCGTGCCGTCGCGAACCGCTCCGCGTAAGGGTCAGAGACAGCTAGGAGGAGCCCTCCGCCCGGCTTTGCGATGTCCCCCTGGGTGTGGACGTTCCGCCGGTAGTTCTCTAGAACGTGTTGCCATACCCTGCCATGCAAGAAGGCGTAGATCGGAGCGCCGACTATGTACGGCATCTGGCGCGCCCACGTGAGAGCGGAAAAGGGGGGGTGACATGCGCACTGAGAGCAGTCCAAACGCGACATCTATGCAATCGACAGAAAGACAGGGGATCAAAACGACTCTCCCACGCCAACACATTGATGCGCCCATCCGCTGGCCTGCAGCTAACAGCTTGAGGTGTCTGCTTGCTGAGCCTCTAGGACGCGCGGCCGCAACCCTGGCCTGGTTCTCCTGGGCCTAATTTGCCCCCCTCGTGTGCGCGCACGCTTCCACGAGCAGCCGTCGTCCGGCAGCAAGCAGTAACGGACCTCGTACATAGCAACGTAGTCAGTAGTGTGCACGCGACATAACGCCGACGGTGGCGACGCAAAGTCTCAGGCACATATGTGCGCGTGAGCATGAAAAATACTGAGGCGTGGACCTAGGGGCGGTAGGGTTATTATGTACGCTCGCGTATGCTTCTGTCCATCCGACCGGGTAGGGATATAATAGTATTCGTCTGCCGACGGCAGCAGCAGGTAGCTGGGCAGGCCGGCACACCCGCCGGCTATGTATGCTGACGAGCGCCCTCTCCTCGGCTAGGCCAGCTCACAGCACCTTGCTCTGGGCAACGTACGTGTCTTGGTATGACATACGAATATGCAATTCCTTAGAGACCCGGAGGCGATCTCGTTACCTGACTCTCGGTACTTGAGGTCGCGCAGACAAGCGGGCAGACTAACCTCTCGCTTCCCATTCCGTCCTAAACCGTTCTGTTGTTCTCCCACCGAAGACTTTGCGTGTACGGCTCGGCTACTAGGTTGCCGTAGGTTGCGTAGCATGCTCTACGGCTATTGTTAGCTGTATCCTCTGCCAAGTATAGCCCAACTCCACTTGCGGCCTGCCTGGCGGGTTACACGCCCGCCGACGTAGGGAGAACCGTGTCGCCTTTCGGGTCGAGAGGGTCGCTAATCTCATCGTACTTGCTAAGGAGCATTGGTATGAGACTTACAGGCAGGTCGTCGGCTAGAGAGTTAGCAGAGACAGAGACAGAGAGAGAGAGAGCATAGAAGGCAACCTAGCCTGGGTAAGTGGCGCACCTCGAAGGGCCGTGAATCGTGCGGGATGGACGAGGAGACACAAGTGCCGTCGCGGACAAGCCTTGCTACAATTTAATCCGCAAGAGTTTGCAGGACGGTGTTGCCGAATCGTAGGGCACGGATTGCATATTGGCCACCTAGACGTTCCTCTCTTTCCCTCTCGCTTCCCGCCTCCCATCCCCTTACTTTCATTTCTCCCCGGGCTGAATGGGTACCTATTCGTTTCTGTTTATCTGTCCATCTATTATTAACCCACCCATTTCGCGATTCCCATGCCGGGGTCTGACACGCCCCAAGAGCTCGGTGGTGGATAAATGTCGTAACGGCAGGCAAGGGAACTCGCTCTAACGAGTGCCGTGTCCCCGGACTGCGTGCGGCCTGTGTCGTATCCAATCCCAGGTCATAGGCCCCGTCTCCATCTCCCATCTTCGTGGAGATCCAATAGTATTATGTAGCAGTATGCGTTCGTGCGTGGGTGTACATGTGTGTTTCTGCTCGTTCGATCCTTACCGAGCTGCAAGCCGGTATTTGGGTGGTTGGTTGGCGCGCGAAATGAGGCCTGCTTCGATTTATTTATCTCATAATTCCCTTCTTAATTGGTGTGCTTGGCTCGGTCCGCTCTCGTCTCCTGCGCTCCTCTCCCGGCAGAAACTAAGTGACTCTTCAGTCAAGCGCCCCGGGGAGGGGGAGAGGATAGGAGGCTAAGGGCGAGAAAAGGAGAGAGGGGAGGGTAGAACAGAGAAGAGCAAGGCCCGGTGCGCCAACCACCTCGTTTCTGACATGCTATTTAGCCCGTTGTCAGTTCCAAGACCCATGTTTCCCCTTTCGGGCAATTATTCTGCTGCGCTCTGAGTCCGGCACTTCGTCGACTACCCTTTCCCATCGCTAAGGTGATGATCAGCGCTCCGCGGCCAATGGCGTCCAGCCGAATTTAATATACGTGACGAGAATCGTTGGAAAATTCCCTCTCCCTATATTGCCCTTCTTAGCTGACACTTTAACCCTACCCTCTTTTTGTCCCCACACTTGGCCATTCTCCTCCCGCCCTGCTGTCGATACAGCTTCTGTCACTGCTGATTTTATTGCGGCTGTCGGGCTTTCGTCGAGTTTCTAGCAAGAAATCGGACGCTATCTAACGAGCATGGGTTCCCCACATTCTTCCATTCTGCCATATGCGTTGTCCGGGGAGCCTTGGCATATAGGGGTCATAAGAGTGTCTTCTATTCTCTCAGGATAGGCGACCATGAAGATATAGAGAGGGTATGTTTCCGAACCCCCTCCCGCTTGCCGTCGACAGAGAGAAACCCTGGAAAGCTAAGATTTTGGCAATCGTCACAATGGGTCTGGTCAAAAAGCTACAGTCGCTTGCTCTTCTGGGCGTGGCCCTTCAGGGGCTCGCTTTCGACTTCGACTTCCCTCAGGCCGACATTGACTCGGGGAGGGCCTTGCAACAGTTAGGCGAGACGGCCAGGGATGCTGCTCTGGCGCGGCTCGAGGCTTCGCCCTCGTCGACATGCACGAAGGAGAGCGTGCGAATGCGCAAGGAATGGTAAGTCCGGGCGCTCGACCCCAGCCCTTCGGGAAAGGAGGATATCCCTGCTAACTATCGCACGACTAGGCGAAACATACCTGGGGAGGAGAGGAAAGCCTACGTGAAGGCTGTTGAATGTCTGATGGAGTCGCCAAACGTGTATCCGAACGTGACTGGGCCGAAGTAAGCCGCGTCCTTAGACCGCCCGACGTGGCGTTGCATAAGAACTAACGGAGACGCGCGCGTAGGTCGATGTTTGATAGCTTTGGTGTCTTGCACTATTACTTAACGCCGTACGTCCACAACTCGGTAAGTGGACTCCGAGTCGGGGCGCGTGCTGAATGAGAGGTTCTAATCGAGCGACAGGCGTACTTCCTCCTCTTCCACAGACTCTACATCTGGACATACGAGGAGAAGCTGAGGACCCTGTGTGGGTATACCGGGGCGTTCCCATATTGGGAGGTGAGTAGGACCTTCAGGAGGATTGTATTTCAATATTAGGGTCGCGATCTTTCAATGGCGAGAACCCCAACACAGGTATACCTCACATGTGCTAATCGTCGACGCCGCAACAACTAGTGGGGACTGGACGCCGGGGGTGTCGAGAAGTCGCCCGTCTTCGACGGGTCCGAGACCTCAATGGGATCAAACGGCGAATATGTTGAGAATCCCGGAAACCCCTTTTTCGGCCGCGGCACCGGCGGAGGCTGCGTCAAGGAGGGTCCCTTCAAGAACTACACGGTCAACTTCGGCCCCAACACCTCCCGCACCCCCCGTAAGTGTCTTGTCTGCCTATCAACTGACTCCTCATTCTCGTTTCTCGGTCGGAGACCCGCTGACCATCCGCCCCCATCCGGTTGGCGACGACACGTAACAGTGGTGCCGAACCCGCGCTGTCTCAAGCGCGACCTCAATACGCAGATCTGCGCACAGTGGGCGTCGCTGCGCAACACAACCGAGACCATCATCGAGAGTCCGGACATCGCCCTCTTCCAAGCCAACCTTCAAGGTGATTACCGCTGGCCTGAGGCACGGAAGTGGGGGTTCGCCGTTCATGGCGGCGGTCACTTCTCCATCGGTGAGTTCCCCTATCCCTCGCCCTCCTCCTCTTCCTTAGTTTTAACAGAAAGGGAGAAGCAAAGGAGGGAGCAGCACCGAGAACCACTCAAAGCTAACATATCCATCCCGTTCGCAGGCGGCGACCCTGGCGGTGACTTCTATTTCTCACCGCTAGAGCCGGCCTTCTACTTGCACCACGGTCAGATCGACCGTATGTACTTCATCTGGCAGAATCTGGACTGGGAGAACCGGCAGGTGAGTCATTTAATGCTCTTTGACTATATAAGATAAAAAGAGGGAAAGGGTGAAGAAAAGGTCAAGAAACGAAACGGTAGTAGACCCACTAACTCCGCAGAAGACCATGGCCGGCACCATCACGATGATGGACATGCCGCCCAGCCGCAACGGTACGCTCGACGATGTCCTCGATATAAAGCCCGTCGGCGGCTCCTATACTTTCCGCCAGCTGCTCGACACCGTCGGCGGCTCGCCCTTCTGCTTCGTGTATGAGTAAGCGTGGGGCGCTCGAGTCGATGTCACATGGTACGCCCGCCCGCCCACTTGATGTGAAGTGTTGTTGACCGTGCCGGCTGTTAGTCTCGCACACGATCCACCCCTGGATCCGAACTCGGCTTGGCTTAACTTGAGCTTGACCGGAGGTCGGTTTCGGGTTCCGTGTGGAGAGGGATGATGAGGGTCTGATGTAGTGTGTCGCCTCGCGGTGCGGTAAGTTACGGCTCGAGGGTATATGGAGACGGGGAAGGGAAGGATGATGGCTAGGAGGAGGAGAGGGGGGCCTCGGTGATAGCACGTCTAGATTTGAACAAATCGCGAATCCGCTTGGGTTATCTTGTACTTGAATCAGTTCCCTATGGGGGTAAATCAACACCACCATCGAGGGCCAGTAAGGACGGCCGAAGCAGACAGAAAATGTGCGCTCTCGGGAAGACCTCATTCATTTACGTTTGGGAATTCTTAGATTTTTATATCCCGCAATCGCAGATATACGGTATTTACGTATATATGGGATGAAAAGCGCGCTGCTCGCCGTGTTGTCGCTCTTCGGATCTGGATACGGGGCAAGGGGGCCTGCATCACCATTCGGGAATCTCGCCGGGCTTCGGCTTCTGCATCCGGATCACCTTGTCGCAGTTGAGGAGGTTGAGCGGATCGAGCGCTTGCTTGATCTGTTGTGCAGAGAAGCATCCCGTTAGTGCACGACACACCGTACATCGGACCGTACATCGGATGAGAGATTCGAGGGCCGGACTTACCTTTCTCATCGTATCCACAGTAGTCTCACCCAGCTCGTGCGGCAAATAATCCCTCTTGACGAGGCCGACTCCGTGCTCGCCCTGTTCCAGAAGTGAGTCAAGAGATGTTCGCTCATGTATACGGGCGGTCTTAACCAGTGACCGGGGCGGAGTCTCACCGTCACAGTCCCTTCTAACTCGACAGCCCTCTTCACCATGCGGTGGACCAGCTCCTCGGCCGCTTGTCTCTGCTCTTCATTCGAAAGCAGAATGACTACCACATTGTCAGCGTACCCCTCCCCGATAGGAACAGGAACTAGCGGGTAGGCCGGCGTTATAGGTGCTCTACTCACTGTGGAAGTTCCCATCGCCGACGTGTCCGACCATGGTACCGTACATGCCGCTCTTCTTCATGTCATCTTTGGTCTCCTCGATGAGGCCGGGCAGCCGGCTCAAGGGGACGGCCACGTCGCCGGTCCAAACCCTGTCATCGGGTTTGGCGACAGCCAAGGTGCTCCATAGCGCCTCCTTGCGCGCACTCCACAATTCGGCCTTCTCGGCCTCGGAGCGGGCAAACTCGAAGCTCTGGCTCCCGGACTGCTTGGCCATGTCCTGCACGATCTGGATTTGCTCCTTGACGTCTCGATCGGTGCCAGCGAACTTGAAGAACAGCGTGGGCGCCTCCTTCCACTGCCTCGACGTCATGCCGGCTTTGTTGATGCACTTCATCTGCTCGTCGTCGAGGATCTCGACGGCGGCGACCTGGATGCCTTGGCCGACGACCTTGGCGACGCAGTCGGCGGCTTGGCGGATCGTGCCGAAGCTGCTGACGGCTACGCTCGTGCTCGAGGGCTTGACGGTCACCTTCAAAGTGGCCTCGGTGACGAGACCGAGGGTGCCTTCGCTGCCGATAAAGAGCTTGGTCAGGTCGTAGCCGGCGGAGCTCTTGCGGGGCCGCTGGCGGGTCTTTATGATGGTGCCGTCCGCAAGCACGACGGTTAGCGACGAGACCCATTCCCTCATCGTCCCGTAGCGGTAGGCGTTCGTCCCGCTGCACCCGGTGCCGATCATGCCTCCGATCTGGGCGCCGGGGCCCGGGTCGGGAGGGAAGAAGAGGTTTTCGTCGCCGAGGTACTCGTTGAGCAGCTCCCAGCCGACGGAGGGCTGCACGACGACGTCGAGGTCCTCCTTGTGCAGGGCGAGAATCTGATCCATCCTCTTGAAGTCCACGCAGATGCCGCCTCTCGTGGGGGTGAAATGCCCTTCGAGGCTGGTGCCGCCGCTATACCCGACAACGGGGATCCGTCGCGCGTGGCAGACCTTCATAACCCTACTGACCTCCTCGGTCGAGCCGGGATAGACAATCATAAAGGGCTTCTCGGACTCGTTGCTGCGGTAGCTGGACCAGTCGGAGATGGCGTGGATCTTGAGATCTGACTCGACGGTGCTGACGTTCTCCCTGCCGACGATGGCGGCGAAGTCGACCCAGGCAGCCTCGAGGTTCGCCTTGTCATTATTGTGCTCCGGGGCGCGCGTGAGGGCCAGCGGAAGCGTTGAGGAAGCATCCGGGCTGCGCGGGGCCAGCGTTCCTAAGAGGTAGGCGCCGCCGGTGGAAGCGAGGAAGACTACCGGGCCATGGCGCACCCGTCAGCCTCCGCTCGTCGCGAGAGGGAGGGAGGGGGGGGAGGTTCGTCCGAGGCGAGGAGGAGAGGGAGATGGAAGATGGGAGGAGAGGAGGAGGAAGGACACGCACAGAAGGTGGTATACCATCGCGACGACCCGGCCGACTGTTCTCGCTCTCTCGCAAACTTTTCGCGCTCGGCCTTCTCGCGGGCAATTCGCGAACTGATGCTCTGGAGCATCTGACCCCGGAAGCTAGGGCCGGAGGGCTCCTTGTTCTCGGTCGCGTAGGCCCGCTCGGCTCTCGGGAAGGCGGCGCGTGCCGAGGCTAGCCGTGCCCGGCCACGGAGAGGGCGGGAGAGGGCGAGGCCGGCCAGCCTGGCGTCGGCGGACCGGGACGCGAGACGCGACGACGACGACATGGTGATGGTTAGCCGGGGAGATTATATAGACCTGTGCAGCTCGCGAGAGGCCGCTAGGTCATCTTACGGGCGGGACAAAGGCGTCGGCGGGTGGGTGGTGGGCGCTCGGCTGCCTGCGATGGAAGCGGGGAGCGAGGATGGATAGAATCAGAGAGACCCGAGGTGAGCCGGGGAGGAGGCTAGCGGGCGATGGCGGGCGCAAGTGGTGTAGGTCGGTGACGTGCCGACTTTTCAGCCAATCGCATCGCTCAATTCCGGTCCAGCCTTATTCGGGCGCGCCCGATACCGCACCGCGATTATTCAGGCCCGGCTAGGTCACCTACCTACCAGCATAGGTCCGTCTGCCGACTTGGTCCCCTGATCATCCCGTTCTTCAGATAGATGGATAGATAGGAGGTAGTTATAGATAGATGCTACCTATACAGGTATATATACCTAGGTATACCTATATATAGGTGGGTATATATCCTGCCAGCCTGGAGTGGGTGCCCCCTAAGCCAGGTTCCATCAGGGATGAATGCCTTGCCTCGGGGGGGGGGGGGGGGGGGGGTTGATAGGTACCTATCTGGGTACCTTAGGTAACCTGCACACGCACAACGACAACCGTCCCAACCTAACCCAGGAACACCCAAAGCACTGCCTCTAGCAACGGACACGGACTGGTAGGTAAACCTCAAGATTACAGATACCGACACCCGGGCGCGGGCACGTTAACAAATACCCCGTACTCAATCCCCGATACCGCTCCACCCGTCGCCGTCGCCGTCGTCGTCGTCGTCGTCGTCATCGTCAGCTTCCCGCGTATCCCCGCTGGCCGCCTCGAGCTTCCTCTTCTTGCTTCCCGCGATGGCGCCGCGCCGGTTGTGTTCTTTCCGCCTCTCCCACGCGCTCTTGGACGTGATCTTCGTCTTGCTGCCCCTCCGCGACTCGACGCCGCGCTGCTTGAGCCGCTGCTTTTCCTCCTTCCTCACCTTGGGCAGGGAGTCCATCAGCCACTTGGGAATTCCCCCCTCGCCGCCGCCCTTCCCCGCTTGCTTCTCGCTCAGCGCCACTACGTTCGCGATGTTCTTCAGGTATGCGACGTCTTCGGTCGTGTACAAGGTCACCGCGACGCCGCCGCCGTGGCCCGCTCGCCCCGTCCGTCCCACCCGGTGCACGTAGGCCGCCGCCGAGGTGGGCACGTCGTAGTTGATCACTCCGTTCACGCCGCGGAAGTCGATGCCCCGCATGAGAAGGTCTGTCGTGATGAGCACCCAGATCTCGCCAGCTCGGAAGCGAGCGACGATGCCAGCACGTGCCGAATCCGAGAGCGACGAGTGTAGGACCGTGATACGCGACGAACCCCCGGCCTCGATGGCTATGTCGAATTTCAGCTCGCTGTGCAATGCCGTCGCCCGCTCGATCGTCTGCGTGAATACGAGGAAAGGGAGCCGCATCTTCGGCAGAGAATCATCCGACGTCTTGGGGTGCAGCAGCTGGCGAAGCGCAAAAAGCTTGCCTTGCTCGGTAGCCGTGTAAATCAGCTTGTGGGTTATGCTCGGAACTGCCGTGTCTTTGATCCCGACGACGAGGCGGATAAGGGGCACACGTGCCTTGTCGGGCTCTCGAGACTCCACCTGTTCTAGTATCAAGCCCTCGATGTTAGATCCCATGGTCGCGGACCAGCAGGTTAGCCGCAGCGATTTGTTCGTGCAGGCAGACCAGATTCCCAGCGTTTGGTCGCGGAAGAGAGGGTCGAGGAGAGCATCCGCCTCGTCCAAGATTAGCGACTTGACCGTCGGCAGTTTCCTCGACTTTAGAAAATTCCGTAGAAGCAGCGGCGTGGTAACCAGGATATCCGTCTTGGTCGTCGTACTCGCGCTCTGTGACCCACCACCATGGTCTTCATCATCCTCGGAGTGGTCCGCTTCCGGGTCGCTCTGAGAATTCTCCTCCTTGTCGCTGGGGTCTTCGTCGGATTGCCCTTCAACGGGTATCTGCATCCCCTTCTTCATGCCTACAATCTTGACGCCGGTGCCCTGTGCGAGTTTCCTGCCTTCGTTGACGATCTGATGCCCGAGTTCTCGCGTCGGAGCTACCACCACCACCTCCAACACACGCTCTTTCTGCACGACATCGTCGGCTTTTCTACGCAGGATGCCGTCGATCGCCGGTATGAGAAAAGCAACTGTTTTCCCGCTGCCGGTGGGAGCGACCGCCAGGAAATTCACACCCTTCTCGGTCGCCAAGCGGAACTGGTCCGCAGCAGACGACGGTATTGCCCTCTCGGGCTCTAGCAACAGCGGTAGACTGCCCAGCTGAACTTCAGTGGGTATCCGGTAGCCCTGCTTCGAAAGGTTCTCGCCCAACCTGGTCGAGATATTGTAGGTAGACCGGAGCTCGGAGAAAGAAGTCAACGGCCGTGGAAAGAGTTGCTTCTTGCCATCTTTGGTCTTTGGCCTGGCCTCTCTCTTTTTCTTTTTTTTCCCGGGCTTTTCCACTTTTTTCGCCGTGTAGTCGAGAGAGGAGAGGAGGGTGAACTTTAAGCGATGAGACTTCAGGATCTCCCGGACCTGTTCGTCGTCCAGCGCTGGCGTCGCGGGGACCGCCTCGCGCTCGGGCGCATGCGTCGTCGCAAGTTCGGGGATCGGCTTCCTGGCGGGCTTGGGCGCGAAGAAGTTGATGTCGAGATCGTCGTCGGGTTCTACGGTCGGCGCGGGTTGTTGTTCGTCGTCCCTCTTGCGCTTGGTCCCCCTGGTCGGATCATGATAGAGCTGGGGATTGGGCGGCTGGGTAGCGGGTAGGACTTGGGGCGGGCGTAAAGCGGACTTTTTGGTCCCTCGGGATAAGAGCTTCAAGATATCCATGGCTGACGACGGCTCAACGCGAGCGGCTGGGGAGGAAGGCAAGGCGAAAAAAAGCCATATCCCGAGGGCGAAAGGCGGTGTGGAGAAGATTGTGGGCGGTGAAGTTGTTACCGGTTTTCTGCCGGATCTTTCTTTCCTTTTCTTCACCAAAGAAAAAAAAAAGAGCGATAAATCCTTCTTGACCCCGCGGGCTACTATCGAGTTCCACTTTCGTCGGCCTTGTCTTAGTTATCTCTACTCCCCTCCTCTTCAACTCCCTATACAACTATCTACGCAGCAACTCTCTACGCGACCGTCTATACAGAACCATGGCTGTGTACACTGCTGCGACGCATTGCCGCTCGCGACCCCGCTGTCCGTGATTATCCCCGTCCGCATTAGCAGATAAGCCATTTTCCAGACTCGTCGCCGACCGATGAGCGCCCTCGCTAAAGCGCGCCTCCCCCGGCCGGGCGCCCAAGCGATGCGTTGACGCCCGTAGCAACCCGAGACTACATAGGTGGCTGCTGATCCGCAGCGTGAGGCGATCGTGTGTGCGTTCGTGCGTGTGTGTGTGCGTGGAAGACGCACCTGAGCTGATTGGCGCGGGTAATATGCTGGCTAAATACGAGGACTTCTAGTCAGAGAAGTCGAATGTCCCCCTCTCCCCTCTCCTCCCCTCTCCTCCCCTTAGGTGGCTCTCGAGGCGCGCCAGCAGACCCGATAACCCCGACCTCTCGGTTCCACTGCAAGCTGGAGGCGGATCCGACTGGGACGATCCCACGCCACCTACCGCTCGACCTTATAGGCGCATTTACAGGTGCACATTACACCACGCTACGATGAATCGACGACTGCCCCGCTGTCACCTATCACCCTGCTTAGAAGCTCTCACGAGACCATTGGCAGTACTATCAGAGCTGGGTCCCTAAGCGCGTTGGTCGACGACCGGACATCTTTTTTTTCCTTTCGAGTCTTCTGATCTGGGCTCCTTTTATAACTTGGTTGGCTCTTAGACGTATCTTCTCGAAGCCTCCGTCCTAGATTACTCGAGTTCTGCGGTCGAAAGGCGACAATACGGCATCCGTCTACGGTTAAGTTAGTCGGCCTTCCTTCAGCTATCTATCCTACGTCTCTTAGCGAAACATACCTACGTACACTAATCGGAACGATCTTGCCCTGCTATTTTGTCTATTCCTCGTATACTTTACATCCGCTATAATTACCACCGTGTGTCTGCTCAGTTAATAATCGCACGAAAAACAAACCGCCATGGACCCCAAGTCGGCAAGCGTGGGTTACCTTCTCCGGAACATGGGTTGTCGACCAACTCTTCTCTGACGCGACTCCCAGAACCTCTCCTTCATCCTCAACAGGCCCCATGACGTGCAGTTCTCGGACCGGCCCGTACCCGCCATCCAGAGCCCCCACGACGTCCTCGTCGCCGTGAACTACACCGGCATCTGCGGCTCCGACGTCCACTACTGGGAGCACGGCGCCATCGGCCACTTCGTCGTCAAGGACCCCATGGTCCTGGGCCATGAGTCCTCCGGCACCGTCGTCCAGGTCGGCTCCGCCGTCTCCGCTCTCAAGGTCGGCGACCGCGTCGCCCTCGAGCCCGGCTACCCCTGCCGCCATTGCGGCCCCTGCCTCGGCGGCCACTACAACCTCTGTCCCGACATGCGCTTCGCCGCCACGCCGCCGTACGACGGCACCCTGACCGGCTTCTGGACTTCGCCCGCCGACTTCTGCTACAGGCTGCCCGACCACGTCTCGCTGCAGGAGGGGGCCCTGATTGAGCCGCTCGCCGTCGCCGTCCACATCGTGCGCCAGGCCACCGTGACGCCGGGCCAGTCGGTCGTGGTGATGGGCGCGGGTCCCGTCGGCCTGCTCTGCGCAGCGGTGGCGCGGGCCTTCGGCGCCTCCACCGTCGTGTCGGTGGACATCGTCGAGTCGAAGCTCGCGTTCGCGCGGTCCTTCTGCGCGACGCACACCTACCTGAGCCAGCGGGTCGCGCCGGACCAGAACGCGGCCAACATCCGACGCGAGGCCGGGCTCGACGCCGCCGGCGGTGCCGACGTCGTCATCGACGCGAGCGGTGCCGAACCCAGCATCCAGGCAAGCCTGCACGTCGTCCGCACCGGCGGCACCTACGTCCAGGGCGGCATGGGACGCCCCGACATCACCTTCCCCATCATGGCACTCTGCCTCAAGGAAGTCACGGCCAAGGGCAGCTTCCGCTACGGTAGCGGCGACTACAAGCTCGCTGTCGAGCTCGTCGCCACCGGCAAGGTGGACGTCAAGCGCCTTATCAGCAGCGTCGTCGCCTTCGCCGAAGCCGAGGACGCCTTCAAGAAAGTCAAGCAGGGCGAGGTTATTAAGATCCTCATCGCAGGTCCGAACGAGGAGAGCGCTGTCACTGTACCCGTCGCCGCGTAGACGAGGGTCGGGGAACGAAGAAGGAGAGGAAGAGGAGGGGCAAGATCAAATGGTTCTTAGACCCTCGGGGCCCTCTTTATAGTGTGATTTGAGGGAGCGGATAGGCCGGATAGACGGGGTGTTGGTGGGTGTTACGGATAGGGCGGCTGGTGTTCAGGACGTAGGTAGCGTTTGGGGCAAAAAAGCGTATGCGGCTGCGGAGTGCTGGTGATGTTAACGGCGAGGATAGGTAGTTTTACCATATTATGAACGCGTTTAGACTAGAGCGTGCGTGGCCTACTCAGCAATTTATGTGCACGCGCGTAGCTATTCAGACCAAAGTCAATCTTATTAAGGGCCTCTACGGGTACTCTCTAGTCTCGTTTATCTACTCGCTGTCGCCATCACACAACGCAAGCCTACAAGCCAGTCCATCGCATCATCCCTCCCCTCCCAACATCTACCCGCCTTAGGCACTTACTAGTCTATACCATCGTCAAATACCGCATCGTAATTACAGTGTCCTCGCGCGCGCCCCGGACTCCAACCCTCACAGTCTCACCCGGCACGATATCGATGAGGTTGTCCTCGAAGACCACGCTCTCGTCTTCACATTCGAGAGCGACACCTTTGACGGGCACCTCAGCCGACACCAGCGCGGCGGCGCGGTCTGCGCTCAGCTCTGCGCGCAGCTGCGTCGGCCGCGCCAGATGCAGGTACTTCAGGGGTTCGGGCCAGTTGACGTACCGAGCGAGCGGCTGTGCGACGTCGTCGCTATCCGTGGTGCTAGGGATGAGGTATGCCGCGACGACCGTGCGTGCTGCGCCGATGCCATCTGAGTCCCGCAACGGCTCCGGCACGTCAAACTCGGCGATCTCGGTCGACCGGTTAGGCGGCAGCGACAGGCGGCGCGCGACCGTCGCGACGTGGGTCTCGCGCCCCGTCTCGACGTCCCACGTGCGCACGACGCAGTCGACGGGTCCCGCGTCGGCCGTAGGCAGGAGGCTGCTAGCCCAGACCTCAACACGGACGCTAACGTCGATGTTCACGCGCGTATAGTTGTCCCGCGGCTTTCGGTGCTCGCGGCGTGCGATGCCGACCGTGACGGGCGCGAGCTCGCGGCGCACCGTAAAGTAGGCGAGCTTCGGCCGCAGGTAATAGTCGCAAATGGCCCAGCTCGTGACGGGCCAGCAGTCGTTGATCTGCCAGACGAGAGCACCCGCGCAGTACTCGCGGCCGGGTCCCTTCCACTGGCGTCGCCAGAGCCGGTACGCCGACGCGAGGCACTCCCCCTGCATAAGCTGCGTGCAGTAGACGAACTGCTCGAGGGGGTCCGGCGCGTACCGCATGTTCTCAACGAGGTACAGGGCGATGCGGCGTTCATGGCCGTCCGCCTTGTTGTGGAAGTCGACTGTTGATGACTGCGGGTACCGGTCCGGGTCGTCACGGCCCAGCGGTAGGAATGCATCGATCGTCCGGACGGACGGAAACGCCTCCATACCGAACTCAGACACGAACCGCCCCACCAGCTTATCAAAATTTTGGTACTTCTCTTGAGACCCGTGCCACACGTTCCACTGGTGAATGTCGCCGATCGTCGGGTCGCGCGTGTCGACCCCTCCCCACGGGCTACCCGGGTGGTAGTACACCGCCGGGCACAGTTCCCGGCACGCGTCTGGCAGGATCTTCTCGTAGATGTAGCGCGCCGGGAAGTCTGTCTTGAGCCAGCTCTCGGAGTCGGTGCTTTCTTTGTCCCACGTAAGCTTAAGGGACTCGGCGACTTGGTAGTCCTCGTTGTTGCCAGCCCAGATGACGATGCTCGGGTGGTGCCGCAGCAGCTTGACGTTCTCTTCCGCCTCGCGCTTGATCGAGGCAAGGAGCTCCGGCCAGCCGGGGTAGTTGCCGCAGCCGAACATGAAGTCCTGCCACACTAGGATGCCGAACTCGTCACAGGCGTCGTAGAAGGCCTGTTCCTCGTAGATGCCGCCGCCCCACACCCTAATCATGACTTGGTTGCCGTCCGCTACTAGTTTGACCCAGTCATAGTATCTCTCCCTCGTGATCCGCGGAACAAAGTTGTCCGCCGGGATCCAGTCGCTGCCGCCGCAGAAGATGGGAATGCCGTTGACTTGGAAGAAGAAGGACTTACCAGGCTCGCCCGTGAGGGGTCTCTGGATGAGCTCGGCCTTCCGTAAACCGACCTTCTTCGATACGCCATCTACGTCCTGACTATCTTCTTGCAGCGTAGCCGTAATAGTATAGAGAGGTTGCTTTCCATATCCGACAGGGTACCAAAGTTCCGGATTCGGAATAGCAAACGTAACGCTGGAGCCGGCGTCCACGGTCTGGCTCGCAACCGACGTGCCGTTCAGCGAGATATCAAACCGCACTTTTGAGGCCTCGCCCTCTACGGAAGCATGCGTGGTCACGGTCGCGGACTTGAGAGAGTCGGTGACGTCGATGTCGAACCAGAGGTCGCTAAGCCGCGACTCGTATACGTCGAGGTTGATCGGCCTCCAGGGGCCGCAAGTCAGTAGCGCTGGACCCCAATCCCAGCCCTACGCAGGTCAGCGATTGTGCAAATTCCCCCACCCACTCACCTCCCTTACGCACCCAATGATATTGCGATTTCCGGACGGCCAATCTCGAGTTGTCACCGTTCCAGCAGCTCCACTTGTGGTCGGGATATTTCTCGACTAGCTTCCAACCTCGCAGGTACGCGCTGTCGAAGGTGATGACCAGCTCGTTCTCGGTGTCATCCTTCTTCAGGTCGGCGGTGACGTCCACACGCTCGGGGATGAACATGTTCTCCGACTCGAGGATAGTCTTGCCGTTGAGCACGACAGTCGCGAAGGTATCGAGCCCGTCAAAGGCCAAAACCGCCTTCGCAGTGCTCCCGACTGCGGGGCTGGCGAAGGTGGTCCTATAGATCCAGGCTGCCTCGCCAACCCATTGGACTTCGAGCTCGTTCTTGCCGATGAACGGATCCGGAATGAGCTTGTTGGCAAGCAAGTCTAAGTGGACATTGGTGGGAAATTGGGCGACCGGCAAGAAGTTGCTGTCCTCCTTGCCGGCTTGCTTAAATTCCCAATTCTTGTCGATGGGAACCACGGTGCGAGGCGCCATCTCGTGCCGGAGGGGGTTCGAAGTACCAGGGCAGCTCCTCGGGGACTTGGCAACAGGAGGAGAAGATACGGTAAGGACAATTCGAGGATGAGAAGACCAGGAACAGGGGGTCTGTCGACGCTAGATTTGCCGATTCCCAGCCGGAGGCCCTAAAGTAGACGCGGGTTGAGAAGGAGGGAGGAGGAGGATGGGAAGGAAAAGAAGTATGAGGCGATGGGGGGAGGGGGGAGGGAGTCCAGCCAGCGAGCTAGAGTTTTTGGCAGTATTCCCTAAGCGAACGAACGGCTTGCATGTAGTGACGGAACTAACATATGATCGTGTCTGGTCCCGACAGCAGTATGGCGGAGAGTAACGAGGGAGACAAGGGGGAGAGGACGGGCTAGGGGGCAATCGTCTATTTCTTCCCGGAGTGCGGCACGAGTAGCTCGATACCTACCTGCCGGTGGATGGATTTTCGCTAAGGGAATAGAGTCGCCGACGAGGGTTAGGAGAGAGGGGGACAGGGACGAGAGGTAACCGGCCAGGAAAGGCCAACACGGGTTTACAACGTACCTGCTTACATACAACCCGCCTGCAACCGGCCTGCAACCCGCCTACGTCGGTGCCTGCCGAAGCAAAGTGAGGATCAAGTTCGAGGTAGGTACGTGCGATGCGTGCAAGTAGGATGTGACGTAATACCTTCAACCGACCTACCTAGGTAGGTACCTAGGTATGGGAAGGTAGACTACAACAACTACCTAAGGTACCCGAGGTACCGAGCCGGAGAACGTAAGGCTAATAGGTACCTACCAACTTACCGTAGGTACTTATTTGAATGGAAGGCGTGGGTACACTACCTCCTGAACAACCATCGGATGCGCCAAAGGAAAGAGCAGTGGAAGACAGTCTTCCGAGTGCATCCCGCCTTAGGTACCTACCGTATGTATATACCTGCCAGGAGGTACTTCCTATGTGGCACCACGACGCGGAGCAAACCCCTCCGTCATACCTATCGGGTTAGCCGCGTGCTGCTTTACGGCGCGAGAGCCGCCCCGGGAGGCACGATGGGGCTAAGGTGCCGCGTCCTTACCTAGGTACCTATAGGTACCTACCTATGTACCTAATGCTTAGAATGCTAAAAGTACAAGACACCTACAAGCCCCCTACTAACCTACGTGTACCTAGGTATCTAGGCACCTATATGATATATCCGATGGTGCTCGCCGGACGCCTCCGCTAGCGATATCCTATGATCTACGCCTTTCCCCAACGCCGCGTCGCTAACGGGGTTGACTCGATACGAACAATGGCCAGGGAATTAGCTCCTTGGTACCGACGTGCGGGGGGGAGCCGGAGGAGGGGGGGGAGGAGAGCGTTCTGCCATCGGACGTGGTGGCCAGTCAGTCCACTCTCGCTTGGGACATACGTATCGACTGTTGACAGCGACGGTGCCTGCGAGCTGCGGTGCTCGATAGCGACGGGGTGGTCGATATTAGCGTATGCAGGCCGGCCGCGGGGGCAGAGGGACAGGTTCCTAGGAGGGCACGCGGTGGAGGGAAAGCCGCCGAGGCGCACCATGGGGGCCGAAGTGGAAGGACGCCCGCCGAAAAGGACGGAGCGTCACACCCCAGACCCGTCCCTTTCGGCTAGAGAGTATCGGCATTCGCGAGGCCCGATGATGCATCTGCTAATCTATCATACTCACGAACAGGGTGCGTAGGAGGGACGACGCGCGCGCGCAACCCTTGCGCCTCAGCGCCGGGGACGGAATCAAGTGAAAAGCAACGTAGGTATCATCATCGTCATGTAGCAAGGTCTAGCGAATTCCGACACACCAATTGACTCCTCGAGCATATCGTCAAGGTGTCCTTCCTCTCATCTCAACCTCTCTCCCCACAGTACTCTCGCTCATAGATATTAGTAGTACGACCAGCTGACGGCCTGTGCCCCCTCCTTTACCCCGTCTGCTTCTCGGTTTCCCCGTCCCAATCGTCTCGTCCGAGCAGAGCAGGGAATAGCGGCGATAGTCGCGATAAAAGAGCCCGGACCGATCTCAGCAACAGTTTCCCCTCCCGCGTCCCCGGTTGAGGGTGAACACCTCTTCCCACTCCCGCATTCCCCAATTCTGGGCGCGGCTCTTACCCCTGCGCCTCAACCTCACGCCGCCACCGCCGCCGAGGCCGGCGGTCTCGTCTGCGGTGATCGAGCTCTTGATGCTGGCGCCGTCGCTGGCCCCCGCGTTCCACATGCCCCCGTCGCCGTACTGGATGCCGCTCATCGGATCGTCCGGGTCTATCTCGCCGAGCTCGATCCTGGTCAGGATCATGCGCGCCAGGCGTCCAAAGATCTCGTCGACGCCCTCGCCCGAGAAGGCCGACACCTCCATCGTCACCGGCACGTTGACCCCGCTCGCCCAGTGCGACGCCTCGGTCGACGACACCTCCCGGCCCTCCGGCGCCACCGTCGCCTTCATCTGCGTACCTAGGCCGGCGCTCGTGGTGCCGGCCGACGTGCTGTAGGGGAAGGACGAGCTCATACTCGAGGGGGTAGGGGGAGGAAGCGTCGTGTCGACGAGGTCGTTGGCGAGGTCAAGCTTGTTTCCCACGAGTATCATGGTCAGGTTAGGGGACGCGAGCGCTCGCGCGTCATTGAGGAAAGGCTGCAATGCCCGGAACGAGTTGTGCGAGGTGATGTCGTAGCATAGAATCGCGCCGGCAGCGCCTCGGTAGTAGGATCGAGAAACGGAGCGGAATCGTTCGGTGCCTGCGGTATCCCACAGCTACAGAGCAAGCGAGCAAGTAGTATTAGCCCGTCTGCGGTGGCGCGTCTTGAGAAGGTTGGCACGTAGACGTGTAGCTATATATAGGTATAGGCATGGACGGCAATACCTGTAGCTTTATGCGTTTTCTTCGCGCACCGGTGCCGACTTTGATGATCTTGCTCGCGAATTCGACGCCGATGGTTTGCGAGGACAGGACCCGCCATTCGTTCTTGACGAAGCGGTGCAGGAGACACGACCTATAAGAGGGCGGAGGATTGCGCCGGCGTCAGCCTGTCAGAGCTCGGGAATCGCTTCCGCCTGCGTCCGGATCCAGACGTTCTCGCCCGGATCGTTGGGGGGATTGGTCGACCACTACACTTACTTTCCCGCTCCGCTCGGTCCCAGCAAGATGATCTTGGCGAGGTAATCGTACATGCTCCCGAGTTCCTAGCGGCGGGCGCGCGGATTAGCTGGGAGTCCATGCTGTCCCGCTCGTCCCGGGCCTTATCGCATACCTGGTTGCCGCCGGTGCCCGAGCTCGCCTCGCTGGCGGCCGACGAGCGGCGCGGACGCGTCATCGTTTCTGGTTCTGGCTCCCTTCGCCTACGAACAAAGCGCCCCCTCGCGGCGGAAAAAGACAGAGGCGCGATGTCGAAACCTGGAGAGAGGCGAAAGCAAAGGTGGCAGCAGGGAAGGACAAGAAGAACAAGGTAAGGCAGGATGGGCCGAATGGGCCGAGATGGATGTGGATGTGAGGGGGTTTTGATGGACGCAGCGATAAGTCGCAACTCGCCAGGCTCGCCTTACTGTACCGATGGAAAACAAGGCCGGAGCGCGATTAGTTTCGTTTCGTCCCTGCTTATCAGCCGGGTCAACTTCATGCTGATCACCTGCCCTTCTAGCCTGCCAGCCACGGCCGGTCACAGCTGGTCACAGCTGGTCACATCCAGCCACATCCAGTCACGGGATATGAGTAGACCCGCCGCCGAGCATCTCTTATCAAGCAACAACCCAATGGTACCTAAGTACTCGATCACAGACAATCATGGATTGAGAATCCTCCAACAAGACAACAGGTGCCGAGGTTTGTGAGCGTGCCCGGGGGGGCGACCCGAAGGTAGAATATATAACAATTGTAGGCACTTTAGGCTACCTAAACCTGGATGCCAGTGACAGGTACCGAAACCCAGGTACCCGTCTCTCTTCCTTACAGGCTACAGACCACTTCTGCTCACCCTCTCCTCGCCGCTCCGGGAGGGGGGTTTTCCCTCGTTTCCACGAACCTCAAATCGGATACTCGCATCAATTCCCCCTGCGTCGGGGTGCCTACCTACCTAGATCATATGCTATCTCGCAACACCTCTGCCGAATCAGCATGAAGATCGCGGGCAGGACATTCGTAGTTTCTGGTGGGTACGTTGAATGTCGTGTTTCCTCCCACCAACTAGTCCCCTCCTGGTCGCTGACAGCTACCTAAAAATAGTGCCTCCGGCCTTGGCCAAGCCTGCGTCGAGGAGATCTGCCGCCAGGGCGGGCACGCCGCGGTTCTGGACGTGAACGAGGAGAACGGGGCTGCCGTAGTCCAGTCTCAGCCTGCGGGCGCCGCGCGCTTCTTCGCCTGCGACGTCCTCGAGGCGGACAGCGTTACCGCCGCCGTCGACGGCGTCGCCGCCTGGGCTCGGGAAACCCGCAAGCCCCTTGGCGGTGTCATCCCCGCTGCTGGCGTTGGGAGCCCGGCCACTGTGCGTAGAAGATTATCCCCCACCCTCACCCCAATCTAGAGATTCTCAGAGAAAGAGTACGCGAGTGCGAAAGAAAGACCAGCGAGCTGACCGCACCAGATCCTCGACCGCGACGGTGCCCCCTTCGACATGGACACCTTCAACTTCGTGGTCGACATCAACCTGCGCGGTACCGTCGACCTCGTGCGTCAGTGCGTCGCCTACCTCGCCAAGGCCGACCTCGACGGGAACCCCGACGGCGAGCGCGGAGTCGTCGTCATGGTCTCCTCCGTCGCTGCCTACGACGGCCAGCGCGGCCAGGTCGCCTACGCCGCGAGCAAGGGCGCCGTGGCCTCTATGGCCCTCCCCATGGCCCGCGACCTGTCCCGCTACGGCGTCCGCTGCGTCGCCGTCGCCCCCGGCATCTTTGACTCCCGCATGACCGCCGCCATGCCCCCAAAGCTGCTCACCGGCCTCGCGGCCGCCACCGAATTCCCCCGCCGTGCCGGCCAACCCCACGAGTTCGCCCAGCTCGTCCGTCAGATCATAGAGAACCCGATGCTCAACGGCACCGTTATCCGACTAGACGGCGGGTTGAGGATGCCGAGCAAAATCTAAACGAAGAGGGAGGTGTATTAGGTCAATGCAATCGTGTAGGGGTAGTCCAGCGTGAACAAACACTTCATATTTCGTCAACCGAACCAGTAGTTACATTACAAAGGAGTATGCGTCTTCAGAGGGTCGGATTGCCACCACGATCTGTATACTCTATATTAATACCTGCGAAACTAGACTGTACCTTTGCCTTTAGTACATTTATATGTCCACGTCAACCACAACCCATACTTAAAAAAGGCTGACAGCAGTCATGAAGCACACGCCACTAGCAACCTGGCCACGCCTCTCATAAGAGCACCTCTCGTTCTGGCCCTACGTAGGCACGGGGTATGCGAAAGCATCAGCTGCAGTGGGTGCTATAAGCGAAGCTACTCCCCCGTTTACTTCAGGCGAGCGGCGGTTCTGTCCCCAACGGGGGATGGGCGAGCGTGCCCTATAGGTGCGCTTAGTGTCAGGCGCGGGCGACCTCTCTCGTCCTCGCCGAGTACCGTAGGGACGCAGGCTCTCTGTCATCAAACCCTGTGGTAGTACCGTGATATGCTTAGCAGTGGCATTCGCCGTCCCGTGCAAGCCACTTCCCAAGGAAAAGCCCTCCAGGAACGCCCGAGAAGCGGTCGAATCCGCTAGGACCCGTGGGCTGATACCAATCGGATCGCCGTACAAGGCCTGGATACGGCGAATTATGCGTGCAGCCTCGTCATCGTAGCGAGGAGGGTAATAGAGGTGCGGCGGTTGGAGCGCAGGGGCAGGGGCAGGGACAGGGCGGTTCGTGTAATCATCGCCACGACGGCTGTGGGCACGGAAATCTTCATATCCAGTCAGCGGCCTATGGCCCTCGATAACCATGACCTTCTTTGCCGCCTCAGGGGAGTAGGGAAGTTTCAAGACCTCGACGAGTCCTCTCTCAGCAATGTACTCCTTCGCAGCGGCCCGCGAGTCGAAAATGCGATTGTCTTCAATTTTCAAGCCGTTTAGATTAACTTCACACGTATAGCCTCTTCCCGCCACCATACGTTCATCGAAGTGAGGATTGAAGTGTCGCTTCTGGCACTCCTGGGACAGCATCTGTGCAACACTCCTAGCCGTCTTCCCACCCGGCCCGGCGCTGTTCGTCTTGGCACCATCAGTATAACGAGCACAAGCCTGGGTGCCAGCGCCGGCTGCAGGGTCAGGGCCGGCGCGCATACCCAACACGGGCAACGCGAGGGCCGTCAAGCGAGCTTGCATAGCGGATTAGCGGAGTGGCACCACCGTAGATAGTGAGCTGATCGCTGCAGGTGTCGCGATGCTTACAATCGCCGGGCGCACCCGGGGGGTCAAAACGGGGGCAGCCAAGACCCACCGCTCTAGGAATAAACGCATCATCGAACGAAGTGCCATCGCCTCGCCGGATAGAAGGCTCATTCAGCGCTGACATAATCATCTGTCGGAATCGATCCTGGCCAGACCCCGCAACCGGAAAAGGCCCCCGGGCAAGGGAACTATAGCTGGGGAATGTACGAGGCCGGCGGTCTCCAGCAGGGGATGCAAGGGAGGATGGCTGAAATGGGGGCACCGGCCGCAGCAACTCGAATCGGCTGGCAGCGGCGGGCTGGGGAGGAGGAGGCAGTTTCGGGTCGCCTCCGAGCGAGTCGTCGGTGGAGAGCTGTCCCGCTGGGTTGCGTGAGGCCAAACGTCCAGATGTCAGCTCACGACAAGACGAGCCTAAGGCAGAAGGGAACAGAGCGGAGGGAGGCCGATGTGACCAGTACGATTCTGGGAAATGAAGACATTACCTGCCCCCGGCATTTCCGGCTTAGGAGTCTTGTCTCTCTGGTGATCCATGTCTCTCTGGTGATCCATGTCTCTCTGGTGATCCATGCGGCCAGCCACGGACGAGACGTACGAGAAGGACATGCGGTGGCGGAGCGAAGACCAAGAGATGAATAGGTTTGGCGGAGTGGACGGCGATCTCTCTACGCCTTGGCACGAGATTCAAGGGGGTAAAGGGAGGGGGCATGAAGGACGAGATGGATTCCTCGAACGGTAAACGCTTTGAACACGGCCGCGGCCGGGCTTGTATGAGTAAGGAGCCGCCGAGGAAGGCGCAGGTTGAGGCGCGGGACCAATGCGTGGTGGAACATCGCGGAAACCACAGGTTGCCTACCTTCGGTACACCGTCGAGACGACAGACTACATAGAGGGGGGCGGTGTGCACGAGGTACCCCCTACGTACCTACCTGTCGGGTTTCCTGTCCGCACCGGCGTTGCCTTCCCTTGATCGTGCGGATGGGCGGCTGGGCCGGGTGGGAAGGCGCCTCCTGGTGCAGATGCCCCCCAAAAGAGAGACGCGTCACGGGCAGGTGTTAGCCAGCTACCTGCCTAGGAGGTAAGGCAGCTTCATCGGCCGCTCATCGGCCACTCATCGGCCACGTAAGCGTGTGCCCAGGTACATGATGCCCGAGACGGGACGGGAGATGAGCCGAGGAGACGAACCAGATCCTGGCTGTGAACTTGCTCCAGGTCGTCGGCGATGGGCCGGGTAGACAACTAGAATAACAACCGACACATGTCTGTACGTACACGCCATCTGCGCACGGATGCTCGATCGCTGCCTCTGCATCGATTCTCTACGCCGGGCACATCAATGCTATATGGTATCACCCCGGCTACTCTCTCATCCGTTCAGTACCCCGTGTCCGCGAACACTGCCTCGAGCGCCTCGCCCTTCTCCCAGCGCAGTATGTTTTCCACGTGCGTCTCGTACCATGAGGCGATGGTGTCGCCCTCGACGTACCCCATGTGCGGTGACAGGACGACGCGGCTGCGGCCCTGCTCACCCCACCGCGTCGTCACCCACTCGCTGTCGCGCGGCAGGGGCTCGATCTCGAATACGTCGAGCGCCACGCCGCGGATCGCACCGCGCCTTGCCACGTCGAGCAGGTCTGCCTCCACCACGAGCGGCCCGCGCGCCGTGTTCACGAACAGTGCCGAGGGCTTGAGCCGCCCCAGGTCTGCTGCCGTGATCAGCCCGCGCGACCGCTCCGACAGCACGAGCTGCACTGTCACCACGTCGGCCGTCGCGAATAGCGCGTCGCGGCCCACCGTCGCAAACGTCTTGCCGTCAGCGCCCTCGACCGGCAGGCCGACCGCCTGTGCCCTCTCGTCCGCCCTCTCCTGCGTCAGGTTCGGGCTCCACGCGACGACACGCATGCCGAAAGCGAGGTGCATGATGCGCGCGACCGAGGCGCCGAGGCGCCCGAGCCCGACGACGCCCAGCGTCTTGCCCGCGAGCCCCGTCGCCGCCGTCGTCTGCCACCCGCCGGCCTTGACCACCGCGTCGTCCTGCGGCACGTTGCGCGCGAGCGCGAGGATCAGCGCCACGCAGTGCTGCGTCGTGCTGTCGGGCTCGCGGTGCCCCGGCCGCGCGGCCGTGCCGATCACGGGCACCCCGCGCGCCGCGAGGGCCCTCACGTCGAGCGCCGCGTTGCGCTTACCCGTTGTTAGCAGCAGCTTGAGGTTCGGCAGCCGGCCGACGAGCTCTGCTGGGAACGGCGTGCGCTCCCGCATCGTCGCTGGACGTCGCGCATTCGTTCGTTAACAACATGAACACCTAGGTCTTCCCCCCCCCGTTGGGAGACGCGCGATGGGCGAGAGGAGCTTACAGATGATGCCGAACGGCTCAAGACGCCTAGCTAGGGCATCCTTGATATCCTGGGGCGTGTCGGGGTGGTTGTAAGGAAGGAGCGTGTCCGTGAAGACGGTTACCTCGTATCCGGCGGCCCGGAGCTTATCAAACGGCTTCTCGGACAACTTTTGGTAGTCGTCTAAAACGGCAATCTTTGGTAGGGCCATTATGAAGCTGGTGGTGTCCGCTTAGATTTAGCTGCTGTATTGTTGAATCGGACATGAGCTTATAGAATGATGTCAGCCTTGTGAGTAGTAGCATCACGAATCTCGTAGTTTGGCATGCGGTAGTAGGTTGAAGACGTCACCGACGAAGGGAATCACGCTTGTACAGGATTTACCAATCGCTTCTCGACGGCTTCTTGGCGGCATCTAGTCATCTAACGTTACCTCATTCTCGGCCTTTTCGGACATGCTGACTTGTTCGTTCATAAGAAAAAATATATTATTAAAGATGGTCACGTTTTGCATTATTCTAGCAATGAATATTCTAGCAATGAAACCTGTTATTACGCGTCTCGTTCCGGTCGACTTGGCGCTCGGACAAGGATTCTAGAATTTTCAAAACATGGTATCATCCTAGAACATGCATCGGATAAGAGAATGTGTAAAACTCGGTGAGAGTCAAGATTTCTCCATATTTACTTAAAAGCCTACATCGTGCAACCTCTGCTTGTGCGTCACCAACCTCAGCTGGCATAAGCGGCAAGGTTATGCAGCTTCAAGCAGAGAGCTAAGTTGGAAGATTGCAGACTAAGCTAGCAAATCAAGGTCAAGGTTGACGACGACGCCCTCGCTTGCAAACAAGACTATAATGCATTTCACGTTGTAATTAACCTACTAATTATCGTCGCCCACTCGGTGAGCCCGGCATAGAATCACGATAGATAGAGAAGAGATCACGAGTAGAGTAAACCGACGTGTCCAACTGGCTAGTCATAATAGTTGGTACGCAGTAACTTGCAAGGTCGAGTGTTCAATTTCTTCATTCGCGTCGGCGACGCCGGATGTCTCCTTGACCTGCACTTGGTCGAGGTCATCTCCATAATCTCACGGCCCCCCGCTTCTTTCTTATTTGTACCTTGTTGCCGATGAATAACTAGCCCTCTTGCTTTGCGACCCACGTTTTCTATTTTCAACCAACTCGCTCCCACCTCTCGGTTCTTCTTCCGCTATCCGGCGCCCCGACCGCCAGCTATCCGCGGAGACAGCCAGTTCAGAAAGAAAGAAGATCTAGACACTCGACAAACATGCTCAGCTACGGTTGCCCGTCCTCCAACTCTCTAATCGAACCCCCTCCTCATCCTCCTGCCTCGGGCGACTATTTCCTCACGCACGGACAGAACGCATCCGACCCGGCCGTCACCGCTTGCTGCGCCCCAAACAGTGTGCATTTGATAGACTACTGTTACCTCTGGTGCGAGGTCCCTCAAAGTTTTGCGAACGACAGCGTCAATGCAGCCGCTTTTCAACTCTGCGTAGCCAACCATGGAGGCGAAGCTACCGTCGTTGTAGAAGGAAGGGTAGCCACAAGTAACGCTCTGAGGACCGCGGGTATAGCGGGATTACTCACGGCAGCGATATTATTGAGTTTTCTATGTCTCAACTGAGGGTAGAGTCGAGATAGACACATCACGGTCTGTGGACCTATTGCAGAGAAAGTAACAAGCATTCGTGGCTTATTAGAAAGCCCTGATTAAGAAATACTAGAAGTGGCTTCTTAACTCACCGGGGTTCCAGGCGAGTGCGGAAGGGGGAGAAGAGAAGGCGTGAAGGCGAACAACTTCGTGTTTTTACTAGAATAGAAAATGCACTATGGGAAGAAGAACAGGAATAGAGAATGAGAAGCCGAGAAGATCTGTAACAAAAAGCAACCTATTGAAACATTTACATAACAGCCTGGATGTTGACAGCTGTAAAGCTAGATACATTTGCTCTCTGAGGTTGACGAGAGTGTGAATAGATGAATATATATGATCTCGTGCAGAGATAGAATGTCTCTGAGACCTTGAAAACTACTAAGCACCTCACAACATCTTTGTATACAATCAGGCTTAAGTAGGTTTCTCTGATGATGAGCACAAATCTCGTCAAGGACCCCGTTGAGGACCTATGAGTAATCAAGGCGCCCGGACTCAGACTCATATAAGTAGATCAGACGATCAAGAAAGCACGAGCGCGGAAGCTGAAAGCGATTCCCCGTGAAGACAGTGGCGATCGATGTGACGATTATCTGAAAGTATTAAGCTGCTCGTGCACGAAGAACTGCTTCTAGGCGAGGCGGTCTACGTTGACTTGAGAATTTCCGACGAATTTCCCTCTAGGGTTTTCAATATACTATTTCCTGCATATTTATCATATTCTCCTTGCTGCATCCAGCTCCTCTTTGAGTATGAAGATTTGAATATAAAAACACCATTATCTGGCAATTCTCAATCGTTTTACGAAACCTCATGATTGCAGTAGAGGAGAGAGAGAGAGTTACTTTCCAATGCCAACCAACGCTTCGCGAGCCCGGCCGGCACGTCCGCGGACGCCGCCTTGCCGACAAAACCGGAAGAGACCGGCCGAAGCATCACCTCTCAGAACCCTCAGAACCACTGCGCGGACGCCCGGCGCCTCCCCCGACACCGCCAGGTCCTTTGTAAACACCGGAGAGTATGTCTCACAACCAGCGATAGGCAAGAAGCGCCGGAAACTCGCGCGGTCGCAGGTAAACGAAACTTCTTTCACACTGGATATTAAGCAACGCATAATCGTTAACTCTCGGAAGCACGAGTCAATTCACATATGGGTCGGCCGAGACACCGGGGAAAACTGCGAGGCCCTCGCAACCGCCACCGACCAGCAGATAGCTACAGACGGGAAACAAATCCCAACCTATTCAACGAGCGTAGCCGGCACGTCTTACCGCCTACCCTCGCGGGACGAGCGGCAGCACTGGACGAAAGCAACGCCAAACCAGCTTCCCTTAACCTTAGCCGCCGCGGCGGTATCTGGACTCTCCGCTCATAAAAAGAAACACAAAGGCGTCTTAGTATGTCTGCCAGATGACCATGCATATAGGGCAGTCACTGCTACGACGATGAAGGCTATCCTCGTTTCGATGTTTCATATCAGGCAGGATGACCTCGGGACGGCTCGACCAAACAGGTGCGGCTGGATGATCGGTGTTCATAACGACGGAGCGCGTCAGCTGTTGCTAGACAAGGGCCAGGGCGTGGATGGATTCCGTATTGTCCTGGCTACCAAATGGACGACATACGTCGTGGCGGGCATACCAGGATTGCTACTGGCATCTGACGCCCGAGACGCGATTCAGGCAGCGGTGGGTGCTGCGCCGATTTTCTGCCACCCTTCCAGATACCAACCCAACCCGGGCTCGCAAGAGTGGATCGTGTACTTTGGCGATAACGTCCGGCCTGGCTTCTGTGTTCTCGGCTCACAGCCAGCCCGGAAAATGGAGCAGACCATCACCCAATGCCGCGGATGCCAAGGGTACCACGACTCGCGTGGGTGTAAACGGCGACAACGTTGTGAGATATGCGGCAGGCCATTCCATGGGTCTTGCAATGCTCCTAATCAGTGTGCCAACTGCAGAGGGCCGCATATATCTACCACCATCGCTTGTCCAGCGCGTCCTCGGAAGGTGGATGGGAAAGTAATACGACCGTCCAGGAAGCAACTCGCAGCGATTAGACATCTAGGAGAGCGCGCTTACGAGGCTATGTATGGACAAGCTACGGATGTGCCAACGCAGCAGGCAGCCTCCTCCGACCAAGGTAATGCCCCAGCCTGAGTAGCGTTGACGGAGAGCTAACACATCGAAATAGAGACAACAAGTCAAGGATCCATCGCATCCAGCATCAGGAAAACAGGATGCTGGCTAAGTCAACGTGTCAAGCAACCCCGAATAAGGGGTATGCAGGCACGGAAAGACGCACGCACTCTACGTATTATACAAATTAACGTGAACAAGAATTCAGACACAGAGAACAATGTCCTCATACAGGCACATAGCTGTGATGTAGACGTGGTGCTTATCCAAGAGCCGAAGATCATAGTATCGGCCCGGACACGGAAACGAAGAATCTGCGGACACCCAAGCTACACTCTGTTCACTCCAGTCGAGGATGTTGAACGTGAGCGTCCCCAAGTGCTGACATACGTCCAAAAGCGGCATAGGTCGAAAACTACACAATGCAAGCCGTTTACGGACCCGGCCCTGTGTGTGGTGAAGGTTAACGACATCACTATCTGCAATGTGTACAGAGATTCTAAACAACACCACATTCTTGGTCTCTTGCGCTCTTGGAAGATTCCCAGCAGGACGGTTATCGCTGGTGACTTCAATGCTCTCCATGCACTTTGGCAGCCTGGTCACGGGAAGCATCCTGGCGGAGGCAGCGAGGTGGCTCTTTGGATACAAGAAAAGGGGTTGGAGATACTCAACACAGGACAGTCAACATACAATCAGGGGAACACGCTGGACCTCTCGTTGACCAATATTGTTGGTGCCCAGGCGACAGTCAGCCCTTGCCTTCATTTCCTTTCTGATCACCGGGCTATTACTATTACTATCCCTACCAAACCTTTACCTCCTTTGAGCGGGCGGCTCACCGTTCCTCGACATGCTATTACGCAATACGTTCAGATTCTAAAGCAATTTGCGGACGCCATTCTCGAGAGACCTAACAATCAAGATGGGCTGGATGCGATGGCAGAGGATCTCACCGACCTCTTGGTAAAGTCGGCAGAAGGTGCCGGTAACCGACAACATAACCGAGGGCGGAATGCAGCTTGGTGGGAGGAGAGTTGCGGTGAAAGTCGCCGGGTTTTACAACGTGCTAGAGATCAGCAAGAGAAACACGCAGCCAAAAAGAGATTCCGCAACACCGTCCGAAAGGCAAAGGCAGGGTACGTTAACCGGAAGGTCGCAACGGCTACGTCAGAGAAGGACATCTTGAACATCACTGGGTGGCAGAAAACGGTCGATCCCTTCCGATCAACTCCTTTCTCTGTTCGTGAAGAGGTATTCATTACCCAGCCGCGGGAGAAGATCAGTCTCTTCGATGTAGTTGCCGGCTCACAGGCGTCAGGCGACGATGTTATAGACCCTTGGACTCCGCTTGCAAAGGAGCCTCGTGCTACGATTCCCTGGGACTACGAAGTTACGCTCAAAGAAGCGCGAGCTGCTTGTTTAGGGGTAGCGAGCACTGCACCAGGCCTCGACGGAACAACAGTCCACCTTTTAAAGAAGGCGTGGCCAGTGATCGGCGCGAAGATCTGCCTGCTTTATCGAAAGTGCCTCCAAGTCGGCTACCACCCAAAGGTCTTTCGACAAGCAGAGGTTGTATTGCTTCAGAAGCCTTGGCAGTTAGATTATACTAACCCGGCATCCTGGCACCCCGTCTCGCTCCTCTCCTGTCTAGGAAAGGGCCTAGAGCGTCTCATCGCACGGCGAATGGCTCCCTTGGCGATTATCCATAACGTTCTCAACTCTCAGCATTTTGGGGCTCTCCCGAAAAGGTCTGCAACAGACCTCGCAGCATGTATCATACATGACGTCCAATCGCGGCTAAAGCGTAGCCGAAAAGCCTCACTGCTTACTATTGAGATCGACCAAGCTTTTGACACAGTGAAGAGAGGTAGAATGGTCGCTCGGCTCAGGGAACAGGGGTGGGCGCGCCACTTGATTCTTTGGGTCGACTCCTTCTTAGCTCAGCGCAGCGCGTCAACCCGGGTAGAAGATGAGACGACGGAACAGAGACCGCTCGCGTGCGGCCTGCCACGTGGTTCTCCGGTCGCCCCGATCCTATTCGGCCTCTTCATGGCTCCACTATTTGCGACATGCGAACCTGGTTCTATGTTTGGGTATACTGACCAAATCGCTATACTCAAGATCGGCAAGACAGTCTCCGACAATTGCGTTGCCCTCGGCGCCGACCTAGATAACGTTGTTGCGTGGTGCAAAGAGAATGCAGTGGCCTTGGATGCCCGGCACTGTAATCTGATACACTTTAAACCAAGAGGACCACCACCTGCAGATATCGTCCGGACCCTGAGCGGCATTACGATCTCGCCGACAGCGACCGGTGTGCAATGTCTAGGCGTTCACATAGACCCGTCTCTAACATTCAGACATCACCTGGAGTATTGGGCAGGGAGAGCGTACAAGGTGGCGACACGTTTACGGAGTCTCAGCCGACTTCAACACGGTGCCCCACCGGCTGGTATGGCGAGAGCCGCGGCGGCCTGTGTGCTCCCCCTTGCAACGCACGCAGCGGCAGCTTGGTTCGAGGGGCTGAAGCGAGAGACGACAACCGACAAGCAGAAGACTGTCACCGGAGTGGCACCAATGTTGAGCAAGATCGACATGGCCATAGTGCAAGCGACGCGGGCTGTACTCCCAGTTCGATATAGGGATGGGGATTTAACGATGCACCGCGACAGCAATCTACCTCCGGCTGAGGTAGCCTTAGCGCAAACCCAACTCCGAACCTCTCTCCGATACCGCACGCTAGACGACAAGCACCCTCTCATACAACGACTAGAGAATCCGGTTCGGGGAACTCGAGCCTCTGCGAGCCGCTGGACGTGCGTCGAGACAACCTCGTTCCTGACCTCTCCCTGCGCTCGACCTGTACTGCTGGCAAGAGGATGGCGTCGTGAGCCTTTCCGTAAACGGCGAGGAAAAGAGAATACAAAAGGAGAGGACGCGAGGAAGAAACACGACCAGTGGCTCGCGCAACGAACCGAGGACGAGATCGTGATATATTCTCACGGCTCTGTAATAAATTCGGCGGGATGGGGCTTCAGAGTCTATGCGAACGGGAAACTGCGCAACCGTCACCACGGTACGATTGGAGAGGCTGAGACATTTGACGCTGAGGTCGTCGGCGCTCAAAAGGCAGCCGAATGGGCCGTCGAGCAAGGCGAGGAATTCGGCAAGGGAGGGATTCATTTCTGT